CTCTGAGCACACCACACTGGGCCAGAGCCGCCGCAGGACAAAGCCTCACCAGAGCCCAGAGGGGGCACAGAGGCAGAGGCAGAGAGCAGAGCAAAAGGGGTTGGCCCAGGTGGGAAAGGGCCACTCCCCATGGACGTCGCCCTGTCCACAAGGATGCCTCTTCTGACTCAGGGGCGGTGCTGAGGGTCTGCACCCAGAGCTGGGGGGCGGGAGACTCTGGGACCCTGGCGGGCTGAAGGGAAGGGAGCTTGTCCCTGGTAGGAGATCTGCCCCCTTCACCTCCCAGAGAAGCCAGGAGACGGTGCACGCACGCACGCACGCACGCACGCACGCGGAGGTGTCCCGGTCTGAAGTGCTGGCCTTGGTCGTTTGGGCTGTTGCTTTGGGCCTGTGGTGGCAAAGGCGTAGTGAAGGAGGCCTATCTAACTCCTGGCAGGGGCTGGGGTCCCACATCAACGACACCCCCCACCCCCACCCCGCGCCCGCATGCTCCATCTTCCAGTGGTGTCGCAGACTGGCGACCCAAACCTTCAACGTGTGGCCTTTAGGGAGGGACTATTCAAGATCCATCATAACATTCTGCCCTGCCCCCAAAGCTGATGTCCATCTCCCTGTGGGAAACCCATCCCGCCAGGAGCCCTGGAGTCTGGACTGTTCCGGCGACGTGGCTGGTGAGGCCACGCCCTTCATGTCTCCTTCTGGACCCAAGGCCAGCTCCGAGGTGAGACCCAGGAAAAAGAATAAAAGAGCAAGTGACCTAATTCCAAGACACGGGGTGCTGGGTAAACAGCCATCACACCCCTGTGTGTCGGGCCTCGCCGCTCCGGGCAGGAGAACGCTCTGTCTCACACTGCTGCCTTCATGGGGCCCCACACTTTCTGCCGAAGAGCGAAGGCTGCTGGCTGGCGCAGAGCTTCAGCCCCGGGGGGCCTGGAGCGAGGGGTGGCTCTGGGGCTTCCCAGAAGTGTGTTTAAGAGGTATCACCCTTGGGGTATGACCGGGCTGGGTTTAGGCCAAATGCCTGGAAATCTGTTGATCCAGTATTTTCCAACCAGCAGGAACCTTCCAGAAATGCAAAGTCTCAGGGCCCCTCCCCCGTCCTCCCCGCCCCGCCCCCTTCCAGTGGCCTCCCGTCTCCAGCACCTGAGCTGCAGTCAGCGCACGCAGCGCAGACATCCTGGATCCCATCGCCCCCTGAGGCTGTGAGCTACTGCAAGCTGTCTGGAGCCCCAGGAATTGGGAGATGTGTGACCCCACAAGGGGCTCTCCACCCCTGCATCTAGGTCTAAATGGATTTGGGGGGGCTCCAGAGAGCAGGGACATTCTTACACCGCAGAACATGGCAGCTCTCAACATATGTCTGGGGATTGGACTTCTCCCAGACGGGCTGATTTCCACTTGTCAGTCTGGAAGAGGACAAGCAGGAAGCTTGGTGCAGGACTGGCATGTGGCTTCCCCTAACACCTCACTCCTGGGACATGGCTGGGAAGGGGCACACGAAACAGACCTGGTGCCCAGAGAGGCGCTCTGCTCATCACTAGCCCACCAGAGAGGAGAGCAGGCAGCTGGCAGATGGTGCACCGCCTGCGCAGGGTGCCGGGAGCAGGGGGACCCAGGCCCGGTTCCCCGGCACCTGCCACTTCCTTAGACTGAGAAAGGGACAGGAAGGCCTTGCAGGCTGGGCTAGCATCCTATGTGTTCACAGTCTCATGGAGATGCAGCCACACTGGGGACACAGCCTGGCGCCCCAAAGGAGGACGCCATCCTGCTGGCAGAGCTGTATCCAGACACGTGCACCTGGGGAGGAGGGCAGCCCACCCACCTTCCTGCCTCGCTGGCTGTCTTCCTGAGAGAATCCAGATAAATGTCCACCGGGGCCAGATCTGAATGGCCTCGGTGGTCCCTTGGGTCTGCGTATGTGGTCCTGTCACCAGGTCTTCCCATGCCCCCTGGGTGTGTGGTATTGCAGTCAGACATCCATTGCTCCTGGAGGCCCCTTCTCACTCCTCCAAGGTCTTCTCTGTCACCTGTAGCACTTCTGCGTCAAATCTGCCCAGAGACTTGGGGCCAGAATGGATGACGGACTCATTCTGTGCTGGGGAGAGGTTTTGTGATGAGAAATATTTAAACCCCAGTCCAATGTTCACACAGATTAGGATGTTTCATTAGATCACCTGCATGCAAGACGTGCTTATAGTAGATGCCCATCCATAAAGTTTTATAGAAATACACACACAAAGTACTATCTTTATATGTGTGTACTTAATTGATGCGATTGTTGGATTTCTGCCGGTCAGACCTGAGCATGTGAATTCCCCACAGCTCCTGGATCAGCCCCCTTTGGGCTGGCAGGGCACCAAGGGCCTGGGGCAGCCCGGTGGGTGGAGATGGATGTGGTTCTGTCTCTGAAGTGACAGTTTCAAGATCACCCACAGGAGGATATGATGGGTCATTGGGTGGGCAGGTGTGGAAGCTGTATCCCACCCCCCAGGGTAGCCTGGCCTCAAGGCTGAGGCTGTGGGTGACTCCAGTGGCAGCTGAGTTAGGGGGACTCTGGGGAGCAGATCCAGCTGCAGGTCACCAGAATTCCACTCAGCATGAGGAACTCCTCTGTTAGCCTGCAGGGCAGGGCAGGGGCAGGGGCAGGGCAGGGGCAGGGGCCGGGCCTGGGCAGGGCAGGGTCGAGGGCAAGGCAGGCGCCTTATCAGGACGCTGGCTTACCTTGGGAAGATTTCAATGCCTTCCCCAGACACAAACCCCATACCACATGCCATACCGCACATACCACACAGCACACAGCTCATAGCACACATCACAGCACACATACCACATACCCCCTACCACACACCATACCGCACATACCACATACCACACACATTGATCAAGAGGCACTGCAGTCCCAGACAGGTTGAATTGAAACTCCTTTGTACAACTACTTGAAGATTTTTTTTACAAGTATATAAATAAATAAATAATGTGTTGACTCAATGGTTGGAAATTGTCCTGTCCGGCGCTAGGGCCAGGCATGGCGGGGAGACTCTGCCCCCCACCCCCGGCCTCCTGCTCTGTCAGGTCTTGGGGTCCACGGCCAAGCCAGCAGTTCAATCCTCCACTTCTAGGTGAGGCTCCTTCTAGCCCCGAGGGCCAGGCAGGCTTCCCACTGTCCAGGGCCTCCGGTAGGGGTTGAGGGACAGAGCAGGTGCCGGTCACCCATGGCCTCACCTAGCCAGGGCTCTTCCTGAAGGTCACACCGCTCAAAGGCCAGTCATGGGGGCTCGGCCACTCCCATGCCAGGCTCCCTGAACCCACGTTTCCTGCCCCATGGCCAACCTGTCCTGTCTCCCCTTCTTCGTTCTCCTGCAAGGCTTTGACCGGGTCACACTGTTCGCATCCCTTCCCCAAGCCATTCTCTCTGACTCACACGCATTTATCAGGTGCCACCTGAACCCATTTGGAGGTTTCCAGAACTAGATGTGCTGCTCAGATGGTGACGGCCAAGTTCTGATTGATGGGAGCAATTGATTTCTAAGTCCCAATATGATCTCTAAGCTGTTGCTGCCAAAGGAGAAACCGTCGCCTCTCCCGGATCCTCAAGTCTGTGGGCCGTTTTCTGTCTGCCCCAGCGGCTCCCTGAAGACCTCAGCCAGCCTCCAATCTCTTCTCTTGGGCCATCATGTCTGTGCCTCCTACCCATGAGCCCGGCGGCCCTGATGCTGTGTTTCCAGGCATGGCGGCTGAAAGCCAGCGTCCGCCCCGGCACAGCAGTGTGCTGTGAGGAGTTCCTCCCCGCAGTGGCTGTAAGAGGCCCTGTGCCTCCTCCTCCCCCTCCACCCAGCAAAGCCTTTCCCAATCGAAGCTGGCTGGGGTAGTGTTCCCAAGGCTGGCCCTGCCTGCTGGCCATGACCTCCCCTCATAGCACGTCCAGGTGGGCCCAGGAACTGGGACTTCTAGCTAGGTGTGGACCTGCTTCTGATCCATGGTTACATCTGTGTGTGTGTGTGTGTGTGTGTGTGTGTGTGTATGTGTGTGTGTGAGACTGAGATTTGAACTCAGAGCCCTATGCTTACTAGGCAGGTGCTCTACCATGTGAGTCATGCACCCTCCAGCACTCTTTCCCCTCAGCTGTTTTCCTGGTAGGGGTTTATGGTTTTGCCCATGCCAGCCTTAAACAGAGATCCTTCCACCTATGGCCTCCCGTACAGCTGGGCTCACAGGCCGTGTATGGCTCTACAGACAATACTGTGAGACCCACTGGCCTGGTTATCTGCAGTAACAAACAATCCCTACTGGCAGTGGCTTAAAACAAGAAAATGGGTTTCCTGAAAGCATGCTCCACGTTCACATTCACGTTCACGGCAGGCTGGCAGGGGCAGAGGGGGGCCTGGGGCGGGCCCTCATGGAACAAAGCTGGAGACCTGCCAGAGGAAGCCAGCCCTTGGGAGGAAGCCTGGTCACCCGTGCTCCAGGTCACCAGCTGAGCACAGCCCTCACCTCCACCCACAAGGGGCCAGGGAGCCCAATCGCGCCACAGGACGCCTTCAAGGGACCTGCTACCCAGGGTGAAGAGGGAGGACCACAAGCCCAAGGGCTGTCTGGTTCTGCACAGCAGGAGCTGCTGGAACTCACCCAGGAAGCTGTGCAGGCTGCACCAAAGCCGCCCCTGTCCAGGCCACCTGCCTGCCTCGGTGGCACCGCTGCTTAGCGTACAGTTCCTGCTTCCGAGGAGGGTCGGGCCACCTCAGGAGGGCGGCAGCCACATCTGCTCAAGTGGGAAGAGGTGGCTCACTGGGAAGCCTTTACAGGTCTTGATCACACAAGTTTAAAACAGTTTCCAACATCCTTTCCCAGAAGTCGCCTACAGCTCAGCATGGCCGTTGGACTTGCGGTGTATCCCAAAGTCTTCATCACGGGTCTGATACTTGGTAATTTTCCACCAACATTTGTTGCCCAATTGCATATGTGAGAAAAACAAATAAATTAAAATGACACCAGGAGAATAGCTGCAAATATAAGAAGTAATTTTATTGCAATATATTGTAGCTAAAGTGGTCTGAGGAGGACAGGACATATTTTGGACTTCCGTACAAATTACAACAACTTGGAGGGGACCAACAGAAAAAAAGTCAATGACGAGTGAGAGGACAAATTGCATGGGGTGAGAGGTTGAAACAGAATCACATGACCTAGACAGAGTCCACAGGCATCCCATGGCTACCTTCCAGAGTGGTCTTCTGTGCAGTGGCAAGCTCGGCGGTCCCGGACGTGTGTTGGCATCCTGGCCTAGGGACAATCTCCAAGCCAGACTTTTCTTTGGCAAGAATGGGGCTTGTTTGCCAGGGTCTTTGGGCACCGGCATTGGTGGCATTCTGCCACTCCCGGGTGCTGTGCTGACTTCCCGCAGAACAACCACAGCTGGGGTTGGGGGGAGCACCAGAGGGCCACGGCTCACTTCCAAGGCCTGAGCCTCCCCCACGGTGGAGACAGGGGGCACCGCAGAACAATGTTCACAGTAAAGGGCTGTCCTCCTTGCTGGCCAGGGGCGGCCTCCCCACAGAGAACGCAGCCCTCGCCCCCCTTGTCCAGAAGAGCGAGGGAAGGAATAACCCCCAGCGGGAACCGGGCCAGAGCCCCAGGAGCCCACGCCCAAGATACCTACATGTGAAACCCACACTGCTTCCAGGGACCCGAGGTGCTGTGCCAGCCCCGGAGACGCCAAGCTCATTGCACATTTTTCGTCTGCCCGGCCCCGTGCAAGGCAGCTTGGGTGGGAGGGCGCAGCGAGCTTTGATTCGGTCCTTGGAACAAACAGAAAACGTTAGCACCACAGCCATTCTGGCAACTGACACGACCCGCCGCCGTACACCGCGTCTGTCTGAGGAAGGAAGTCTTCGTGTTGCGTGTGTGTTTTCCAATCAAGTAGGCACAGCGTAGTGCTGGTGACAGGCCTCCGGAGGGACTCACCACCAGTGAGTGTGTGGGACAAGCCTCGGGGAAGAAGGTAGCAGGCACTAATTTTAAGGTCTTTGACAACAATGGGATTATGGACCAATGACCGGGATAATGGAAGAGGACGGGAGGAAGCGCGGTACCCCAGTGTTGCCTTCCAGGAGGCTGAAGAACACATAGCACCACAAGAGAAGAGGAGGGTAAAAAAACATCAGCACCAATGGTCATAATGATCACCCATGGAAGGTGGTTTCCCTGCCTGGCCACGCTCTATCAGGCTGAACAAGAAGCTCAAAAAGGAAGCAGTCAGCAGCTTTCAATTAAGCTGTGTTTTAATCTAAGTGCATGTAAGGCAAGCAGAGTACCAAATTCTTTTTCCTCCCCTAAAAAAAAAAAAGAGTATCCAAAGCTGATGAAAAAGAGAGACTGGGCAGAGGGGCCCTGGCACCTTTCAGAGGCAGCCTGGCACCTTTCAGAGGCAGCCTGGCTTCTTGCTGATCCAGGCAAATTTCCAATTTATTGCACGTTCCTGATGGGCCTCGTGGGGAGACGTTCAGACCCCGCCTCGTCCCCACCCGTCCATCCTCCCAGTGGGCCTGCAGCGGGGTTTCCACGCGGGATGATCGAAAGTCAGGCACACTTAACATTTATAACAATACAATACAAATATTTACTTAAAACTCACACGCACATACACACACACACACACAAAACATAAGCACCTTTAATCCATCGGAAAGGCACACGCAGAATGACATTTGGCCTCGAAATGGATTGTGTTGAGGGTTGTTAGATCAGAGGCTCGGGCGACCTTTACCAGCCTGCCTCGGAACATCTCTTGAAGGTCAGGGGAAATGCACATCTTCAAGTTGGATTTTTATAAAAGGGATATTCAAATACCGCAGCCCCACCCCTGCCCCCTGCAAAGGGTCCGTGCACACCGTCGGTCAGTGGTCAATGGTGCTGGCTGGGGGAGGCAGAGAGGGTGTGGGGCCCGCTCCCTTCCTGGTGGCATGGGGTGTAGACAGATTGATGGGTTGTGGGGCGTCACCAAGAGGCTGTGCTGTGGCTAGGTCATGTGATTCGGCTGGGGGGGACGCGGCTCTTCCCCTCTGCTCTCTGGGCGTGGGGTCCAGCGCTGCGCGGTGCCTCTGGGCGCAGGGTCAGGCTGTGGCTGCCTGGGATGGCCGTGCGCGGGACACTCATAAGCGGCGTGCTGAGGTCACAAGGTTGCTGGGGAGACCGGGGTGCGGCGGCTCCTAGCCCAGGAAGCAAGCCGGCCCCACTTCAAATCCAAATTTCTGAGACGCTTCACCAAAGTCGTTGAACATGATGTCCACGATGGGCACTTGCTCCACCTTGGGCGTGTCGATCTCCAGAACCGTCTTCTGATAGCCTTTCTTGGTCTGGAGAGGGGGAGCAGGCAGAGGAGGTGAGAGCTGGGGCAGGGCCTGGCAGGGCAAACCCACCACCTGCCGAGTCCTGCCCAGGCTGCCAGACCCGGCTACATGTCCCTCCATCCCAGGCTCCCGCTCACTCAGGAAGAGCACACAGGCAGCAGCTCTGGCCATGGTGCTCTGCAAGTGTTGGAGAGGGGCACTGGCTGAGCAGAGAGTGCTTACACCTCACCCGCATCCCACAAACCCCTTCCTATTCTGGGATGGTAGAGACTGGGCACCGGAGAGGCAAGAGAATTCTCCCAGGACTGCACGCTTGCAGGAGGCAGATGGCAGTTCTGTCGCTCCACCAAGACAGACCACAGAGCGTGCAGGGTCTGCACAGAATTAACACGAGGGCCCCCTGGCTCCCAAATGGAGAATTATAGTGTGCAATCAAGCAGAGTGTGGGAGCCTCCTAAGAGCACCGTCACAGTGAGTGCCTGGACCCCGTGCTGGTAAACCCAGCCCCGAGCTCTTCGTGCGGGGCTGGAGCTGGGGGCCCTGGAGCTGGGGGAGCCCTGGTGAAAGAAGGCACAGAGGAGCTACCACGGCGTGGTGACCGGGCCTGTCCATCCTGCGCTCACACCAGCACAGCCCAGGGGGTTGGAACAGGGGACGTTCTGAGGAAGAGCAAGGAGGACTTCCCAGAGAGGGGCCTGGCTCTCGTCTCCCACCACATCCCACAATGCAGGAAGGAAGGGACCAGATTGCTCTGGTTCCTGCAGACACCTAGTCAACTCTGAAGTGTGCCAGACTGACCCCGCCACGCTGGACACTTCCCCCTGGACAAGCGGTCCGGAAGCCTGCAGGACTCCCATGGTCCTCAGGGCACTTGGGAGCCACCTCTCCCGGATAGCGGCTGCAGCCTGGATCTGGTCAGCACCACACAGCAGGGGGACCCAGCAGGACCCTGAGGCCAGAGGTCCAACAGCAGACCCAGCTCTGCCCTCCTCCAGCACCTGGCTGCAAGCAGTGGCCCAGACCCGAGGGCCTTATCCCCTCTCCTTTGCGGTGGGTAATGTGTGCCCTAAATTCCTGTGCTTGAACCCCAACGCCTAAGGTGATATTATGGGTGAGAGTCCTCCCAGTGCCGGGACACAAGGACCCCAGGGCCACCCCTTGCCCTCTCCCTCCTCCATGCTGACATGACAATTAGTCTGTAACCCAAGGAAGGCCCTCCCCGGGCCCCCCACATCTGGCCCTGACCTTCAACCTCCAGCTGCAGAACTGAGAGCAGTCAATGCTGGTTTTGAAGAGCTGCTCAGATGACTGTGTGACCAGGTGCCGACAGAGGCGCACCTGCTCAGCTGGGCCACTCCTGGGTGTCTGACCACAAGGCCCAATGGCATGACAAATTCTTGTTCTGAGCTGCTAATCTGTTGCCAGTAATTACCGTTCCTGCTAATTAAGTCTCTAGAACGCTATCCTCAACCGGCAAATGGAAACGGTACTGACTTCATAGATGTGGAGTGTGGATGGGAAGCCCAAGCTTCGTTCCTCCTACCGCCTTGCCCTGGTAGGACCTCTGGCCTTTTTGAGGCTGGGGTGGTGGCTTTAAAGCCGGTTGCAGCTACAGGGGAGGTGGCACCGTCCAGGGGGACCCTTAGCACAGCACACCTTGTCCCACCTCTGACCTAGTTGCTTTAGGCAGGATTCAGAAGCTGCCTTGGTTAAATGGGCATCTCCGGCGATATTCTGCCTGTCCTTGGAGAAAGTAATCCTGTCCTGGGGAACTTGAGCAGCTGGGAAACCTATAGCGCAGTGGTGACCACAGCACTGACCACTGCTAAGTGTCCAAGGCCTGTGGCCAGCCTGGCCAGGCAGAACCTGAGCAGACCGCCTCAGCCCCTTGGCGCTGCCCAGAGAGATGGCCACAGCTCTCTACTTACAAGGAGAGGGACGTAGGGACCACAAGCCGCCCGGTGCCTGTTAGCAAGGGCTGGGCATGCATGCCCTTCCATTACCCTGGGAAGAAACAGCCTCTTGGTACTTCGGGTATAGCCAGCCCAAGGAAGAGGGGCTGAAGACCCCCTTGCCGTCTGGGCTCCTAGGCCTCAAGCTCACACCTCACCTGGCTGCACCCCAACAATCCAGCTGGCTGAGCGCTGAAAGGCTGTGCTGTGTGACCTCTGTGCCAGGCGCCCCCAGGGCAGTGCTAATCTTCCGTCGGGGGGAGGGGAGGCAGAGGAGAGGTGGGCCGACAGGGCCAAGCAGAGCCAGCATCCATCTTTCTCCCACCCAAGGGATGGCAGTGTATTGAGCTGTCAGACAATTTTGCCTGGATTTATGGGGCCCTTTGCTCCAATTACCAGAGTGCTTAGAGAGGGGTATATTTAAAGTAGGCCGCTGCTCTGTTACCCCGTTATTCAAGAGACATAAATAAGCATTACGGGTTAGCAATGGGCCCCCAGGGGCACACAAAACTGCACAAACAACGGGATTTATGCTGAGTGGCTCCTTGGCCCTCCTGCCCAGTGATCTGTGCCCTCCACAGGCCCGGCTGACCTGCAGGCTCCACCAGCTGGCCTATGCCCGGGCAGGTCCCATTGGGATTCTGATTTCAGAGGCTGTTAATTCCACAATGGACTAAGCAGGCCTCCCAGGACCAGACAGGCCTCTCTGCTGTGGGCCTCCCCCGGGGAGCTGTAAGCCTGAGGGCTGCGACATTCCGATGGCGGCTCAACTTCTCAGGAGTTGAGGACAGAGCCCTGGCTGGTCCGGGCCTGCATTGTGGAGGGCTGCTCCCCCAGGGCACCCCTGCACCCCACCTCTACAGCGCCTGCCTACCCCTCCCCTCCACCTCAATCACCTCAGCGGGCTGCCTGCAGAACCAATTTTTTCTGTCAGCAGGTGATTCTGTTTTGTGCCATCATCTACTTTTTCAAAGACAGGATCTTTCCAGAAGTGAAGAGGAGGGAGCTATATCTCCTTCCTCAGCCCTGCGTCCAGCCGGGAAGTCTCTCAAACCCACCTCAGATCTCTGAGCTCTAAGGCTAGTTCCGCCAGGACCAGACAGAGATGGGGATGGGGACAGGGACAGGGATGGCTCATGACACTCCTCCTGGGCTACCAGAGCTCAGGATGACCTCCTGGGCTAGGACATGCTGCCCCAGCACTTGACCATGTCCAGCTGCTAGGACAAGCAGTGGGGGCGTGGAGGTCAGGCAACAGCAAGAGCCATAATGCACCACAGATGGCTCACCTGACCCGGGAATCTACAGGACAGGCTCTGCACGATGCTGGGGGGCCAGGACATGCGGCCTGTCTGACCCAAGAGCTGCTCCGTGGACACTGGCTCCCAGGGAGCACTGCAGGACAGGCCCTGCATGCTGGGCACGGCGCAAAGGGTAGGTGGGGTACAGCTGACCTCAGCCTCAGCCATTATACGCTGGTGGGGTGGGAGGCTTTGGCAAGATTCTCCCAAGAACAAGTGATGCCAGGAAGTGACCAGAGGACAGGGCACTGGGCTCCTGGTGAGCCCCGCCCCCTCCAGCCTGAAGAAGGCCAGGCCAGGGACAAATCGGAATTTCCACAGGACTAGGCCCTGGAAACCACGTCTAAACACCTCTTGGGGCACCAGACCTCCATGGCCCCAGCGGCCCATTCTCAGCTGTAAAATCACAAACATGCCCACAGGAAGGTGTCAACCTGGGAACCCGGGGCCAGTCCCCGCCTGGCCGTGTGCCTGGGCACACCTCTCATGTTGGAATTTTGGAGATGAGCAGCACAGGCCTCGGCAGCCCAACAGCGGCCACGTTGGCTCCCAGGTGCTGCTGGGGTCTGCAGAGGGAGTCCCTGCACGGCCCTGTTCTCAACAGAAGCCCAGCCTGCTTCTGGGTGGACCTAGAGGTGCTGTCTAAAGACTGGGTCTTTGCATCCTAGTTGGGACTGCCTGGACTGGCTGCACTCCGACACCGGCAGGGGGCCTGCAGCTCAGGCCCAGCCCACAGGAGGTGCCCACAGGTCTGCGTGGCACCGAGTGGCCCGGGGAAGCGGGCGTGATGACGCCCGGTGAAGCGCATAGACACTCACGGAGCAGCCGTCCACCAGGGCACGGATGTAGGGGTTGTTGTCATAGGACATCTCCTCGTCGTTGGAGCCCAGGAAGCGGATGGCCTTGTCATAAGTGCCCGTGGCTGCGTCCTGCCAGGCCACCGACTGGTAGCAGTTGTAGGTGACATTCTGCTGGGCGGAGGCGCTCAGCAGCCGCAGGAATGTCATCTGCACCACGCCCACGGGGTTGCCCTCCGCATCCACGTAGGAAAGCTGGAGACGGAGGGGGGGCGGTCAGCAGGGAGGAACGCACAGCAGTAATGACAGAACCACCCACGACCTCTGTTTCCCCCCCAGGGAAATATCCAGACACATGTGCTTCTGCAGACCTGGAGGCCAGGGTATGGGCTCTTGGGGGGCGGGGGGAGGCGAGGAAGGGGGATTCTTGGGAGCAACCTGAACCATGCCCCGTTCTCTTTAGGCACTCAATCTGTCCATTGCCCCTTGCCTGGCTAGCCTGCTGCGCCAGGCTCAATGCTCTGAGCCGTTTCCTCCTTCTGCAGGAGGCTGAGGTGGGGTGGGGGTGTCAGGGGCAGCCTGTCCCCGGCCCTGTGCCCACACCCCCACTCTCTCTGCACTCTTCCCACCACATGGGGCCTGGCAGGCCGGCTTGCTCTCTCCTGTGTCCACTGCCCACAGCAGCACTGGTGAGCTCAATCAAGGCTTGCCGCACGGCTGGGCTGCAGCCTCTGGCTGCCGGCAGTACCATCAAGGCCCTCAGTCCTTTGCACAGCCCACCGGCCTCCTCCGGCCCCACCACCCAGCGTGCCATGCTGGCTTGAGAGTAATGCAGTCTGCAGAATCTGCCTGCATTGAATGTGTTCAAAGAACAGGGAACCATTCTTGCTCAGAAACGAGCATCACATTCAGATGGGCCTTCTCTAAAGACAGGGGGGAGGAGGAGGCTCCGAATCCCCATCATTGAATCAGGAGCAGGGCCACACAAGAGGATTCCCAGAGCCTGGATCCCCACAGTCTGGATGACTGCCACTGCTCTGCGCCCTGACAGTCCCGAGTACACCTCAGGCCCAGCCTCTGCTCTTCCCTCTTCCTCCCTCGGCCCAGAGTGCTGTTGGCTGGCAGGAGCTGCAGTGATCGGCATCTTTGGTCTCAGGCTGTTGGGGAAGACGCGCTGTTCCTGCCTCCAGCTCTACAGCAGCGTGCATGCCCACCATGCACAGACCTCACTTCCCTGGGTCCCATACAACTGGCTGACCCTGAGTCTTGGAGGCCTGGTGCCCATCTGCTTACTTGTTGGAGCTGAGGCCCTGTCACTGTGCCTGGCTGGCAAAGGAGGGTGCTCACAGGGTCACATGAATGGACGAGGTGCTAAGGACGTACCAGACCCTGGCCTGGGAGTTCGCAGGACCCCAGAGTTAGAGGGCACACAGGACATGGAGGTGAATGACTCGGGCCAGCTGAGAGAGGGTCATCACTGAGTTTGGTGGGGTAGCCCAGTGCCCCTTGGAGGCACAGGGCATCTGGGAATGGTACCTGGCGTGGCTCCCATTCCCTTTCCCAGGGACAGGCTCCAGAGGCAGAGCAGCGGTCCTGCGGCCACTGCCCATGCCCGAGGGCAGCCCGGGGACAGAGCCCCACTCCCGAGGGCAGCCCAAGACTCCAGTGACAGGGCACCCACTGCCAGGCTCCACTGTCCACAAACTCGGGGAAGGCCTTGTGCTACACCTCTTACATCCGAGGCTGGGCACCAGGTGCAGGGCGGGCACAGGGGCCTGAGAGACAGCCCTCAACCGGTGCATGTCTTTTGCACACTGAGGGCTCTCTGAAGAACTCCGTGTCGCCAGAGGCCTGAACAACCTTAGCCGGACAAAGCCTGGCTTCTCCCTGCTGGGGTGAGACTCCCCAGGCCTGACTCCACTGGGGAGAAGCAAAGCACCTGCCATGGGTGGTTGCAGCTCTGGCCAGGGGCCACACAGACACTGTAGGACATAGGAAGGAGAGCCTACCCTGCAAGGAGGGTCTGGCCTGAGGAGGAGCAGGGGGCCATGATGACTTCATAACCAGCCTTTGGTAAGTACTGGTAGAGCAGAAGGAGGGGAGGATCGGGACCCTCCCACCCCCTCCGGGGTAGGAGAACACCCAGGAACCTGACACACGCCAGGTTCTCAAGACCCAGCAGCAGCAAAGCCCATGGCCGGACCTGTGGAGGAAAGTAGTACCAACCAGAACGCAGACCACCGGGTGCTCCTGAGGAAACGTGACTGACTCGAGAAGGAATGTGTGCCAGGGCAGCAGCGGGCAGCGCTGGACACAGAAGGACCCAAGGCTCCAGCACCCTGAACTGGCTCCGGGGAAGCTCCAGCACCCTGAACTGGCTCCGGGGAAGCTCCAGCACCCTGAACTGGCTCCGGGAAGCTCCAGCACCCTGAACTGGCTCCGGGAAGCTCCAGCACCCTGAACTGGCTCCGGGAAGCTCCAGCACCCTGAACTGGCTCCGGGGAAGCTCCAGCACCCTGAACTGGCTCCGGGGAAGCTCCAGCACCCTGAACTGGCTCCGGGGAAGCTCCAGCACCCTGAACTGGCTCCGGGGAAGCTCCAGCACCCTGAACTGGCTCCGGGGAAGCTCCAGCACCCTGAACTGGCTCCGGGGAAGCTCCAGCACCCTGAACTGGCTCCGGGGAAGCTCCAGCACCCTGAACTGGCTCCGGGGAAGCTCCAGCACCCTGAACTGGCTCCGGGGAAGCTCCAGCACCCTGAACTGGCTCCGGGGAAGCTCCAGCACCCTGAACTGGCTCCGGGGAAGCTCCAGCACCCTGAACTGGCTCCGGGGAAGCTCCAGCACCCTGAACTGGCTCCGGGGAAGCTCCAGCACCCTGAACTGGCTCCGGGGAAGCTCCAGCACCCTGAACTGGCTCCGGGGAAGCTCCAGCACCCTGAACTGGCTCCGGGGAAGCTCCAGCACCCTGAACTGGCTCCGGGGAAGCTCCAGCACCCTGAACTGGCTCTGGGGAGCCCCTGTCCTGAGGGGGACCGGGACTGGAGCACAGCAGTGAGCCTGTGTCCCAGAAAGCCCAGACAGAAAAGACTTCCAGCCGCTGCTCATCCACCCCGAGCCCCAGAGAACTAGAAACACGGCAGTGGACGAGCTGAAGAAGACAGGCTGGGTGTTGGTTTTCGTCTTTCGTGGGTTTGGTGGGGCTTTTTTTGGTGTTGTACTGTCTCTGATCAACTCTGCACCTTCCATCCTGTGAACTGTCTAAGCAGACAGAGGGGCCCACTTTCCGTGAGACCCACATTCTCTGACCCTTTCCTCAGAGCGAGGCGGGTGGGATGGGGTGGGGGCCTCCTAGAAGACTGAAGCCACCACGGAGGGGGGAGGCGGGGCCAAGCCTGGGCGGTAACTATGGAGATGGCAGCCATAACTGGCGGCCTCCTACCTGGCGGTCGCTGTCCCCACCCCTGTCCATCCCACCCTGCCCAGTGGTTTTCCCTGCCCAAGAGCTGTTGCTCGGGTCCTTCTGTGTGCCGGCGGCTCTCCTCTGAAGAGAGCAGAATGAGGCAGAGGAGAGGCAAACAGTGAGGGAAGGGAGAAGGAGACAGAAGAGGGAGGCTGCAGAGCCGTGGGCACAGACAGCACAGGCCTGCAGCGTGGCTGGACAGGGCGGGAGGGTGCGAGACACTGACGAGGACTCCAGGTTAAGGGACGAGGCTCCCAGAGGCAGCCAAGGCTCCGATTCCGCAAGGGGGCGGGGAAAGTGTGGTCTCTGACCTACCCAGAGAGGCGGGGCTGGTGCTGGGCTGGGGGCCAAGGGCCAGGCTGATGTCATGGAAGCCACAGGCTGGCTTCTCAGTGGACACGGAACCCTTAGGGACAGGGCTGCCCACTAGATCTAAAGAGGTGATCGGGAGGAACGGAGAGCTCAGCCCTGGCGTGGAGACTCAGCCCTTCATCTTGACAGGAACATCCACGGCTGTGCAGTTTCTCCCAGAGAGGAGCCCAAAGGGGCGCCCCGTGGGGCCGAGGGGATCCTCCCCACATGGATGCCAGCCCCACCTCACACAGAGAGGACCAGACCCGCTCTGGGCACCTGCCCTGGCGGGAAGGGCATCTTCTGTGGGAGCTTCAGGGATGCCGCTGCTGTTTTCTGGAGTGGCTGTGGGGACACACTCCCCAGGAGCACCGGAAGAACCCCGTGGGTACAACTATGAGCTGTATGGCGGCTCCCGGGCTGCCCCAGGGAGCTTCCTCCCATTCAAGGGCTCTGGGATCTACCTTCAGCCCTGCACACTGGACCATCTGACCTCACAGCCTGGGCCCTGCCACCCTCACCAGTGCACTGGGGCCCTGAACATCCCAGACAGCCGTCCTGCCACTGCTGGCCTGGAAGGAACGCTGGCCAGGAGGGGGAGGGGGTGGGAAGGCCGGAGGCCATGCTGACCAGAGCCTTGCTGACACGAGACCCGGAGCGCCGTGGCAGAGGGGGCGGAAGAGCAGAAGTGGCCCTGGAGGGCGATTAGTCCCATGCAGAGCCAGCCGAGCACCAGGCCGAGCTGCGGGCAGGCCGCACGGGCAGCCACTTACCAGGGCCCCTCGTTTGTACTGACTGTACCAGGTGGAAGGCTGCTCTTTGGGCCAGCGGGCCATTTTACTCTGCAAGATAGGAGACGGCGGGATTGAAGTGACAGCCGCCAGGGCCCGGAGGCCACCTTACCAGTTTCCCGCGCTTGAATTCACTGAACCAGGAACCCGGGTTCTCTTTGGGCCAAGAAGTGATCCGGGCCTACACGTGGGGCCGGGGTGGGGAGGGAGAGAAACAGAACGAAGGCGGTTACTTCTGCCTCTGCAGGACCTGGAACTGTCCTTCCCCAGCGTCTCAGCCCTGCCCCACCCCCACCCCCACAAGAGCCTTCCCATGAGCTCAAGGCCTGCTGGGAACAAAGGGCCAGCCGGTCACAGGGGGTCAGGACGACTTCAGGCTGTCTAGGTATCAGGCAGGGGCCAACGTGGCCACAGGCAAGGCAGCAGATATGTGGGTACCAGGCCTGCAGTGCCCCCGGGTGCCAGAGACCAACAAGCAAAGTCCACCAGGAGGGGAGAGGGACTATAGTATCACTGCTGGATGAGGATGCACGGTGTGACCCCCCCCTCCACCCCGCCCCATCCTCACCCCTGTGGGCTCCAGCTCAGGCTCCACAGCCCTTGGCTAGCATGACATATTCAAAGGCCGTGTGTGTGTGTGTGTGTGTGTGTGTGTGTGTGTGTGTGCGTGCGTGCGTGCGTGCGTGTGTGTGTGCATGCACATGTGCACGTGGCCTCTGGGCTTGTATGGAGTGTGGTGTTTATATGGAGTGTGGTGTCAGTGTACAGTGGCAAGGGCACTGGGGCAGGCACCCAGGGCAAGCCAAGCTGTGGGGTCAGGGGGGCTGGGGAATGAAAGGGTGACTGAGCGCCCTTCTAGTATGCACGGTGCGGGGGCTTTTCCAGAAATGAACCACCGCAAGTATGGAAGGAGAGAGCCCCAGGGAAAGCCTGGCCCCAGCTTGGACTGACCAGGTTCCTGCAGACAGCTGCCTGCCACCCAGGAAAGGGGCTCCTGAATCCCTATCGACTGCTAGGCCCTTCTGTGACTCCCAGCTGGACTGGTGTCACGAGAGCCAGAAAAGGGGACCACGAAGGATGGGGTGCCTGGCTGGCCACCTATCCAGAGCCCTTCACTCCTCACTCTGTAGGAAGGCCAAGTCCAGCCCCACGGGGTGGATTCCTGGTGGGAGAGGCCTGGAGAGGGGCTGGCATGGGCTGTGCCCTGGGCTCCCGCCTCACACCTGCTCCTCCAGGTCCACGGAGGCCTGGGGTCTCAGGGAGGGTGTCTGCACACCAGGGAGCATGTGCCCCTGCCCCAGCCTGTGGAGGCCGAGAGCAAGGAGAGCTGCAGAGAGGATGGAGAGGGAGGCTGGAGCTGAAGGAAGATCGCTGACAACTGGGTTCCAATCTGGACCTCTGGCCAGAGGGAACTGAGCAGCACGGAACAGGTCCTGTGCTCCAGGTCTATCTCTCTGGCTCTCTCTGGCTGTCTCCTCCCCTCCCCCACCTCAGTGATACTGATTTTGAACCCAGGGCATGGTGCTTGCCAGGAAGGCACTCTACCACTCAAGCCACACCCACAATCCTTTTTGCTTTTAATTTTTCTAACAGGGGTTCTCATTGTTGCCCAGGCAAGTCTAGATCTCAGCCCTCCTTTTTATTTGTGTCTGTCTGTCCTGGGGCTTGAACTCTGGGCCTGGGCACTCTTCCTGACCCACTTTTGTTGTTGTTGTTTTGTTTTTATTTGCCAGTCCAGAGACTTGAACTCAGGGCCTGAGCACTGTCCCTGAGCTTCTTTTGCTCAAGACTAGCACCCTACCAATTGAACCACAGCGCCACTTCTGGTTTTTTCTGTGTACGTGGTACTGAGGAAATCGAACTCAGGGCTTCATGCGTGCTAGGCAAGCACTCTTCCCAGCCCGTGACTCTTGTTTTGCTCAAGGCTAGCACTCTTCCTCTGGAGCCACAGCGCCACTTGAGCTTTTTCTGAGTGGCTTATTGGAGATAAGAGTCTCACAGCCTTTTTTGCCAGGCTGGCTTGGAACTGCGATCCTCAGATCCCAGCCTCCTGAGTAGCTGGGATGACAGGCGCCCTGCCAGTTCTCCTTTTTACATTTCACACCAAGCTGAGTGGATGGGCATGTACCACCATACCCAGCTTTACTGCCTGAGATGGGAGGAGGTCTCACTAATGTTTTGCTCAGGTTGGCCTGGCCTTGAGCCGTGATCCTCCAGATCCCTGAGTACTGGAACTACGGAAATAAGCCGTTGTGCCCAGTCTCACAGCTGGGAACGCAGATGGCGGAACATGAAACGCCAGGTTGGGGTGGGAGGGGGCCAGACCTTGCGGAGAGCACACTGACCCCTCCTGCCGCCCCCTCAGGCCCCTGCTGCGGCGGGCGGGGCTGACCCACCGGGGTGCTGGTGCTTACAGCATTTACAGTGTGATTTAGGAAGGAAGGCACGGTGGCTCTGGGGAGATCTTAACGGCTCTCCCCGCAGCACAAACCTGTTTGTTCTCCACGCTGAGGCAACTGGGAAGCTGTGGTCTGGAGCACAGCTGTACCTGCTCTTGATCCTGAGGCACATCAGCCTCCAGAAAACAGTCGGTGACAGCCACGGGCCACCCAGGGGACTCGTGCCACCAGACTCAGATGTGCCCTGAGGGGTAGCTGTCAGCTTGGTGACAGGCAAAGTCTTGTTCTCTCTGCTTGTCCTCTAAGTGACCTCTGCCCTGACATCCACAGCCACTAGCCACGTCCCCCCTCCCCCCTGCCCCCCACCAGATCCTGACCACAGAGCCGGGGTCCTGACAGCCACAGTGGAGACTGCGTGAATCCAGTCCCAGCTCTCCATCCTCAACCTCTTCCCTTATCAGACTTTCAAACCATGTCTGACGCCCAGGAGGCCTGGGGTAAATCCCACAAAATAAGCTAGCTTCAGACAGCAGCTTCTAGAAGGCACCTCAGGTCCCCTGATCACAACTGCCCCACAGGCCTTCGGGACTTGGCTGATCTCCGTCAGGAGGTCCACCGAGGCCACAGTGCCCTGTCAGGCTGCAGGGGAAGCACTGGGGGCCGCCACCCTTCACCTGCCCTGGCCAGGCCCTGAAAGAGCTCTTCTCACCATGAAAAGGCTACTGTGGAAGGAATGTTCCATTCTGAGGCAGATCAGCCTCAGCTTTTCAGCTTTCAATCCGTCCGCATGCAAAGCACCCTGGCTCCATGGTGAGACAGGTACTCACCCCCTCCGACTTCTTGTCAGGGAAGACACACGTGGCCCCTCCGGCGGTGAAGTTGCAGTAGACTTTGAAGGAGTCCCTGGAGCACCCTTGGTTGGGATCGACCCAGTATTCACCTGGATTTCAGAGACAGCGAGGCCAACACATGAGCCCGGCTCCCCAGATGGCTGCGGGAGCCACCACGGCATTGCAGGCTGGCAGTTAAATGCACCAGCAGGGCCATAAAAGCCCCACATGGCTCTCCTGCAGTCTTTCTGGCTACATTTTGCTTTTCCCACCGAGCCCATAAGAGATACAGCCGGACTCATCCACATCAGCGTGGAGGCAGCGTCTGATGACCAGGGGGAAGTGTTCCTGGCCAACAAGATGGGTGAAGAGACCCCCATGGGGCCAGAGCCTGCTGGACCCACTGCCGTCTCTCAGTGCTGCAGGAGGAATGCACACACTGCCCTAGGTGGACAGGCTAACAGCATCTTATTGCTGACCTGTGCTTGATGTGGCCACAACGTGTGTCTTGATGTTATTTCAGACACCTAGCCCTCATTTCATGGCCTGGTGCGTGCTGGGCAAAGGCATTTTCTGCACTGATGATTTGCTTGTCCTCCTGGGTAGGAGGGGGTGGTGGGCCGTTCCCAGTTTTCAGGTCAGAAACAACAAGGTTCAGAGTAAGCCAGGTACCCACCAGAAAATCTCTAAGACAAGATGGAGTCCAGGACTGCCCAGCCTCTAGGTCCTGGCCTCTCTGCCCAGCCTCCCTGGCACATCACCTTCCTCCAGTTAACAAGGGAACCGCCCCTTCTTCCTCCCAGACAGGAAGCCCATGTCCTGGTGCATGGCGGGCGGCCCCACCCCCCCCACCCCAGCCCCATCCCTCACCGTCCGGGAAGTCGGGGTGGCAGAGCTGCAGGTCTTTGCAGGTGCGGGCGGGGTTCTGCTGGGTGCCCAGCGGCCGCTTCATCTGCTCAATCTCCAGCTTCAGAGAGTTGAGCGAGCCGAAGATCTCCTCCATGCCGTCCGCGTAGTCCATGTAATTCTCCCCAGCCCCATCATCCAGCAGCTGGCTGGCGTCGATGTTCCGCCGAGTCCTGGAGGCCTGCATGGGCAGCGGCTGGATGACTTCGCCCGGTGGGCCCTGGGGGTGGGAGAGGGCAGAAGTGGGCAGGAGAAGATGGGGCAGGGCTCCCTCAGGCCCGAGGGGCCAGCTGGAAGGACACGGGTCCCTCTCGGCCCTTTTTGTCTTCCCTCTTCTCTGTCTCTGGGGCATTCTGGACCCATCCAGTCTGCCAGGTCCTTGCCCGCCTCCCTCCTGAGCGCCTCCCTCCTCTGAGCTGCAGGCCCGGCCCCTCCAGCCTCTTCTCCTCAGCCAACTGCAGCAGCTTCAGGGCTTATGCTGGGCCCCTGGCTCTCTGCTGAGATGGGCTGAAGGCGAAGCCTCGAGGAGAGTGCTCAGGGCTCCCCTCGTGGCTCTGCAGTCCGCAGAGCTGCCTAAGCACCATCCATGCAGAGACCCATTCACTTCCGGGGACTCCACCAGGGCAGGTGCAGTCAGAGCCCAGAGCCCAGAGGCCACAGGCTGGCCTCACTACGTGTGTCAGGGCCTGTCTGGTGTCCCCTGAACCCAGGTACATGTGCACACACATGCATTTGCACACCTGCACACAAACACAAATGCACACTTACACACACAGGCAATCACCATGGGTACACACCCCGTACATACACAAGCACAACCTATGTGCATATATACATACATGCACATGTCACCCCTGCCATACAATGCATGGGTGCACAACCCATACAAGTAAGCAAACACACAACTCAACACACATGTACGCATCCCATGCATGCATGCATGCATGCACCAATGCACATGTGCTCATATGCACATACCCGAGCACATGCACACCTAATATGAACACGCCTACAATGCATGCTCACACACATATACAAAGCACACATAAACCAGCACATGTGCTCACGTACAAATGCATACTTTCACAAACATACCCAGGCACACATATAACTGAGCACACGTATGCACATGTACTGATCTGCGCATATATCCACACACCCACACATCTATACACCACACATGTGCACATAGACAGAAGTGCATGCTCTCCCTCTCTTCTGGTCAATGAGGCTTCCCAGGAGTGAGCCAGGGAGGCTGCTGTGGATGGGGCTGTGTGACCCATTTCCCCTCTGTGTCCAGAGACAAGGCCCTGGGCACGTCTCCTGGGTGCCATGATGACTCAGAAAGTGAGCCCCACGGACATTCCCTCCATTCCCATCCCACCCTCGGCTCCCCAGGCTACTCACGGGAGGACCAGGGAGCCCGGGGTGGCCTGTCTCTCCCTTCGGGCCGGTCGGACCCTGGGGAGAGAGAAGAAAACCAGAGTGTGGTCATGGAGACATTTATAATGCAAGATCCAGAGTGGTCTGGGCAAGGCTAGCGTTGCCTCAACTGTTCAGAGGCCCAGAAGCAGGACCAGGGGTGGGGACAGCACCCTCCAAGGCAGGGAGTGAGGCTTGGACATGCGAGGCCAGCTCGGAGAGACCCATTTCACATAAGACATTGATGAAAAGACATTTATGGGGAAAAAAACAACCATCAACTGCAACCCCTGGTTATCCGGGAAGTGCAAGTCAAAGCCACCATGAGATTCTATCTCACCCATTGGAATGGCTGTCATCCAAAACATGGTCACAGCTATAATCCCAGCCACTCAGGAGGCTGAGACCTGAGGATCGAGGTATAAACGAGCTGGGCAAGAAAGCCTGGGTGACTTTTATCTCCAATGAACCACCTAAAAGCCAGGAATGGAGGTATGGCTCAAGTGGTGGAGCACCAGCCTTGAAAGAAAAGGCTAAGGGACAGTGCCCAGGTTCTGTGTTCAAGAGAAAAAAAGATTAAAAAAAAAAAGAATGCTGGGAAAGGAACTACTCAAACTTGGTTGGAAGGAATGTAAATCTGCCCAGCCTAGCCTATAATGAAATCGGTATGGAGGTTTTTCAAAACATAGAACCAGTACCACCATCTCTGATTGTCAGGGGACGAAGTCAATGTGCCAGAGCAACACATGCTGGCCCTGCCCTCATGCCGGTTCACCACAGTGGGACACAGAACCAAGGAGGGTCCACAGCTGGAGGAGGGAGAATACCGTTTATCCACACAAGGGTGCGTGTGCACATAGGGGAGTATTACTCAGCCATGAAAAGGAATGAAAGTCTGTAGTTTGCAAGGGGAGTTAGGTGGGACTGGAGGACACGAGGAAACCCAAGGAGGAGGATCTCAGCCCAGGACAGCCCAGGCACAATGTGAGACCCTAACTCAAAAGTAATCATGGCACAAAGGGACTGGAGGCATGGCTCAAGAGGTACAGCACCTGCCTAGCAAGCACAAGGCCCTGAGCTCAAGCCCCACTGCCTCAAAACACTTGTCTTAAATGTTTAGAAAAATGGCAATGCTAACTGCCCTGGCTTGATTATTACACATGTTGTAGACAGGGATCCATTTATTTCTGTGTACCCCATAAAGAGGTGCAATCAAAAACTAATCAAAAACAAACAGCCCTGGTAAGTAGGGCTGGGAAGGTGGCTCAGTGGTAGAGCGCTTGCCTTGCATGCATGGAGCCCTGGGTTCAATTCCTCAGCCCCACATAAGCAGAAAAAGTTGGAAATGATGCTGTGGCTCAAGTGGTAGAGCGCTAGCCTTGAACTGAAGAGCTGAGGGACAGCGCCCAGGCCCAGAGTTCAGCCCCCATGACCAACAAAGTAAGTGGAGTAATATACTGTTTTTTAAACCTAAAGATGACACTAAAGAACACCAGTAACACACAGCATAATGTAACACAAGGAAAAAAAGGAAGGAGAAAGACAGGAGGAGTATGGGTGGCAGGGTGGGGGGTGTTCCGAGGTAGTCCTCACTTCGCCCTGTCCACCTCCCCAGGAGCCCCTAGGCAACATGGGCCCATCGAGGCTGGTCACTTACCGAAGAGCCTTTAGCACCTTTTGGACCTGGTGGGCCCTGTAGAAACCAAAGGCCAGAACGTCAGTGGGCAGAGTGACCATCAGGCCCCATCCTGCCCAGCCCCCACTGCCCTCCGCATGCCCCGCCTCTCCCTCTGTGCCCATTGCTAACCCAACAGGAGACAGAGGGCAGCCCCCGGTAGGTCAGCCTGCCACCCTCCCCAGTTGGGAAACAACTGGGCAGGCACTAAGCAGAGCAAGTGTATACTGGACTTCCTGATACACACACCCTCCCCCCAAGCCCTGGACGACAGTGCCCAGAAGGGGCCAGGGGAAAGGCCATCTTGGCCACTTGAGGCCCAGCCTACATAGATCTAGTGGTTGGGGACGGCAGAGATGCAAGGCTGTGGGGGTGTCTCGGGTGCCAGCTTTCCTGGGAACAGGAGGGTGGCTGGGAGGACAGTTCCCCGGCTTGCTGGGAAGACCGTCCCTGGGCTGGGTGCTGGGTGGACAGTCCCCGGGCTGGGTGCTGGGTGGACAGTCCCCAACTCTATGCCAGGGCCGGCTGGCCCTCTGCACTGATTGGCAGTGCTGCAGAGCCAGCCATGACTTGCCTCGCTCTCCCCAAAGCTACAGATGAGCCTCCACTCCCAGGCAGGGCTCAGAGACAGAGGCTTTCTTCTTCCTGCTTCCCCAACTGAAACCAGGGCCCAGGGCCCCCACTTCGTGCTCCTCCCCCTTAGAACCCCAACATGGGGTATACGGACCAATCTACCCCAGGATCCCATTCCAGCCATCTCTATCACTCCCTATAAATCTCAGCCCACATCACCCCCTCCTTCCACCCTCCCCAGAGCCCCCCAGGGGAGCCCTCCCTCCCAGATACCCACCGGCAAACCAGGGGGCCCTGGGGGGCCAAGTGGGCCAGAAGGACCAGTGATACCCTGGAAAAGAGAAGGTTCTATGTCAGCCTTCAGACAAGGAGGCCCAGAGCAGGTGACTCCACCCCCTGGCCACACCGCCCAGTCCCCTCATCCTGTCCTGGACTCCCTGGAGCTCATCCCCAGCTCGTGGCCAGCCACTGACTCTACTAGGCAAAGCACACGTGGCAGGGAGCGCCTTCCTTTGCTGTGCCAGGCTGGCCTGAACACTGGCACCGAACACTGAACACTGACGCCCCACCTCACTGCCCTGTCCACACTGCAAGGAGCCACGTGCTTCTAGAACACAGAGATGGTCTCCAGTCCCTGGGTACCCTCATAGTTGGTCTTTCTTCTACAGTGACCCGGGGCAGGACCCGGGGAGAGTAGGGAGTGCTGTTTCCTCCAGCCTCCGAAGGTGCTTGGCACATGGTCAGAGCTGGAGACTTCCGGCCAGCTCCACCTTATAGGCCTTTCCCGCAAACCTGAAGCCCAGCTTGGACTTTGCCATGTTGGCCACAAGGTGCCAAAACTTCCCACTGAGATTGGAGCTGCATGCAGTCCAACAGCTGGGCGTGGCCCTGTCAAATGGTGCTTGGGAAGTGGACAGTCCCGCTAGAATGAAGACCCGGGTCCTTCCGCAGGGGAGGGCCCAACCTTGAGCAACACCTCCCTCCCTCTCCACATGCTCGTCCTTCTCAGGCCTTGGACCCTTCCTCACCCTGCTTTCCTGCAAACACCTCAGTGGTGGCAGCTGCCGGCGGGGGCTAGGGTTTGCTTCCCCGTGGCTCCTGAGGTTGCATGCTAACTAGCTGCAGTGGCTGCCAGGACGTTGGGGGTCAGATGTTCACACCTGAGGCAAGGTGGGGGCAGAGGCCAGATAGCACTCTGCTCTTTATGCCACACAGTCTCCAGTGAGCTTCTGGATGGTACAACTAAATCAAGGTGGACAGGCAGGAAGGGCTGATTCCCGAGTCCCTCTAGCTCCAAGGGCCACCACGGCTACCTGCTGGGTACAGTTCTGCCAGCTAGCCAGACAACCAGGTGGGGGCCCAAGCCTCCAGCTTTCCCATCGACAAAGCAGGGGCCTAGCTCCCTGCAGAGAACATCTCCTGGGCTCAGCCATGAGCGCCTCTACACTCACCTGCTCTCCCTTGGGCCCAGATGAACCTTGGGGGCCGGGGAGACCGCGGTCGCCCTTTTCACCCTGCTCGCCTGGAGGTCCGATGAGTCCAATCAAGCCTGGATGACCCTGTGGGAAGGAAGGCGTGGGGGGCGCTGTACCCGCAATGACAAGTCAAGGCCATCGCCACAGGTCGGGTGACCCCGGCGCACAGCTAGGCTCTGGAGCCCAGCAGTGGTCTGTGTGTGTGTGTGTGTGTGTGTGTGTGTGTGTGTGTGTGTGTGTGTGTGTGTGTGTGTGTGTGTGTGTGTGTGTCTGTGTCTGTGTCTTTCTACTTGATACACCCGCCAATGTTTAGGAAGGAAGGTGCAGAGTGCTAAAGACATTCATTTGTATGTCTTCTGAAAGAAAAATCCTGCCTGCTTCCGTAACCCCAGCTGTGTGGGAAGTGGAGACAGTTTGAGGCTGGCTCAAGCAAGAATGTTCGTGAGATCCCAGCTCAACAAACAAGCCGGGGAGTGACGGCTTGTATACATCGCCGGCAATCCCAGCCATGTGGGAGGGATAGGTGAGAGGATCTTGTGTGGTCAGAGGCCAGACTAGGCAAAATCACAAGGCCCTATCTGAAAAACAAACTAAAGCCAAAAGGGTGAGAGGTGTGGTTTAGGTAGAAGAGCACCTGCCCGGCAGGTGCGAAGCTCTGAGTTCAAACTCCAGCACTGCCTGCTCACCCAAAATTAAAAGAATAAAAGAAACACGAATGCCATCTATTTTGTCTGTTTTGTATGAGCCCATAGAAAGTCTGGAAGGATTCCTTCAGCTTCTATTCCATTGGAGCTTGGGAGCCTGCTGGCGAGAGCTATCAGAAGGGTAAAGAGATGGTCCTCTTTGCCTTCTCTAGGCTTGTGGCTATGTTTTATAGTTGTGAATAAATCAATGCAGGTAAAATGAAGTCACCACCAATTAGTGAAAACTGCCTGGCCATAGTGCTGCCCCAAACCCTAGGACAGACGAGGCGCCCACTCCCAGATGCCAGGCTGGCCTTGGCCACGAACTGTGCCGGGCTGGAAGGTTATCTGTTCCGTGGGGGCCCCGTGGGCCCCAAAGCAAGGCCACAGCCCAGCTTCACAGCAGTATTTTCCCTTTATCTTCCACCTCCCGGGTCCTGTCACAGCCCGGGGCACACTCTGGTGGCTTGTCCCTCCCAATTCACTGTGTTAGATCAGCTCTACCACAAGATCCCCTACAATCCCCACAAAGTTCCTGCTTACCTTTTCACCTTTGGGACCAGAATCTCCTTTGAGGCCAGGGAGTCCTGGGGGACCCTGTGCAGGAGGCAGAGGGGTCAGAATCCTTGTCTTGGGGTCTCTGGGACAGCACCCCTCACCCTTGGTGCTCCCTTGTCTCGGGACACTACCTCTCACCCTTGGTGCTGCCTTGTCTTGGGACAGCACCCCTCACCCTTGGTGCTCCCTTGTCTCGGGACAGCACCCCTCACCCTTGGTGCTCCCTTGTCTCGGGACAGTACCCCTCACCCTTGGTGCTCCCTTGTCTCGGGACAGCACCCCTCACCCTTGGTGCTCCCTTGTCTCGGGACAGTACCTCTCACCCTTAGTGCTCCCTTGTCTTGAGACAGCACCCCTCACCCTTGGTGCTCCCTCATCTCGGGACAGCACCCCTCACCCTTGGTGCTGCCTTGTCTCGGGACAGTACCTCTCACCCTTAGTGCTCCCTTGTCTCGGGACAGTACCCCTCACCCTTGGTGCTGCCTTGTCTCGGGACAGCACCCCTCATCTTTGGTACTGAGGGGACATTACTCACCATGGGGCCAGGCGGACCATCTGGGCCTGGGGATCCTGGGAGACCTTGTTCACCCTGAAACACAGAGACCCCAGGTATGAACGTGCCTCACGCCAGCAGCCCCCTGCCCCTCCCAGTGTGCCCAGCACACTTACCACAGGGCCAGGGATCCCTCGCAGGCCGTCAGGCCCGGGCTTCCCAGGAGCCCCCTGGGGGCCGATGGGACCTGTCTTCCCAGGAGGGCCTTCCAAGCCCGCTTCTCCCTGCGGAGAGGGGGTGGGTCAGGATGCTCGCAGGCCCTGGGGAGCTCGCCCAGGCTCCTGCTCAGAACACTGGATGCCGCCCAGACACCTCACATCCCCAGCTTCCTCCAGAGCTTCCCTGGGCACCGCCCATCCGCCTAACTGTGCAGCCCTCTGGCTCCTGGCCCTGCCCACCAGGCCAACCCATCCAGCAGGCCTGAGCTGCACAGCGCCCGCCGCTCGCTCATACCCTAACAAGGAGTCTCCAGACAGAGGCAAACGGTGCCACCCAGGCCACCTCAGAATGGCCCTGGGTCTCCGCCAGTCTCACAGGGCAGGCGATGGCCGCCACCCACAGCCCCAGCGCCCAGCACAGTTCTACCTTCCTCCACCAGAAGCCCAAGGCCGTGCAGGCTTCACACTGCCTTCTCGGCTTCCTTCGGCTACCACAGCTCCCGTCCTCAGGAATCTCCACCTCCCCCAGCCCTTGCCCTCCAGAGGCTCCAGTGTGGACCCAGCCAGCCAAGCAACAACTTACCTTGGCCCCTTTCTCTCCCTGTCTGCCTTCAGGGCCTGCGGGGCCTGGGGGACCCTAGAACAAGCCAAACAAGACAGGCAATGAGCTGACCTGAGCATGCACGGGCCTCAGAGCCGGGGTTGAGGGGCAGAGCTCCTCTAGGTCACCACAGGACTTGTCAGGCAGATCTGGGAGGCGCCCTGGCCACCCTGAGTTTCTGAGGCTCTCTCCTGGTTGAACATTAGCCCTAGGAAGTGACCAGGGGACACAACAATGCCTGGCCCTCCTCTAGCAGCCCAGAGAGGATGGTTCCCAGCCAGGCAGGTGGGAGTTGCAGGCTGTCAACCCAGCCCAGGCCTGAGATCTGAGGACAGTTGGAAGCTGGGTGGGGCTCACACTTGGCACACCGTGTCCGCTCCTTAGTGCTATGCTGGGTACCAGGGGATTCTGGCAGTGAAGCTGCATTGGGGATGAGCTTCAGGAAGGACTCACCCGCTTTCCTGGAGGCCCTGAGGGACCAGGCTCGCCAGTCGGGCCCGGAGATCCCTGGTGTGGAGAAAGAACAGGGAAGTTAGGGATTGGGGAAAGTTAGGGATTGGTGGTCTATTGGGTGGGGCACCAAGGACATTCACTCACCCCAGGACAGCCCAGTGTTCAGTGAGCCCGGCAAGTCCCGGGCAAGGCTGGGCTCTAGCTATGACTCGGGAGCCCTTCCACCAGCATGCAGGGTCGCTGCACTGTGTGGGCATTCAGAGTGGACACACAGAGGTTGGCCCTGGCCCCGCCAGGACTCTGGGAGAAAGCCATCTTGTCATGGCAGGAGGAGAGGAGCACTAAGCCAGGGGCCCGGGCAACCATGGGGGGTGGGGAGCCAGAGATGTCTGCCAGGGCCTGTGAACCTCCGCAAGACCTTCTTTCCTTTGCTATTCATGTCAAGTTAGTGACACGTGTCTTCTGCTATTGAGGAAATGTATAGTTTGAAGGCTCTTTCAAACACTCAGCTGAGATTTAGCTGCCACTGCGGGGAAGGGGTGTGATGGCTGATGAGGGGTGAGGGCGGAACCAAACTGAGGCCATCACTGTACAACACCCTCGGTTACAAAGGGGGATGGCTGTCTACTTGCGACCCACTCTCTCTCCCTCTTTCCCTTTCTCTCTCCCCTTCCTTGTGTGCTCTCTTGTCACGTGATGCCTTGTATCACATTACAACAAAGGCAAGGTCCCTCCATCTTCAACTTCCCCGACTCCAGCATCTGAGCCCAATAAACTTGGGCTGGGGCACTTCATCACAGACCCAGACATCTGTCACTTCCTAGGAGTCACACCACAGGAGGTGTGGGCCGGGACATGGAAGTCCCAGGGGTGAGGGATGGGGAGCATCGGGTCCTTCCTAAGCAGTGTCCTGCCTAGAGGCGAGTGGGGTTAGTCCCATCCCAGAGAGACTGGCTTGCAGGCTGGAAGCAGATAACTGCTCACGGTCAAGGGCTGTGCCGACCATGTGAGAAATGCCCAGAGACTCAGCCCTCTCCTTGGCCTGCCTGGTGCTCACTTTGTCAGGTGGCCATGGTGAAGCCTGGTATTCACAGGGAGTTGGGGAAGGGGAAGGGAGAGGAACCCTGGCCCCGGTTCAGAATCCCTGGTGGGTGTAATTCCTTTTGGAAAAAGGCTTGGGGCAGGGGACATTTTTCTACCCAGAAATGATAGCATCATTCAAAGGCCACATGAAATGATCAATATAGGCAGTCGGCAATGGCAGCCAATGGAAGCATACAAGAAGCCAACATGGCTGGGAAGGTGGCTCAGTGGTAGAGTGCTTGCCTCGAATGTATGAGGCCCTAGGTTCAATTCCTCAGCACCACATAAACAGAAGAAGCCGGAAGTGGCACTGTGGTTCAAGTGGTAGAGTGCTAGTCTTGAGCTGAAGAGCTGAGGGGCAGCACCCAGGCCCAGAGTTCAAGCCCCACAACTGACAAAAAGAAGAAGCAATCAGTCTGTCCTGGCATCGTGTAGGCTTTATACGGACCACAGGGGTTCCTGGGCCTGCCACGGGGAACTGGCGCTAGGTTTCTCAGAAAAGAACGGATTGAGTTACAAAGTCCCCGGAACCCAGGAACACCCTGTGCGATGGTGGACTCACCGTCTGTCCGGGCTCACCATCGTCTCCTTTGTCACCAGGGGGACCATCCTGACCCTGTGGGAACAGAGGAAGGTCCTGCTTCTGCCTTGATGGCACCCGAACACCCCCCAGCCCCAGGCCAGGCCGTGCTCAGTCCCTTCCCAGAGCATCCGGGGACTGGCTCAGGGTGTGGTCCTTCTCTTGAAGTGGAGAAAGCTGGGTCCCCAGTTGAACTCCCCAGAAAGAGATCAGCAGGGAGAAAGGAGACGGGGGGGGGGGGGTGTCTCACAGAGTGATGCAGGGCCCGCCTGTACTTACCGCAGGGCCAGGCTCCCCAGGGGGGCCAGGGTCTCCAGGAAAACCCACCGGGCCCTGAAAAGGAGAGGGGGAGGGGCGGGGCAGTCAGCAGCTTGACCACACCCTGCCCACCACGCCCCTGCCCAGGTCCAAGGATGCAGGGCAGTGTCAATGCCTTGGACGCTTGCAGCCAGCTGATCCTATGGTGCACGTCCATGGGTAGAACCCTCCCAGAGGGCAAGCAGTGGCCAGCAGCCTCCTGCTCACCGGACGGGCGAGGGCAGGTATCTGGCCCACAAGCCACCCTGCAGACCTGAGCTAAGGCCAGAGCCTGGACCTTCAGGAGTCTGGATCAGGCCTCCTTGAAATTGTCCTGTTACAAAACCAGGGCAGACAGAGGAAGGGGCCGCTGCCCATGGGTCATGGCTGGCTGTGTCCACAAGGTCGACCCTCCACAGGGTTCCACTGCCATAGCTCTCCTTGTCCATCTCTACTAGTTCAGCCCAGAAGCAGGTATGGAAACATCTAGATAAAACTTCCCAGGATGTACAGCTGTCATGCATGTCTTTTCTGAGTAAGAGCGGACTGAGAGCATGGTGCCCCCACACCCCCAAACCACGGGGCACCCACAGCACCGCAGACTACTCACAGGGCTGCCTTTGGGGCCGTCGTCTCCGGGGGGCCCTTTGGGCCCAGGGGGTCCAGCAGCACCAGAGGGGCCGGCCTCGCCCTTCTCCCCCCTTTCTCCTTTGGGTCCCTGGAAGGGAAGAGAGGTCCGGGTCCAGTGCTCAGAGCTGACCCATGTACCTGCAGGTGCTGGCCAGGGCGGCACCCGGTGCTCGCTGAGCTGGGATCCCTTCCCCAGCACTTGTCAGGCCTCAAGGGGAGCTGGAGCCACGCTGCCGCTCTCATCCCAGCCCTAGCTGCTCCCTGAGCCCGGGCCCTGCGCGCCCCGCCAGGTGGTAGAGGAGCCCCAGGCCTTTCTGGGCCCAGCTGTAGTTGGAGGCTGGGCCGGGGATCGGGGGTAGATGGGGCAGCCACCAATTCCATAGCTCCTAGACCAGGGGTGCAGCAAGGAGCCGGAGAATTCGGTCCTCCCCCAGACCTCAGGACGGCCGCCTGGCAACTGCACCTGATCTCCAACCCCAAGCTCACCGCCAGTCTGAGGTGGTGGGTCAATCCCAGGCCCACACCAGCCAGCACAAGGGCCCAGTGCTGCACAGGGTGGAGTTACCGCAGCCATGGGCCCCATGGGTCACGGCTGGGGACTGTGCAGAACAGACGCACAAGCACTACCCTCCCTGCATTCTCTTGTTCATTATTTTTTCCAGTCGTGGGGCTTGAACTCTGGGCCTGGGCGCTGTCCCTCAGCTCTTCAGCTCAAGGCTAGCGCTGTATCACTTGAGCCACAGCACCATTTCTGGTTTTCTGGTGGTTCATTGGAGATAAGAGTCTCCGGACTTTCCTGCCCAGGCTGTCTTGGAACCGAGATCCTCAGATCTCAGCCTCCTGAGTAGCTAGAATTACAGGTGTGAGCCACCAGTGCCTGGCACCCTTGTACATTTTTACTGTAATTCTCTGGCACTGGAGGGCACAGCAGGGTGATGATTCTTTGGTTGTTACTTCATTGTTAGGGCTTGAACTCCAAGCCTGGGTGCTGTCCTTAAGTTTATGTGCTCAAAGTTAGTGATCTACCACTCAGACCATAGCTCTATTTCCTGGTACAAAAGAGTCTCATGGACTTTCTTGTCTGGGCTAGCTTCAACTGCAATCCTCAAATCTCAGCCTCCTGAGTAGCTAGGATTTATAGGCATGAGCCACTGACACCCAGCTTTGATTCCCATTACGTGAAAGGTTAAATGGAGCAAACTGGGGCTTTCCATCCTGGCCGTGCCCACACAGCGCCAGGTACACTCACCGGGGGGCCTCCTTCCCCTGGAAGACCAGGCTCTCCACCTTCACCGGGCTCCCCCTATGGAGACAAGGAGCACATGACGAGGCCTGGCCAGGACAGCTGTGGGTCCAGCGGCCTGCACATGCCAATTTTGACTGTGTGCCATCCGGCACTGGAGACTCAAAGGTGGTGGCGCTCAGGACTGTGGGGAGGCCTGTGAGGAGCGTGGCCTGGTGAGGGCTCACAGCACAGGACAGAGGAGCGTGGCAGATGGAGGTGGGGGCCGGGGAGGGGGGGAAGGGGGAGACTCACAAGGGGGCCACACCAGTGAAGGCAAACAGGTGCCCGAGGCCCTGGAGAACTAGGTGACACTGTGAAGGCGTGGGCAGCAGGACAAAGGCAAGGGCAAGCCCTCGGGTGGGCAGGAAGGGTCTGCGGGCCTGTGAGGGGCAACTGAGAGCAGGGACATGCACGGGGCAGGGCACGGAGGGAAGGCGCTGCCCCTGGGGGCAGAAGCTGGGCCTCTACCCTGCGGTGTGCTTCTCTCCATCACTCCTATCACAACAATTGAGCCAACCGAGTGACCTGCTGCATCAGAAAGAAAGTTCTGGAAACAGTGGCCAGGGGACACGAACACATGTTGTGACTCCCTAAAGTCTGACTTCTTGAACTCATGAGCAACGTGCAGCATTGGATCACACAGGCCACACCTGCACACATGTGCGTAAACACAGGTACTCACACACATAGGTGCACACGCACTCAGGCATAAACGCACATGTTCACCCACTTGTGCACACACATGTGTACACACATGTACACATGTATGACTGCCAATGTGCACACATGCATTCACGTGCACGCACACCTAGATGTATATATATCCACACACATGCGTTCACACATCCACAAGAGCACACACGTGGGCTCATCGTGTTCACTCACTGCCCTGAGGGCCCTAAAGTCAATTAGAAGCAATGATGAGGCCTGGGCCCTGGGGAAGGAAAGGACCAGGCTCAGGGGGAGATGTGAGCTCAGCAGCCTCGCAGTTTAGGGGTGGGAGGGACAGTCCCTTCTGCCAGGGCTAAGTCTTGGGGAGATACTGAGGATACTAGTGAAGGCTGGCAAGGGGGCATCATTCAGAACTTCTGCAAAAGGCTGTCACAAATAAATGCGTCAGAATTCCCAATTCCAGCTCATCAATCTTAAGTTTCTAAATACATTTACAGGAATAACCCAGCTGCATCTCCTTGGATGTCTCTGCAGGTATGAGCAGATATATGCAAATGTGCACATGTGCATGCACACACACACTCAATTCTCACACTGCCCCCAAGCTGCCTCTGTAACAAGTAATAGACATCACCTTTTCTCCCACTGCTCCAGGATTTCCCACGCCGCCAGGAGGACCCTGAGGCCCATCAGCACCTGGGGCTCCGGACGGTCCTCGGGGGCCAGGGGGACCAGGAGGGCCCTGGGAAAGGAAAGGGCGTTGAGTCCAGACAAAATACAAACAACCCCCAACACGAAAACCAGGCACCTCAACAAGGTCTCGGTGGCCTGGCCACACTTACCATCTGGCCCACGTCTCCTGTCTCACCCTTTTCTCCTGGAGGCCCGGGCAAGCCCTGAGGACAGGAAACGTGGAGGTTAGATGATGAGCTATGCTGCACACCCACTGTCCTCACTCGGCACCAACACACTGCCACAGACCTCCGGAGCCCCGCAGGGTAATAGACTGCCACCAGTCTATTACCACGTGAGGCCACACCATGGTACAAGGGCGCCAAGCTTGTTGAGGAAAGAATCGGAGGAGGATGCAAAGATTTATGGACACAGGCACTTATGGCAGCATCTCATAAAACAATAAACTTAATGAGCCGGCAGCAGGGGCCGTCTGGATAAGTTATGTCCCCAGCACATGCTGAAATACTACACAGTAACTAAAAACCGTGTTTTCCTAAATAAAAGCGGAATATTTAATGACATTCAGCACCCATAATAGGAAACAAAAGCTGGGTACAAACTCACTCTCTAGAGCATATGACAGCCCTGATTTGCATTTTGCAAATGCCAAACAACCTATGCACCTGGGTGGCTATGAACACACCCGCCTTGGAAACGCACCAGATGCTGTCATTTGTAGGACATGTGCTTAGAAATGGACTTGTGTAAGCCAAGCATCTGTGGCTCATGCCTGTAATTCCAACTACTTGGGAGGCTGAGAATGGGAGGAGTAAGGTTCAAGGCCAGCCCAGGAAGAAAAGCCTGGGAGACTCCCTCTCAACAGAGGGGAGCTGGGTACAATGGTGCTTGCCTGTCAGCTTAGAGGGAGCTGGATACAATGGTGCGTGCCTGTCAGCCCAGCAACTACAGGAAGCCTAAGGTGATCACAGCTCAGGAGTACACCAAGGAGCAGGAGGAGGAGGAAGAGGAGGAGGCAGAGGAGTAGAGGAAGAGGCAAAGGAGAGGGAGGAGGACGACTCGTGTTTCCTCTTCTGACAATTGACCAGTGCTTCTCAGGTTTCTATGGGGATGTGCAGTGTATCTGGCGTCCTGGGCACTGGGATTACTTCCAATCCCTGCCACTGAGCCTCAGTTTCCCCATTCTTATAAAGACAGGAGAGGTGGGCCCCGTGAACCCTAGGAGCCACTGTCACAGTCCGGGCAATGCAGTTACCTGTAGCCCCACCGGTCCTGGTGGCCCGGGGAAGCCTCTGGAACCTTCATCTCCCTTCTGCCCAAAGAGGCCTTGCTGGCCTCGCGGGCCGGGCTCGCCGTCGGCTCCCTAGGGGAACATAAGTGAGGTGAGGTGAGGCCACGCAGCAGCAGGGCAGGGTCTCACCCAGGGGGTCTAGTCACAGGTACTCACCGAGGGGCCTGGCTGTCCAATGGGGCCTTGAGGACCTGTAGGCCCGGGGGGACCCTGTGGGGAGCAAACAGAGGCAAACAGGTTGCTTCCTAATCCCAGACAGGACCGAGGGAGGGCTGAGTCCTGTCCCACGTGGGGGCCGGTCAACATCAGCTCCCACACGTGGCGTCCAGCCTGGGGAACGTGAGCCAGGCTGAGTGGCTCCCCATTCAGCCTCAGCAGGCAGGCATGCGAGGCCCGATGGACAGTGGGGATCAAGAACCACCCAGCTCGTCCCCGTGGGCTGGGACGGGATGCCACTGCACCCCTGCTCCCGTGCTGTCCTTCAGGGTCCTCCAATGGGACCAGGGGACAGGAGAGCAAGTAGGGAACTAGGCCCCAGCCTCAGAGAGCCTCAGGCCCACACAGGAGCTGATGACGTCCATCCTGGCCATACAAACGGAAAGGAGGCCTAGTAGCCTCGAGAAGAGGCTTATGGCCAGGGCTACAGAGCTTTGGTAAGAACACACTAGTAATTCTGGATAGGAAAACAAAAAGAGAGTGGCGGGGACAAAAAAACTGAGCCAGGTCCTGCCCTGCTCAGCGCTAGAGGGCCAAGTGGCCTGGAGCAGAGGAGGGCCCAGCCACAAGACCTGTGCACATGGCGGCCCCCTTTTTACCCTTTACAACTTTTTTTCAGCACGTATTAGTGGTACACAAGGCAGGGGGTTCACTGTGACACTTCCTTACATACAATGTACCTCAATCAGACTCACCCTGCCATCTCTCTCCTTTACTCCCTCTTCTCCTTCCCCCCTCCCCCTCCTTAAGACAATTTCGAGGTTTAATTGTTCTAGGCTCCTATGAACATAGAAAGAACTCGCCCACCTTCACCCTCTCCATTCATCTCCCTATCCCCACCATCTGCTCTACTTCCTTGGGATTCACTTTTATGATCATATAGTACCTATACAAAGAGATTAAACTGAGATATTTCCATACCTGCATGTAATGCACTTGGACCACGTTCACCCTTCTATTACTTTCTCCTCTCTCCTCCCCCTCTTTTAAAAGTATTTTAACATTGGAACATTCTGTATGCTCACAAAGTACATCCCATCCACGGCCAGGGTCATACCCCCACACACACAGTCAGTGTGTCCCTACGGACTGCACACCAGTGAGCATGCACATGGCTCCCCGCACTTGTGGGGACTGTCCACACCCACCGCACGGCCACCGCACGGCTCTTACCTGCTCACCCTTGTCCCCTTTGCTTCCTTTCTGCCCCGGCTCCCCGATCTCTCCCTAGGGCGCAGACAAGTCACAATTAGAAAGCCCACGACCTCAGGCACCTTCCTCCTTGCCCACCATTCATTGCTCCTGGAGACTAACTGGAGTCCTCCCTGTGGTGACTACGTGACTTCCGGGAGGGACACACGTGCACTCTCAGTGGGGTCTCCCTTCTAACCAAGGGCTGGGGGATGGCCCCCAGAGCTGAAGCTGTGCAGAGCAGCTGCGGAGGTGGCGATGTGGGGAGTCTCTGGAGATCTGCTTCCCTTTCAAACTGGACCATGAACAGAACACAGCGAGAGGTGACTCCATTCCGGAGTTCTCAAGAAGGCCTGGAACTCTTCTCCAGGTTTCTGTCCAGGCCCCACTGCCTCCCCCCCAGATGGAGGTGTCCTCTAGGCAGACGTGACGGAGTCAGGAATGTCACCAGAGAGCTGTCATACACGGAAAGTTGGGCCGGAGAGCTAAGTCTCAATGTCGTCACTAAATGAAGTCTAAACTATGAGAGCCTTGGTAATAGCATCAGATTAGGAAGCGCATGTTTAATGAAACGGAGCCTTGATAATTCAGGGGAAGATGTTTAAAAATAGATATTGAGTAAAACCCTGTTAAATCCAGACTCCAGATTTGTAGTGATTCAGAGGAGAGCAAGGAGCTTTCTCCTCTGCTCTGGCCAGTGATGACACAAGTCCTGGGCACCAACAAACCCTGGCAAGCAGAGAGCGGGGGCCCACGCCCCGGCACACACCTGCCCGTGGGGACCGCTGCCAGCAGGCCACTGCGCAGCACCTGCTAACTGCAGAACTGAGCTGGCCAGGGTTGTCAGCACCTGCTAACTCCAGAACTAAGCTGGCCAGGGTTGTCAGCACCTGCTAACTCCAGAACTGAGCCGCCCAGAGCTGTTAGCACTTGCTAACTCCAGAACTGAGCTGGCCAGGGCTGTCAGCCCGGCCCGGTCCGTGGGCTGAGTCCCATGCCCTCGCACTCACCTGCCATCGCTCCCCACACTCCTTACCTTGTCCCCGTCCTCTCCAGGGGGACCCACAGGGCCAGCCGGACCAGGAAGCCCCACGGGACCCTGGAGGCCATCGCGACCAGCCGGGCCTTGTGGGCCTTTCTCGCCCTAGAGAGGACAGAAGATCCCAGGTGAAGCGTAGGATCACACCACCACCCACTCAGTGCCCCACAGAGGGGCAGGGAGGGAGCTGGGCACCACCACAGCCAAAGGGCCCTCAGCAGGATGCACTATGGGTCAACTCAGCCCAGCCTGGACCCTGAGTGTCCAGCGGGTCACTACACCTCGCCCATCCTCATCCCAGGAAGAGTTGTTCTTTATAGAGAGGGAACCTGAGGCACAGTTAGTATGACGACCTCAATAGAAAGGGTCCCCAGCTGGTGAGGCTATTTGGGGAGATGGTAGAATTGTAGGAGGCAAAGATTGGCTGGAGAAGTGGGCTAAGGAGGCATGTCTGGATAGATACCAGAACCCTGGGGCTTTTCACCTCTCTGCTCCCTGGCTGCCAGGGGAAGGTAGCTCTGCCCGACCCAACTCTCTGCTATGATGCCTGGCCCCACCACAGACCAGAAACTGTGGACCCAGCTGAGCACGGACTGAAACCCCTATAACTCAATCTTTCCCCCTTATGTGGCTTCTCTAAAGTATTTGTCACCGTGGTGTAAGACAGTAACAACGTGAATCCCTGTACAGCGGGGATTCAGATCTAGTCACTAAAGTCCTGAGTCTGAGGGTGCAGGGCCCAGCTGTGTCCAGGACATCCCCAGCTCCAGCCTCCACCCACCATGTTATCTTTGTGAATCTGTGGTCAGCCTGACTGTGCAAACCCATACCGGCACATATTCATGTGCATAAAAGATATAATTAAGTGCACATATTGCACAAACGCATGTGCATACAGCCATGCCTGCACACACAGGCACATGGGACTTGTGTTGTATGTGTGCACATAAGCACAAACAAGAACATGTAGAAATGCATTGCACATACCTGCACACACAGAGAAGCATACATGCACATGCATCCAGACATATATACTCAGATATGCAGGTGTACATACTTACATATACACAAACACAGAAATGCCCAGACATGGGTGTGTGTGCTTGGGGAGATAGATGTGGACACACACACACAGGCACACAGGCACATGCATGGGCACGCACACACACACACACACACACACACACACACACACACACACACACTTCCTAGCCTCATCACTGACTCACTTTCCTCCTGCTCCACCTCTTGGTAACCTCCGAAGCTTCTCGCTAAGTTCTTGCTAGGCTCAGTTTTGCCTGCCATCCCATCACTCTGTGAGAGATGTAAATTTTCTCACCCCAGCCAAGAACCTTCTCTTCCAAGGGTACAAGAAAATAGGCGTAGTACAAGGGGGAGAAAAGGGCACAAATGAGAACAGGCACAATCAACGCTGGGCTCCAAACACAGCCAGGGATGGCCAGGCTTCCCCACCCACCCCAGCCTTCCTGACCCACCCGTCACACGCTACTCCTCACATCTGGTTCCTGTTGGTACCAAAATCTGCTTCACCTAAGCCAGAAAATGTCTCGGCTGTGCGTGGGGCTTTAGGGCAGCCTTCTGACCCACATGTCCAGCCAGAGTGGGGGACCTTTGGGCTGTTCTGACCTTTTCCTGACCATCCCTTTGCTCCAGAGCTTCAGGAAGACCTCGAACTTGCTGCCGGACAGGGCAGCTCTCGCAAACCACCGGCTTACACATTTACTCTCTGGAAACAGTGAGTCAAACCTTCGCAGCCAAACGTGTGAGCTTGGTGTATGTATGTGTACTAGGTGCTCAGAAGGATTGTGTTTTCTGGTGCAGAGCACAGCTGGACCCACATCCTGAGCCTCTCTGGAGACGGTACACATGTCAGACTTTGGAAAACGTGTTGCTGGACCCTTAATGGCAGAGACGGTCCAGGGCGGTTTAAGTGGGAACGAGCCAATCTGTTCTTTCTACTTGGGGCCCCCAGGAGTAGAAGACACAGGAAATCATACCTCGCTAAAGACAACTCAGTGGGTACAGAAGCCCAGCCCCGAGCTGGCTGGGTTGCTCTCCTGTCAGGTCCCTTCCGAGCCTGAGCCACTATAAGACATTGCAACTAGAATCTGTCTACAGGGCTGACTAAAAGCAGGGCAGGCGGGAGAGGCCAAAAGTATGTTGCAGACTCTGATTCACAGAGGAGCAGACCTTGATTCTCTGACCCAGCTCCTAGCCCTTCTTGGCTAGAGTGCTTCTCTCCGTATCTGCTCTGTTCTCAGATTGGCAAAGGCACCATATGCCCCATCTTGTGGGCTTAGGGGCATGGCCAAGAGGTAGAGAACTTGCCAACCGCTATGTCCAAGACCCTAGAGTCCAGCCCCAGTATTACAATAAAGACACAAACAATAACCAAACAAACAAATGTAAGCTGAGCATAGTGTTGCATGCCTACAATCCTAGCTACTTAGAAAGCAGAAGCGAGAGGATCTCCAGTTTGAGACCAGCCTGGGCAAAGTTAGCTAGATCCTATTCCAAAACCAAAAATACAGGGCCAGCGGTGGTGGCTTATGCCTGTAAGCCCAGCTACTTGTGGAGTCAGTGGCAAGAGAACTAAGATCCAAGGTCAGCCCAGGAAAAAGTGCGAGGCCTTGTCTGAAAAGCAAACCAAAGCAACAGGGGATTGGGAGTGTCGCTCAAGAGGAAGAGCTCTGGCCAGGCAAGCATGAAGCCTTAAGTTCAAAATCCAAACAAAAGGGAGGGGACATAGGTTCAATCCCCTGTACAAGAAACAAGCAAACCCAAACTCCACTCTTCTAAGACGAGCTGTGGGTGGGGCCAGCAGCGGGGCCATCCACACAGGTGACAGGCCGAGAGTGGGGCAGGGCGGAGACCCGCCACACGGTGTGCAGGGGAGCTGAGAGCCCAGGGCCTCGGCCACGGCTCCTCAGAGTACCACACTCCCTAAGGGTGACCTCACTTTACCAGCTCTTCCCACGTCCGTGGGGGGGCACCCTGGGGGAGAGCCAATGCCAGCTATGGGGGGGGGGGGGTCCCTGGTACTCCGGAGAGGACTCTTCAAGTCAAAAGCAGTACTTACAGGAGCTCCTTTCTCTCCAGCAGGCCCTGGTGGTCCCTGGGGTCCGGGTCTTCCTGGAATTCCGATGGGGCCAGCCGCACCGGCCGGACCCCTCTCCCCGGGAGATCCCTGGATATGGCAAGAAAAGAGTTTGCTTCAAAGGCTTGTGGAGAAGATTTGCTGGAGCAACACTCGATTATGTCCCTTACGCCACAGCCCTCAGTGGCTCCCTAAGACTCTCAGCAAACACCCACTATTTACTCTAGGATTGGAGGCTCCATGTCATCTGGCTTCTCCTCACCTCTTCCCACAATTCTGCCTCCTCGGCCCTTTTCCCATCATCCTGCTTCCTCGACCCTCCTCCCACAATTCCACCTCCTCACCTCCCCTCCCACAATTCCACCTCCTCCCCTCCCCTCCCACGATCCAGCCTCCTCGGCCCTCCTCCCACAATTCTACCTCCTCCCCTCCCCTCCTACGATCCGGCCTCCTCGACCCTCCTCCCACAATTCCACCTTCTTACCTCCCCTCCTACAATCCCGCCTCCTCGGCCCTCCTCCCACAATTCCACCTCCTCCCCTCCCCTCCCACGATCCCGCCTCCTCGGCCCTCCTCCCATCATCCTGCTTCCTCGGCCCTCCTCCCACAACTCCACCTCCTCGACCCTCCTCCCACAATTCCACCTCCTCGACCCTCCTCCCACAATTCCACCTCCTCGACCCTCCTCCCACGATCCCGCCTCCTCGGCCCTCCTCCTACAATTCCACCTCCTCGACCCTCCTCCTACAATTCCACCTCCTCGACCCTCCTCCCACAATTCCACCTCCTCGACCCTCCTCCCACGATCCTGCCTCCTCAGCTCTTCTCCCACCATCCCTCCTCTTCACCTCCTCCCCATGATCCCACCTCCTCCCCTCCCCTCCCATGATCCCACCTCCTCCCCTCCCCTCCCATGATCCCACCTCCTCCCCTCCCCTCCCATGATCCCACCTCCTCCCCTCCCCTCTCATGATCCCACCTCCTCAGCTCTCCTCCCACAGAGCCACCAAGCCCTTCTGGATGGCAGAGATTTGTTTGTAAGGCAAATGCTCTATTTCAAGCAACATCAGAGGGGAGAGGGGAGCCTACAGTCCTGCTGGGGAGTGTGGGGGGAGCACCCCAGACCCCTATTCAGCTTGACCACAGCTGTGAGTCTGGGGAAGCAAAGACTTTACTCCTCTCACCACTGGGGTCTTGAGGGTGGAAGGGTCAATGAGTTCAAGCGACAGCAGAGGAGAGCCGCTGCACTGACAGGTTGAGGCTCCACCCCCGGCCTGCGTGGGGCAGCTCGCCCAGCCCTACAGCACATCCTTGGAACTCGTGAGTCCTGCATCCCCCCTTCCATCCACTTACACCCTACTCCATTCACACACCGTGCCCCCAGGCCACAAGCTCCAGTACACAGTCCACATCCACCACCAAGGCCCTGAGCTCCCCCGTCCTCCCAGGACACACGGGGTGGTGCATCATGCCTGCCCGGCCTTGGGAACCATCTGTCTTGCCTGTGGAGTTGGTCTGAAGGAGAGGACAGGATGAAAGCTTTGACTCACCGCAGGGCCTGGGGGTCCCGGGGGGCCTTCGCTGCCTTTCAGTCCCAGAGCTCCCTGCAAAGCGGTGAGATGTGGCTCAGGTGAGAAGCCCCCAGGACCACACCCTACCCCACCCCACCCTCCATGTCCCTCCCATGGCCCCACCCAACCACTAGGCCCCTCACTCACCACAGGACCAGGGAGCCCTCGGTCCCCAGGGAAGCCACGCAATCCTGGAGGGCCATCTTTCCCGGGGAGGCCGGCGGGGCCTGGGTCACCCTGAGAACAGAGGCAGAGCAGAGGTGAGCGTGTTCAGGAATGACTGACTCCCAACCTTGACCTGCCTTGGGGGGTTGCAGGGTCAGTGCCAGTTCAGATTCCCCAGCCCTCTACATCCAGGGATCCGGTTGCTCTGGGGCCTCTCTGGACCTCTTGACCTTCAAAGGAATCATTGGGTTTTGTCTGTTGGGGGGTTAGGGGTTTAGTGCTGGGGAACAGACCTAGGGCCTGGTGTATGCCTGTGCATGGCCCAGGTGCACACCCGTGAGCCTCTCCCCCAGCCTGGTGCCGTGTGGATCTGGGGGAAGGACCTGTAACTTTCTCCTTGCCCTTCATGGAGGTCTAGCCCCTGAAGTCCATTGAGGGCCTGAGCAGGGGTTGGGGTGACTTGGGGTGATTTCTACCTGCATTATGAATTTAGGGTTCATCTCTAGATGAAGGAATCAGGGCTGAAATCACCCTACAAGGACTCACTGCTCAAGGGACTTGCTGAAAAGAAGCACCATCTGGGCCTGTACCCTCCCCTCTCCAAGGGCTGTAAAAAGCTATGGTGTCTTCCAGAATTCCCCAGGCTCAGACCAAAAGATCAACTATCCTTCCAACTAAGCAAGCTCTATGAACCTGGGTGGACAGATTTATGCACATATGTGCATGTGTGGTGTGTATGCCCAAGTACATACGTATTTACTTAGTACGTGCACACAGAGACGTGTGCTTCTTCTCAGTGCTTTGCCACGAATGCAGTCATAGGAAAGCTTGTATCCTGAGCCCTTACTAAAAGGCGGAGTGAGGAGCTATTTTTATGTTAGGGCCTCCTAACCTGGCTAGCTAGGAAGGTGGGAGGGGGGGGGAAGGGCAGCTGGAGGATCATAGTGAGAATAGAAACACTTTCAGAATTTATTTTCAGCCTTCTGAGGTGAGAGACTTTCAAAGAGTCACTTTCGACTAAATCTGTACTGGACGTGGAGGTGCAGGGGCTTTTGTCCAATGATTCTGGGGGCCGGGCAGCAAGAGAAGGAGCCCTCAGCGAGCAGGCGCCTGGGATGGTTTTGATCCCCGAGTTTTGTTCTCTTTGGGCTCCATCCCCGCAGCAGGTCAGCCCAAAGCACAGCTCGAATCAAGGAAGAGTGCAGCTAAATTTGTGGGTTTGGCAAGCGAACAAGTATGAGAAGCATTTACTTGAGAAATTACACACTCAAGACAAAATACAGCATCCTCAAGGATCCCCAGGGAAAGGTCAGCTGAGACCAGCACTCCTAGAGACTCACCTTTGTCCCTTCTTTCCCAGCAACGCCAGGGAGACCCTGTTCACCAGGGGGACCTGGAGGTCCCGGATGGCCACGCTCGCCCATCGGACCTGTTTCTCCCGTGGGACCCTAGAGGGGAAAACGAGCATGGTTACGGTCAGTTTCAACTGGCTTTCTGGGCAAGCTGGGAGGACACTGCTGGTCCCCGTGCTGTGGCTGGCGCCCCACCCCCAAAGGCTACCACCTCTCTGGGACAGAATGAGAACCATTCTTTTGCAGGGCAGGGCAGGGTGGGGTGGGTGCAGAAAGTCAGCCATTGAGGATGGAAGGACAAAAGCCCATGTGTCCCTCAGTTCAGTTCTGTGATGAGAGAGGGTCACTATCTTATTGCCTGCTACATGAGGTGTGTGGTTTCTGAGAAGCTAAGAGGCAAGGTGGCCACTGCCCCGTGTGCTGCTATAAAAGGCGTCAGTGCTCTTGTTGATCTACCATGGCTGGGGCTGGAGCTCTGGGGCGCCGGCAGGAAGCCAGTGTGGGAGAACGTGGTGCCTTGGCTGCTCACAGCAAGGACAAGTGGACACAGCCGGGCCCTGTCCTCCAGAAGCCGGAGCCAGTGCCCAGGCCCATCGGACCCAGGCTCAGGCCACCCTCAATCCAGTGGCTGGGCCTAAGCCGAATGCTCAGTCAGCCCCTGGCCCTTTCTTTCCTGTGGGGTCTCCTGCATGGGACCTGTCTCCTACAGTTGGTTGGCATTGTTGGATTTGCAGCTGTTCGTGTATACATCTTCAGAACCCAAAACCCAACACTGACCATCTCCCCTGTGAGGTTGGAGGTCTCACCTGAGGGCCAACCACGCCTGGAGGACCCGGTGGGCCCGTCTTGCCTTGGAAACCCTGTGGAGAGAGTGCGATGCGCGCTGTTGCTTTGGTGGCCGCCCCCGCCCTGCCGCAGCCTCATCAGAGCCCCACATAGCCCAAAAGCCAGATTTCATTTTCAAGCCATTTCGCTGGCTCTGTTGCCATATTAATCTCATGAAGGTAATGGAGCCAGAGGAGTTGGCATCCTGGCGTCGTTTTGTGCTGAGAAGGGGATTTTTAAACCTGGGAGTGTCTCTCATATCTCTGGGTCATTGAGTAGACTTTGTAGCCTTTGTCCTCTGTGCCTCTTGATGTTCGGTGGGTGATCTGCCCGGATGCTCCCATCCATGTATTTAGCACGGGAAACAGCCAGGCCTGGCTTCTCTTAACCTGCACTTCAGATCTCCTCTCCGCTCCATTAGCTCATGTGGAGGTCAGACGTGACCAGGCCAGGGCTGGCTCTGCTTCCTAAATGGTCCTGTTGTGGGGAGAGCTCTCCTAGGGCCCTGTGAGTGTGACTTCTGGTCATGACAGCAGCCCAGGGCAGGTGGAACAAGGAGCCACCCACAGGGACATGGGATGACCCACCAGAGGCCTTAGAGGAAACTCCAGCTCGGAGAGGGCAGGGGTAGTCTCAGGGCCACAGTTAGGACTATAGGGTGGGCCTTACGCCAGCGTCTGGGATCTCATGCAGAGCCACTGGGCCATGTGAACCACGTCTGAGCACTTGTGCTTCATTAAAAACAGAAAGAACTTCCAGGCCCCAGGAAAACTGTCCTCCAGGGGGTTCTGGACTGGATAACCAAGGGGACTGTGCACCCCACGTGGGCCTCAGAGATGGCCCACCAGTGCCATCAAAACTGAGGAGGGAGGTGAGTAGCTGAATGAGCTTTACCACCATCTTTCTAGAATAAGACCAAAGAAGAACACACAATGTGCAAACACTCTGTCATGTCTCCTTGGAAAGGCATTAGAGAAAAATGTGCAAAGATCGGAAGAAAGGTTTTAATTTTTCTCTATAAACGAAAGAGCAAAGCAATCTCCATTTATCAGCCAGCATGTTGCCTAGAACACCGGCAGAGGTGTAATTAAAAGAGGTCTCAGCACCATCACCAAAAAAAAAAAAAAAGCAAAAGGACTCTTCAAAAAGCAAGAGGCAGAATGTTATCAGATGAGGCCTTCAAAGACCCATTCCAGGGGATGCTGGGGCTAACAGAAACCTTTTGAGACCAAGTGCAAAGAACCAGGCTGCAGAGACAAAGGGGTCTGCCGGTCCCTGAGTGGCCCCCACTGGGGGAAAAGCGTCCATCTGTGCAAACTGTCCTTCAATCTGGACTGAGAGTACACAGAGCAAAAACACAGCACATCTATGGGGAGGCTACTTGGCACTGCTCCACGCCAGGCCCCCAGAAGCGACCACGATCACTGTCCCTAATGGCAGAAGAAGGGTCCAGGAAATGATCAGACTTCTGACAAATGCATCCTCTCTCAGTGGGAAGCAGTGGGCTCCATTACAAGGTCAAGTTCAAAAGCAGTCCTCATCTGAGCATAGCTCAGGAGCAGGATAAAGGCACCTTCCTCACCCTCCACCATCAGCCCCCAGGCTGGAATCTCCTGGACTGGCCCCAGACCTATGGCCCTTTTCTTGAAGTTTTGCTGGCACCAATCATTGCACAGCACACTGCAAATGTAGACTTGTCCATGTGCGTTCCAGTTAAGGTTCCACAGAGATCACGCTAGGATGCACTCCCAATTCTTCAGCGTGGGAGGGGGAAACAAAGAATACAGGCACAAGGTTTCAGTGTGCCAGTGACACTCCGTGTCCTGGTGGTTTAAAACGTGGCCTCTGGGCAAGGCTGATAAAATCAGCAAGAAGCTAGTAGCTACTTTCTCCCCACAGATGCCCGTGCAGCTGCTGGCTTACAAGAGTGGCCTGCCCTCAAGTCAACCACAGATGGTCCAGCCTGGGGAGGTGGACCCCAGGGAAGTGACCCCCCCTGCAGAAGCCTTCCCAGGCTGGCTGGTCTCTCCCAAGCCAGACACTGCACCTCACAGTGACTGCGTGCCTGGCCAGGAGAACCAGCCAGGGAGGGGCCGAGCCAACCACATCTCCCAGCACCCACAGCACTCACCGTCTCGCCTCTCTGTCCAGGGTGTCCGGGGAGCCCATCCTTGCCGGGAGGGCCCTGAAGAAACAGCCAAAGGAAAGAAGTGAAGCTGAGCTCAGAGCAGCGCCACAGTTAGGGGGACCCAGGGCCACATCAGGCAAGAGACATCACCATTTTGTTGCAGTAACCCTGATCCTCGATGCTCTTTGAGAAAGGTGGTCACCAACAGTGACCACACAACTGGGTGCCCTGGAGGAGCCCCTGCCAGATGCGATGGGGCTGAATCCTCAGACCCATCTCAAAGGGTGCACCGTGAGCGTGCTTTTCTCTCAGGGGAAACGGAGGCTGGGATCCCAGCGCTGGCTGACACACTGGGACTCCTATCCATGTAGCGGGCAGCCAAACTCCCAACTTCTGCCCCTGCCCCCCACTGTTGGGCAGGAAAGTTTTTCACTTTAGAGGGGGTGAGGAGAAACATGTTGGAAGATGATGTCCGTAAGACGAACTGTGTCCCCCCAAAGATCTATCAAAGTCCTGACCCTGGGCCCGTGAGCGAGGCCCTCATCTGAATCACAGGCTTTGCCAGGTCAATGCATGTACATGGGGGTCATGCTAGCATGGGGGTGATCCGTGACCCATGTCTGCAAAACAGGGACTTGAAGACACAGAGAGGAGGTAGCAAGTGACGATGGAGGCAGAGCTCAGGGTGCTACAGCCACAGCCAAGCAACACCAAGGACAGGCAGCTACGCCAGACCCAGAGCAAAGTCTCTAATCCCCTGGCCTGGGTCTCCCACCGCAGTGTGAGTCATCCCATCCTTGCGCTGGGTGCTCTTAGGGGGACAAAGGTGACCACACCAGGGAACCTGACCAGCCACCCCTGCAGGAGGACGCACTGCTCACCGGGGGGCCTTTAGGGCCAGGGAAACCTGTGGGGCCTTGGGGTCCGCTGGGTCCCTGGGGAGAGAGCAGTCGGTTAGAGGGCAGAAGTCCTGTCCCCAGCGCCCCCCACCGCTGTCCCATCCCGAGCAGGCGCTGGGCGCAGGCCACTTCTCACTCACTGCTCCCCACCACCTTCCCCCATTTTCTCTGGCCCGGGCTTCACCCTGCCAGGGTGCTAACAGGACTAGCCACAGGGCCACACCCAGCCCCTCAGGGCTAAGTGGCCAGTTTCTTATCATCTCAGACCCACAAAATGAGGCCCAGTGGGTGGTTGACATAACCCAAATAAGCCACTCCAGGGTCCCAGGGAACCACACTCCTACAGAGGCCAGGTGTGCCTCCCCTCCCCAGTCCCCTCCACTGTGTAGATAAGGGTCTTTGGAGCCAGCTGCCCCGTGGAGACATTCCCGCCGTCTAGAGCAGTAGTGGCTCACCCGCTCCCCGGGAGGTCCGGCCGGGCCATCGCCTCCAGAGTTGCCCTGGGAGGAAGGGAAGGAAGGAGAGGAAAACACACTGTGAGTACAGTCCAAGGGCTCTGGCCATGACTCATCCAAGCAAACCAGCAAGATACTGCCTTTGAGCTCTTCTCAAGGTCATTCTGACCTTGTGCAGGGAATATAGCCTGTCAGCACTGAGCTGCAGCCCCTAGAGCTCACCTGTCCCCTCCTCTGTGTGGAGCTGACACTTATCTGACATCTGCAGGGCGGTGACATTTCCACAGCGAACCCCTGCAGCCTGACAAAGGCTGGGCCCAGGCAAGAAATACCACCAAAAAGCCACTAAAAGCCACACGTGGGGATCTTGCTACCGCCCCCCTCCCCCCACCTGATGGCAGGGACTCTAACACACTACAAACTTTTGCCCAAAGCCTGCTTCTGGGAACACAAGATACCCACTGAGCTCCACATGGGAGCATGCTTGGTGTCCTTGTCAGCCAAGGGATGGGCTAGCTCTGCCCTCAGCCAATGGGAGGCAAGCCAACGGGAGGCCAGCCCACTGTCCTGGAAACAAGCTCAGCATCACCGTCCAATGGGCTGCCTTCACATCTCTCTCTGGGGAGCTTCCAAACAGGGGGAGGCTGGGCTGGGGTGAGGGGGGGTGGTCCTTGGCTCCCACCATGCCAGAAAGAAAGAACTTTCTAGTAAAGATCTCTCTGTAGGTCCTGGATAGATTTCCAGAAAAGAAATTCTGCCAGCCAGAACTTGGTGGTGTCAGGGCTGGCTGCCTGGGGTCTCTGAGACCCGGCAGGTCCTGCTTCTCTTGGCCTCAGCCACCTCCGGCACCTGGCCTAGCTCCACGCGGCTTCCCAGAGGCAGCCGAGGAAGGGCCCCTCCTAACGTATCTCCATGGAAACTGCCCGCTTTGGTGCGGTAGGGAAGCCCCTCACACGCCACATGCCCCGAAAACCATGCTGCAGAGGGACCCGGAACATTACCTTGGGGCCAGGCTTCCCTGTAATGCCTCGTGGGCCTCTTTCACCCCTTGGACCCTGGACAGACAGAGAAAAGGCCAGTCAGCACAGACACCCAGAATCATGGCGTCCCGCTGCGCACCCCTGCGTGCTCTCCTGTTTCTCCAGGGCAGCCCTCAGGCCACAAGGTGGGTTACCGTCGGGCCTCGCTGTCCCCGTGGTCCAGGCTTTCCCGGTGTCCCCTACAATCAGAGAAAAGGGATTGTCAGTCACACTCATCAGGCCTGGCGCTGCCCAGGCAGATTAAGCACAGATTAAACCCAGTTCACTGGGTTCTTTTTCTCTCCTCCTCCTCCCCCGCCTCCCTTCCCAGGAGGAAAAACATTATTACAAGAAAGGAGAAGAAAGTCAACTTCTTTCATACATAATTTACTTCTGCTACTGTTAAGAATATTAGCCATTAAATTTTCAACAGGCTGTGCAGAAGAGTGGACCTGCAATTTAACATAGAGCCCACCGATCCGGGAGGCGCTGGCTCCACTCACAGAATTCAGACTCCCTTTGCCATTGTTATTCTGCAATTTCCAACCCACATTTGGAAATGTGAACGTAGCACATTTGTTTTGGCCACAGCAGAAAGAATGGCTGGCAAAGTGCATTTTACCTACGGTGCCCAGAAGCAACGGAGGGGATGTGGCGTCTTCCCCTGCTCGCCAACAACTTCCTGGCTTTTGGTCTGGTCTCTCATATAGAGCCAGCCCAGGACCAATCTGAATGCCAAGTCTGCCATTTGAGTGCCCTCTCTCCATCATTCACTCTGTGTGGCCAGGGCGGAGAATGCTTTCTATCCACACACACCCCCTTGCTATTTTTTTTTTTTTTTTGTGCTGGTCATAGGGCTTCAACTCAGGGCCTTGGCATTGTCCCTGAGCTTTGGGGCTCGAGGTTAGTGCTCTACCACTTGAGCCACAGCACTACTTGTGACTTTCCTCAGTCTGGCTTCAAACCACAGTCCTCAGCCTCCTGTAGGATTGCAGGTGTGAGGGCCCAGTGCCCGGCCTTCCAACCCCCACCCTGCCCCCTTTTGACACACCATTTAGAGTCATCATTAGTGGTGTTGCTTTTTAACAATGCACCCTGCTTTCCAGTGTGTTAACTCTGCAGCAAGATCTTCTGACTTCAAATCAATATTTGCATGTGAAGATTACCAACATATCCGTGATCTCTACACGATTAATGCCATTCCAAGGTAGATACGTGGTCAGTCCTGATTCCAGCTAGCTATATGAGATGGGCCTCGGCCGCCAGCTTCTCTTCCTCCCACCCTCCGTAACTAGCACTGCCCGGCTCTGGATTTCACTCTGCAGAGCAAATGGATCTGGGAGACAAGCTGATCTCATTGTGCCCACCATCCAGGCCCACTGGCCCTGGCAAGGAGCAAAGCAGTTTCCATCTCCGTTCTCCATCTCCGTTCTATCTGTTTGTGGTAAGACACCCGTGTCAAGTTTGGGGTCCCCGTGACTGAAGCTGTGGAGCAGAGCACAGAGCACACCCCCTAGGTCTCCATCACAAACTGCTTGGGCATCTGTGCTCTTGTCCCTGCTGGGGAGGAGTGGGTCATCCCAGAATTGCCCCGCAAGTGTTCTCTTGCAGAGCGGAGACAGCCAGGCCCATAGAGGAGGAGCCTTGCATGGCCCAGTGGATTCCAGTCTCTCTGCTGGGAGACCAAGGAAGCACAGGGCGCATGACCCTTGCTGGGTCTATCACCTTTCTGTGCTGCTCCTTCTCATACAGAAGCTGGCTGGAGGGCACAGCACTGTCTAACACTCTGCCAGCCATCCCAGAAGCAAGACACTGGCTTCGCAGAAGCCAGCAGGTGGAGGATAGAGGTTCCTGAGCACCGGTCAGGCGATGCAGGCACACACATGGCCATCGGTCTGCTGGGCAGTCCCGCAGTCCAGGCAGCTGTTGGACCAGAGCATCAGCAAGGCCCAGAATCACAGCCCTTTTTTTCTCTTGTGCCACATCCCTGCCTCACTGTGGGACCCGGTCACCCCCTCACTCCACTCCTTAGTGGGTGACCCATGGCTGCCTTGGTGGGAAGAGCCACCCTGAACTATGGCAGATCGAAGGACCTCCCCAGCCTCCTGGAAGACCTCCCAGGTCTCCCAAGGTAGACAGACACAACAGCCCCTGGTTCACTCTGCTGGGAGCTCCTCATCTGGTTCCAGTAATGGGCAAAGCTCTCTTGCTTAGCAAGGACTCGAGAAATGTGTGCTGCTAAGGTAAATGGCCTGCCTCCACATAGGACTGCATGTGGCCATGAGGTCTAAAACCCAAGGGCAAATCAAGGTCAATCACAATCAAGACACTCAGAAAACAGCATCAGTCACCAAGGCTTAGAAGACAAACCAGCCCAGAGACTCCTGGAGCTTCAGTTGAGAACAAGACGAAGCCATTTACAACAACAGCCCAGCCTCTGGCTTCTTGCAGACATCTGGGAAGGGCAGCCCACTGGTAGGCCAGAGGACCACATTCTCTGCTCCCCAAATGACTCAATGTTTCAGACATTCTTCTGCACTGACAACTCTGCTTCCCTAACTAAGCTGACACTGAGGGAGCCCCTGCTGCCTGCAGGAAAGGCCAGCTCGGAGTCCAAGGCCGAAGATGGCCATCTCTGTCTTCTGACAGAAGTGTCCAGGCTCAAGGAGGCTCCTGCCAGGAAGGCCTGGACCAGCAGTGTCACCACAGAGGATGGGGGTGCACAGCTCCCCCAGCTCAACTCCCAGGAGGCCTTTGTACAGGTGACAACAAAAGATGTGATCCATCATGGCTGGGGATTGTGACCCTGAGGGAAGAAGGCTGGAAACTCTTACTGCACTAGGTCCTAAAGGGACCTGGGCCTCGCCTGGAGGAGGCAGTGGTATCTTAGCGGAAAGCCCGGGGGAGAGGGGTGCAGAGAAGAGCCTGGTTTCAATTATGGTCTGTGCAGCTCATCAGGAGAGTCCAGGTCCCAGCATGCTCTTATCTTTCACCTGCTAGGTCCTCCCTCCACAGTGCTACAGGCCCAGGCCTGAGGAAACCACAGCACTCAGAGGCAGGCTGCCATCACGGCCGCTCAGTTGCCGCCTAACCGAAGACTGGTCTGTCCTTACCCGGCCGCCCTTCTCTCCGTTGGCACCAGGAAATCCAGGGAATCCAATAGAGCCCTGAAAGAGTTAAGGGGGAGAAAGCATCATTGTCAGGACAGAAGCTTGGGTTACACTGTGTGTGCTGTGTGGGAGAAGGGCCTGGTGATACCCACAAGTGCACCCACCTATACAGTGCCCACTGACCTGTCTATACAGCAATGCCCATCCTCCTATACAGTGCCCACTGACCTGTCTATACAGCAATGCCCATCCTCCTATACAGTGCCCACTGACCTGTCTATACAGCAATACCCATCCTCCTATACAGTGCCCACTGACCTGTCTATACAGCAATGCCCATCTACCTATACAGTGCCCACTGACCTGTCTATACAGCAATGCCCATCCTCCTATACAGTGCCCACTGACCTGTCTATACAGCAATGCCCATCTACCTATACAGTGCCCACTGACCTGTCTATACAGCAATGCCCATCCTCCTATACAGTGCCCACTGACCTGTCTATACAGCAATGCCCATCTACCTATACAGTGCCCACTGACCCATCTCTACAGCAATACCTATCCACCTACACAGTATCCACTGACCCACATGTACAGTACCCACTGACCCATCTATACAGTACCTATGCACCTATACAAAACCCACTGACCATCTATACAGCTGTACCCTTCCACCTACACAATACCCAACTCTCACCTAAACAATACCCACCCACCTACACAATACCTACCCATCTATACAATACCCACCCACCTACCTATACAATGCCCAACTCTCCATCTGCCCATCTATCCATCTTATCTGCCTATCTACCCACTCACCAATCCATACAGCCTACCATTCTCCAAGCCACGCACTTAGCTAACACCTAACCATCCTAGCACCCACACATCCATCCACTCGCCTATCCACACCCACGCCCCAGTCTATCCTCCCTACCATCTGCCCATGTATCTGCCCACCACCCACTTCTGCAATCTCCCATCAACTTAGCACCCACCCACCCATCCAACCTACTGTTCTCCCAACCACCCATCTTCACTACTCAACTTCACTAGCCATCTTCACCTACTCAACACGCACCCACTCAGCGATGCAAGAAATATTTCCTGAGCACTTCCAAGGCTCCAAATCTAAGACTGAAACTGCATCTTCACATGCTCTGCTTTGTCCCCGCCTGCGGGCACGCCTGCAGCTCTGGACTGCTGGCTGATGTTGGGAAGACAGGGAACTGCTAAGACCCTCTGGAGGTAAGGCATACCCCCACATCCCTGACATTTCATTCCTGGGTCTGTGAACTCTCTGATCGTCCCACAGTGGCCCCAGCTGAAGTGTGGGAGCTTGCAAAGTCAGAAATGAATGCTAATTTATGCATGGACTGTGGCATCTGACAGCTATTAGACACATGTCAGCAGAAGGACTTACAGGCTCTCATCTGGCAAAAGTCCAGTCACCCACTATGTGTGGGAAGGAAGGCCACAGCGGACACCTGGAGAAGTGGCCGCCTACCCCGGGGCCGGTGCTGGCTGTGGCCGTTGGCAGTCTCACCTCTCTGGTGGTGTGGCACCCTGATCTAGGCACTTGGGCATTTGTTCTAAAAAGAGTTTGCACATTTCCAGACCTTGCGTTTCCCCCACAGGAGCCAAGCTCCACCAACCTTCTCCTACGCCCACCTGCACGTCCAAGCAGGAGTCAGGACTGGAAGATCTGGAGCGTGTGGGTGACAGCCCAGTGAAGGATCTGGGTCGTGGTGGTGACAGCCGCCCAGAGGGGGCCCCTCACATAGTTTCAGTGACATACAGGGATACACAGAAACCTGCCTTCCCCTTCCCCAAAATGCTGCCTGCCCGTGAATCACACGCCAGGGATCTTCTTTCCCAGCAGATAAGCATTTAAAAAAAAAATAAACATGCCCATTGGCCCCTTTCCCCAGCACTGGGTGGACAGGAAGCACTGTGGCGGACAGCTCAGCACACACAGCTTTGTGGCCAGCTGCCTCTCCGGCAGGCTGGGGTGTGTAACAGGGGGTGGGCTCTAGTGACAGGGGCTTTCCCCACCCAGCCCCCACTCTGGTATCACCAGGCCCAGGCTCCAGAGCCCCCCAAAGGCACTGAAGCTAGCAGGCAGGCCATGGATATGGGCAGGGATACAGAGCCAAGGACAGCAGGACACTCTGAGACTGACACCCGGTGTCCAATGAGACGAGGGGAGTCAGGTAAGGAAGAGCTGTGAAGATGGAAAGGTGACAGTGACAGAATGAGATGCTCTCTGTGACCCATGCCACCCATCAGGCCCCCAGGCACCAGTGCTGCCCACTGGGCAGGCTCCAGCCCCATCGCTAAAAGGCTCATCTCTGTCCAACTTGAAGTGGGTGAAGGTAACACAAGTGTTTACAAATACAGAGCGTGAAGCCACAGTAAGGGGTCACTCGCTGAAGCCCCCCAAGGCTGGAGCTCGGATGAGGCGGCGTGGGTGTGGAGGGCATCGTGGGGTGTCTGTGTATCTAGTGTCAGCTGGGTTTGAATTACCTTTGGCCCCTGTCTTCCTGGGTATCCGGGTAATCCTGGGACTCCAAGCTTGCCCTAGGACAAGAATCACGTGATTGTAAACACAGTGTTATGCTACCAGAGACTCTGAGCAGACCAAGCCAGCATGTTCTGGGAGGTTTGGAGGGAGCAGGAGGTAGGGTCCAAATATGAAGGAGACTGTCCACCCAGGCAGGGGTCCCAGCCCGTCCTCTGGAATGGACTCTAAACACTCACAAGATAGGATGTGTCCAACAGACCTCCACAGGAAGAAATTCTGCTCTGTGATTTCTCTTATAGCCCATAGCTCTAGCCACAGGGAGAGACGGGACAGGAAGTGTAAACACTCCATGGTGCCCCTTCCTGCCAGGCTAGTGGGGACAAGACGGGGCGGGCATTCTCCGCTGGCACAGAGCCTACAGAAGCTGGCAGGTGCAAGTGAGGTACAGCTGCCTACCAAGAGCCCTCCAGATGAGCTGAGCCTCCAGGGAGAGGAGGGGACACTGCTGTGACCATAGGGAGGAGACAGGGCTTGACAAAGATGGGGTCCTCCTGTGCCGGAGGGGCTCAGATCCCTGAGCTTTGCAACACTTGGAGGAAGATGCTCCTCCAAGAAGCTGCAGGGAGCTCAGAAGGAAGAGGACCTGCTCGGGTACCCATGCCTGTGGCAGCCTCGGCCAAGGCCGCGGAGCCCCAGTCCCGGCAAGGCTCCTATCTGGAGCCTGCAGAGCTCAGGTTCCCTGTGGAGCGTGGCTTGCTGTCCTGCACCACAAACCTTTTCCCCGGTGGGCCCCAAGGGACCAGGATCACCATTGGGACCTCCACGGCCCTTGGGGCCTTCAGGGCCATCTTCTCCCCTGGGACCAGGTGGGCCGATCTCGCCCTGCAATCACAAGAGAGGAAGTGAGAGGGACCCCCACAACTGCACCCCTGACTGACCTTACTGCAGGGCCAGAGCTGCTCCTGGGGACTCCACTGAAAGGAATCTGTCAGGGCAGGCCCTGGGCCCCCCTGCTGGATGGCCACAGCGCCCCCCACATGCACCATGTCCGCAGGCTGCCAGCCCGGCTTCCTAGCCCCCTGTCTCTTGGCTAAAATGATGGGTGAACAGCCAGGGAGTAAATCACTGCTTCTCAGAGCGGGGGGGCCTCCTCCTGAAACTCAAGGTGGCATCAAAATCGACCACAGCCCTGGCTAGGCACAGCTAGGAGGCTCCAGAACATACACCAGAGACAGGCAGGCTTAAGACTGGCCTATCAGCACCCTCAGCTCAGGGGAGCTGCTGAGCTCGGTCAAGCAGCTTCCAGGAACTCGCACAGGTCATTACAGTAACGTGACCACCATCCTCACGCCTTTTTTCCTATAGCTTTCTCTCTCAAGGCTGGTGCTGTAGCACTTGAGCTTCTAGCTTTTGCTGGCCCATTGGAGAGGAGAGTCTCATGGACTTACACCCTGAGGCTGGCCTCAAACTGTGATCCTCAGATTTTAGTCTCCTGAACAGACAGGATCACATGCCTGGCTCATTCCCAAACTCGACCAGCCTCTAGACTGATCTCTGATATCTGCCTCCTAAGAAGCTGCAGATGCCTGAACAACCCCATGTCAGAAAACGAACACACACGCGTGTGTGTGCACGCACACACACACACACACACACACACACACACACACACACAAGTACAGTACACCCTGCTTCACACTGGAACTCTAATGTGTCTGTGAACCGCTCAGGCAGTCACGCAGTACCCGAGTGGGGTCCATGAGCAACACCAGAGCTCTTTGGGGGCCAGGCTGGTCGAGGAGCGCAGCAGAGGATGGGCTAGCCAGCGACCGGCTGTGACCTGAGCAGGCATTCTGCTTCCGGTCAGCGTGGACCGTTTTCCTCACCCCCCCTTTTCAGGCCCCTCCCCGCATCTACCCTGCCATCTACACTACCAGCTATAAAAACAAGTTCCCACTCCCCACTGATACAGGACCCAGGGCAGAGGGGCAGGTGAGACCCGTGCTCCTCCCAGCCCCACGGTCACCAGGTGAGACCTAACCGCTCCTGTGAGCAAGAAGTCCAAGAGGGGGTGGCAGGGGGGCCAGAGAGAGCCAGGCTCCAAGGCCCCAGACAGCCCTGCTCTCCAACCAGTTGTCCCTGCATCCTGAGAAGCTGCTCCGTGGCCACAGACACCCCGAACGCTTTGCAGGGCCCCAAGCCCACCATGTCCCCAATACTCACTCGGTCACCCTTGATGCCCATGTCGCCTTTGAACCCAGGGAAGCCATCTTCACCCTGAATGTGGATGAGAGAACACCTCAGTCCAGAAAAGAGAACTCGCTCCCCCCACCCCTGTGGACCCGCCCAGAGGCCCCATCCCCAGGCTGCAGCAGGAGCCAGGGACAGATGGTCTCGAGTGCCCGCCATTGTGAGGCCTAGTCTCCCATTCACCCAGGCTCAGCGGGTCCCACGCCCCGCAGCCAGAATCTGTGTGCCTCCCCAGACATCAGCCAGGCCTAGCTTGAATGTGAACAGATACACAGCTGGGCAGGAGTGACCATGCCCCTGGGCACAGTGTGGCTGGCTCAGCACTGCAGTCTGAGACTCAGTCTGGGGGGGGGGGGAGCACGTGAGATATCCCCCCAAAGAAATGGAGCTATCCCTCTGGCACTGGACACGTGAGAAATGCCAGCTTGTGGGCACAGTGTGCTATCTGGGAGCCATTTGTGAGAATGTTAAATGCCAGTGGTGTGATGTCCCCTTCACACTCTTGGTCTGGATTCCCTCCACCTGGGGAAACATGGAGAGGCCCCTGGAATACTGGTGTGTGGTGTCTGGCATCGGGGAGACGGGTCTAGACCAGGCCTCCCTCACACCATTCAACAGCCGCACCGAGGCTTGGTCCTAGCCACTGGCAGCCCCTACTCAAGCAACAATGACCAGCCCCAAGGCCCCTGTCCAGTGTCCAGGAAGTGTGGTCACTTATCAGCTGTGGCTACAAATCTAAACCCAGAGCCATGCGTCCCCAGCACTGCCCTGAAATGTCCCCAGGACCAGCTCAAGCTCCTGCTGTGGCCCCGTGGGACTGCCTGGTTAACTGTCCTGGTGAGACAGGCCCCAAGTGCAACCCAGTAAGCCATACGGGTGGGGTGGGGTGGGGGCACAGCCCGGAGAGGGTAAGGGTGGTGGAGCTGGGACTCTGGGGCTCCACCTTCCACCGGTGCCCGGTGAGGAGAAGGGGTTCACTCTCCCTAGGCTCCACCCGCCCCTGCTTGGCAGGCTCTTCACTCTCAGGCCTTGGGTCCCAGCGCCCCTGGACACCTCAGTCTGCCGCAGAGGGATGGGGGTGCCCTGCTGAGAGCGTGTCCTCCCTAGGAAGGGCAAGGGAGGTGCTCAAAAGGACCCGAAGGAGAGCAGGCGGCGGGGCAGCGGGGCCCCCCTCTGAAGCGGTGCCAGCTCTGACCTATAAGCCTCCTTCCACCCAACGCGAGGGACAAGAGCGGAGGCCACGCAGCCCTGCCAGGCTGGGGACGGCAGGGCAGCGGGGTCCCTGAGCGCCCGGGCTGGCAGCCCATTCGGCGCCTACCTTAGCTTCGTGTTACCCAGAGGAGTCCATCTGGGCTCTGATTTGTGCCTGGCTTGTCTTGGCAGCATGTGCCGAGCTATGGCCACTTGTTAATTAACATGGGCAGTCACAGAGCTAGCCTGGCCTACATGGGGCAGCCAGGTCCTGACAGTGCCCTGCAATCGTGCACCCCAAGTCAGCCCAACCTTGTACAGGAGTGTGTGACTGCTAACAAGCAATGAGCACTGGCTGATGCCTGCCAGGAGAGCCTGCCAGGAGGGGCGGGGGCAGTGTGCACCTGCCGGGTTTCTAGGCCAGGGCCCTCGTGGGCAGGTGCACTGGGCCTGACCGATGACACCCCGTGGTTCCCAGGTACCCAGGGGCTGGCTCTCTTCAATGTGAGCTTCTTCCTTTTGCAAACAAACACATTTTCCCACCCAGGAGCAGCCATTCCTCTCGGTGATCAGAGCCGGCCCCTCCTCTGTTCTGTGTGACGCTGGGCGCTGCTGCTGGCAGGGCCAGTCCGCCCTGGGGGGACACTCACCTTCTCGCCCTTGGTGCCCTTCAGACCTCGGATGCCATCTGCTCCCTGTGTGGACAGGAAGGAGAGAAGAATGGTCAGAAATGCTTGGACAATATAATACTCGGAGGGCCCAGAAGGGCGGGGCCCTGGCAGGTCCTCGCCGGCCGTCTCCCTGAGCAGGCCTCCCACGTCTCCGCCTTGGGAGAACCTTCTATAGCCCCTCCCGTCCTCATACCAACTGCTGGGCCCACGTGAGGCCCAGCGTCCTGATTTCCATGGCCGTGACTCCTAACCATACAATAGATGACCCTTCGTGCTGAGCTCTGGGTCTACCTGGGTCCAAGCCCCCAGCTAACCCCTCCCATGCTCACATCCACCTGTTTGGGAAACTCCTATCTCTCCATCCTCAATAGAGGATGCCAGGGGAGGAGCCAGGACAGACAGGTTCCGGTTATGGTTCTGCTCTGTGGCCCCTGACAACATCTTGGAGTGTTGCATGTGTCCGCCTCCTTATCAGGTAGTGTAGTGAGGTCATGAGGACCCTGACCTCACTGTGCTCAGGGAGAGGAGCGCCCGGGACAGAGCCAGCACACCCCAGGTACCAGGAGAGGCAGGTGCGTGCCACCCGGTGGTGTTAATTCTGTATCATCCTGGGCATGACACCTTACAGCATCCACTGATGGCTAACAGTGGCCGTGGCCATCTTCTCTCCTGCCAAACACCCTGGGAATTGGCTGGCCCGGCACCACAGAGCCACACCCTTCTCTGGCAAGGCCAGTGGGCCTCAGGACTCTGAGCCAGGTGACTTTTACCTACTCTACTTTTACCGACTCTGGAGGCTACCTCAGGCTGTCTGCCTGGAGAGGCCAGGCTTCCCTAGGCCTTCAGGCTGAGCCAGGCCCAGGGAGAAGGCAGGGGCTGCCAGCTGCCCCCTGGTGGCCAGCACTCTCTCCGGCGGGCTCTGTGGTTTGGAGTCCCACTGGGTACCGCACCCTGCGGGCATCTCCACAGAAGCTGCCAAGCCCCACAAAGGTGACTCTCAGGAAGTGGATGCTTCTTTTTGAGGGAAACTTGAGTTCCTGGGACTTGTATAAGAGAAGACCACCTCAAGCACCCACGAGACTCGTGCATACAGCAGGTGTGATCTCGGATATGAAGGGGACTTGAGCATCATGGCATCCAGGTCTACCCTATTCAACAATTCAGTCTGAGACGGAAGCCAGCTCCTGGCTCCAGCTTTCCTCTCCCTGGCATGAGTCCGGGACACATGGGTGTGAGGGTTGGCCTCCTTCTGGTAGCTCTCAACTTCCTGACACAACTGTCATCCCTCTCTCATGCCTTACTAAAAACAAGAAAGCTAGTCGGGCACCGGTGGCTCATGCCTATAATCTTAGCTACTCAGGAGGCTGAGATCTGAGGATCACGGTTTGAAGCCGGCCTGAGCAGTAAAATCTGTGAGGCTCTTATCTCCAATGAACCACCAAAAATCCAGAAATAGAGCTGTGGCTCAAGTGGTAGAGTGCCAGTCTGGAGTGAAATAATCTCAGAGATAGAGCCTAGGCCCCAAGTTCAAGGCTCAGAACTGGCACAAAACAAGAAACAAAAAGCAAAGTGAGCCCAGGTTCCTCCAGACACACACAGACTGATGTCTACCATTCTATAGCCGTGGTTCTTAGGGTGGCGCCCCGGAAGTTGGCATGGGGTTATTTTCTGTCATGGGCCACCTAGCCATGCCGGGGTGCTTGGCAGCTTCCCTGGCCTGTGTACTGGATAGAAATAGATCCCTCCCCCTGATTTCTGTGAGATTTCCTGTAGACTGAGAATGGCTGGCCCAGAGCATCTGACACACCCTGTGTGGGCCAGCACTTGGGGCGAGGAGCAGAAGAGACAGAACAGTGGTCAGAAAGGAACCGCTGGCCTGCAGGAGCGAGCCCAGAGGGGCTCCTGCCCAAGGCCGCCCTGGGGGTTCTCACCTGGACTCTCCTGGGAACCCACCCATGGCCTCGGGAGTTAAACCCAGAAGGACACCTTCAGAAGGCGAGGCGGAGAAACCCAGAGGGAGGAGGAGGGCCCGTGAAAAGAAAGGGACACAGGGAGACCTGCTGTGGCCAACTTGGTGTGTGTCCCCAGAACTCAGGACGTTAACCAGATAACCACAGCATCACAAGAGGGGCTCAGCACACAGCACACCGCACACACCAGGATTCAGGCCTAGCACGAGAAAGGAGGAAGCAGGAGGTGGGGCCACTGCGAGGACGTCAGGTGTCCCTGTAAAATGGCCTCCCGCCCTCCACCATGGAGGACACAGCAAGGAGGCACAAGCACAGGGCAGCCTTCCGCAGACACCGAACCCACCAGCACCTTGACCTTGAACTCCCCTCCGCTAAGGGGGAAATGCACTTCTGGCAACTATGGCATCTCTGCACAGCGCCCAATGCACTGAGGAAGAAGATGGAACTCTGGTGGAGAAATCTAGAACTTCTAACCAATGCCGGACCCCAGCTCCGGCCTGTGTGGCCCCCACGTCCACTCTGCCCATGGTCGCCTACCTACTCGCAAACAGGAGGCGGAGCCTCTGCTTCCCCAAGGGAAACTGATCTCAACCTTGGTTTTCTGAGTCTTAACTGGATTGCTTAGGTCACCAATGAATTTTAATCAGACAGAGAAGAGCATTCTCCACAAACATTTTAAAGCAAACACCTTTTAGCGTGCAGAAGCAGCTTTATGCAATTAGCCATGGAGAAGAGCTGCCAAAGGCAGCCACTATGCAACAGGAATTTGTAAGACAAACATGCACGGAGCTCACACAATCCTCATTGCTGCTAATTATCACCCCTGGAAAACCGAGGAGGCGTTTGGCTGGGAAGAGCATACTTCAAGGAGAAACCTGACTGCTGGAAGCTCCCAATCCCTGGGGGTAGAGCTCTTGTCCACGGCTCTTGAACTTGGGAAGTCCTGCCTCCTGGGTCAGGAAAGTTGGGGCCACTCAGAAACAAGGAGGGGATCAGGCCCTGGATCTGCAGGGGGAACATCAAGACTGGGTGTGTCCTGATGGGGTGCTGCGCTTAGTATAATAGGGAGCAAGTCACAAGGCCACACTTGTATGTGCGATCATAGTGGGCATGGATAAAGCTCCACAGGCCACAGGGACAAATAAGGGGTGTGAGTAGGTGTGTACCAAGTTAAAATCATTTTGACAGGAAGATGGGCTTTAACGTGCAGCGGCCTGTCTGTCCTTAGAGAAGGAAGAGAGACCTGGTCCGCACACCTCTTCTCCATGCACATCCTGTACTTATGCATGGACTGCTGCCCAGGGAGCTGAGAGGCAGAGATTAAATCCTGTGGTGCGCAGCAAACCCAGTTAGTGGGACGGTGGGGACGGTGCGTGGATATTGCTCTGGAGCTCTGGGCCCTGCTTAACAAGGTTGTGGGCCTTCTCACCGGCGGAAACACGACTGCGAACAACTCGACATCTCCCTTGGACTCCGTCTGGCAAGCTCTGCTCTGCCCGTGCTGGTGACGGGGCCTCGCTCTCGCTCACACTCCTCCCAAGTGTAAGCGGCTTGCAGGACCCCTGGGAAGAGGCCAGGCCCTCCCCTCCCTAGGACCCGCTGCTGCCAGGGGCTGAAGGGAGTCCTCCTGTCCTCACAGGTGGCCAGTGCTGGGCACCTGCCTCGTCACAGGCAGACAAGGGGGGACCCCGGCTGTGAATCACTCTCACCGGCTCGGCCACACCGTCCAGGGCCCTAGTGTCCACATGCCCGACTAGAAGGGCCAGGCCACGCCAGGGTGACAGGTTGAGCCTCCAAAGAACTCACTAGAAAGGGCCAAGCCGCCTTCTCCAACCCACTCAAGACACCCCAGAAGATCCCAGGCCATGTAAATTCCTCTCACCTTGACTCCACGAGGGCCTGGATAGCCTATGGGGCCCTGAGGGCCAGGAGGACCCTAGAAGCAGAGAAAAAGACCATTAGCCTGGGCAGCCCATCAGCCCCCACCAAGAGCCCCTGGATGACTCCCCCACACAGCTGCCAAAGGAAGGGGGGCAGCAGGCGGAGCTCTGCAGGATAAGGGGCCTAGAGGGCCAGAGCTGCCATTAGAGAGATGCATCCCAGCCCCGCCGGTGGCTCAGGCCCATATCCTAGCTAGGCAGAGGCTGAGAACCGAGGATAGAAGCTTGAAGTCGGTGAGCCTCTTATCCCCAATAACCCCCCCAAAAGCTGGAAGTGGAGCTGTGGCTTAAGAAGCAGAGCACTAGCCTTGAGCAAAAAAGCTCAGGGAAGGAAGGAAGGAAGGAAGGAAGGAAGGAAGGAAGGAAGGAAGGAAGGAAGGAAGGAAGGAAGGAAGGAAGGAAGGAAGGAAGGAAGGAAGGAAGGGAGGGAGGGAGGGAGGGAGGAAAGGAGGGAGGGAGGAGGAAGGAAAAGAGGAAGGAAGGAAGGAGGGAAGGAAGGAAGGAAAGAAGGAAGGAAGGAGGGAGGGAGGGAGGGAGGGAGGGAGAGAGGGAGAGGGAGAGGGAGAGAGAGAGAGATGCATCCCAGCCTAGGGGCCTTGGGATGAAGACAGCATCCAGCTGGGAGGAGACAAGGACCCCTTGTCCAGGGAACTGGACAGTCCAAAGGCCAGGCCAAGAAGGGGTGAGAGCTCACCGGACAGGGTGTCTACCCCCACCCCGCCCAGGGAGTCGTGCAGCAGCTGGCTGCTGGGGACAGGGGACAGGGAGTCCCCACCTGTCCTCCTTTCTCTCCTGGAGGGCCTTCTTTGCCAGGGTGCCCCTGTCACAAAAGAAAGGACATTTGTTAGCCAGAAAGCAGCTCTGAAGATCCCCTCCACCACAGCATTTGTAAAAGGTGACAGTAATAGCCAACCTACCCCCAGATTCCCCCTCCCAGGAGAACAGGAGAGCCAGTAGGCCACCCAGCACACTGGGGCTCTCTCGCAGCTCGAGACCTTGGCGGCTTCCTCTACAAACTGGGAGCACGAAGCAAGGCCTGGCCCTGGTCAGGTGACAGTGCCATCCGAGCAGATGCTGGGGCATGCGTGCTGCCACATCAGAGCCCATCCGCCCTCCAGGGCTGAGTCCACAGACCACAGACATGGGACAAGGATGACAAGGGCACTGCTCAAGGTCTTCTAGCCAAATGGACCCTCTGAACCATTGCCTGGGACAGACGGCAAGCAACAGCCCCCAGGACGCACAAGCAAGCAAGCACCTCACCATCTGCCAAACACAGCGCCTGACTGCTGGGGAAACAGCACAGGCAGAGAGGGTCTCCCGTCACCTGACGGAGGAACCTAGTACCCCAGTCTTCATTCAAGAACCTCAGCTACACCCAGAGGCTCCCAGAGGCATGTAGGCTGAGCAAAGGGGAGAGCCGGCCTGCGTCTCCATTCCCACCTGCCCAGCTGGGTCTGGACCCACTGCATTTGCAGGAACACAACACTCTCTGCTTTCTCTCAGGCCCAGGTTGGTCTTCAGGCTTAATGCCCAGGATTCATAACCCAAATGTAGATGTTAAGAGCAGCAAGACCCACAAGAGGCCGTAGTGAGGTGAGGAGGTTGGCACTGTGTCTGGATTTTATTTCTCTGCAGCCTTGGACAAGTCACTCTTCCTCTCCGGGCCTACCCTTCCTCCAGTGTGACTATGACGCACGTGCAATCTGGGGATCTGGAGCTCTCCGCCTCTAGACCCTGCAGTGCCTTCCAGAAACCATGTGTGCTCACAGACCCAGAGGCTCTCAGGGCCGAGCTGCACCCAGACAGCGTCTGGGGAGGACATTTTGCTCAGCTGGCTGGGAGGGTTCTCTGTAGGCCTTTAGCACAGCTCCTGATTATGAAGGAACTGGCGTGGGTGGGCATCTGAGGGGGGTCCGGCCAGGCTCTGAGCAAGGGGCAGTGCCACCCAGATGCAGGGACACCAGGGGGACTGGTGGCTTTCCCAGCCGTGTATCAGGATCAGCAACCCCCACAGCGAGCCCAGACACACGCCACACCTGTGGTTATCAGTTACTCCCTCAGATGCGTCTTCACTTGACTGGGTTTTCAGGACCAGAGTCGGAACTCACATTTGCTCAGCTTGCTTGCTCAGCTGGTCTTCCACCACTTGAGCTTTGTCTCCAGCCCTGCATTTTGATGGTCATTTTGGAGATGGGAGTCTTATGGGCTTTTCTTCCCAGGCTGCTTTTGAACTATGATCCTCTAGATCTCAGCCCCCTGCGTAGCTAGGATGGCAGGCGTGAGCCACCAACGCCCAGCAGATGGGTTTCAAATTCTATTGATTGGGGAGTGTCTACGTGGAGCAGGAGACCCCAAACTCATTTGCTAGCCACACACTCACAGAGCGTGGCTGAGAGGAAGCAGACGATGGAAGACTTTTCTGTGGGAAAGGCTAGCCTGTGCTCCTCTTCCTGCTCATTTGCATTTTTTAATATTCTATAATAAGCATTCCTTCCATAATGGTAAGATAACAAAGCTTAAATTACTTGTATTTGATATTTTTCTGATTAAAAAAGTGAACTATGTTCATTGTAGACAATTAGGCCAGGGGAAGAGGAAATTAAACTTCTTCGGGACCTCACCCCTCGGAACGGCGGCAGGGCTAATTGTGTGACAAGCGCTTCCGATCCATTTTCCATGCTCACATGCAGGCCCAGCAAGCAGGGCGTAATATGTTTTAAATTTAATATTAAGACACGAGCATTTTCTCATATCGCAGAATACTCACTGAAATTCTGTTTTTACTGACTCCATAATATTCCATCAACCTGTAATTCATTTACCTAACACGTCCCTGTTTGAATACTGCTGGCTACTTCACCGTGTATTTCAGGGCTTGGCATCTGCTCGGAATTCCCTCCCACTCCCCTCTCTTCCCCCAGCTCTGACTTAAAAGTTTAGCTGCAAGGCGCCATCTTGGGTGAAGATGGTTTAAAATCAGTTCCCTCTCTGAGGGCAGAGGCAGCTCTTTATTTTCTGGGTCCCATGCTTTGCCTTGCCCTTCTTTTCTTTGCCCTGCCTTCCCTTCCCTTCTGCTTTCAGTCCCTTCAGATAGACCCGCACAGCTATGGCCACCTTCACGTACATTTTAAAGCTTCATGGTTGGCTATTTAAAGACACAGTCTACAGCGGCTGTTGGCACCACCAGCCCCACTCCACCACAGGATGTGTGAAAGGCACCCACCCCTCTCCAGGGACCTGACTCTGTAGAGGTTTCTGTGTGAGGAGGGGGATCCTGGGGCAGATCAAGCCAGGTGTGCCAAGCCCAGAGTGAGATGTTGGTGGGGAAGAAGAGGCCTCCTCCCTGCAGGGCTGTCAGCCTGGCACACAGTCATGGGTGCTCCGGGCACTTTGTCTACTCCAAGTGAGAGAGGCAATGCCCAGGCTGGGCCCGTACGACACTGTGGAGACAACGCAGAGGCTCACTGATCTCCCTGGTTATTTAAAATAAAAATAAGGCAGAGGGGTGGGAGCTGAGCACTGGCTCACGCCTGTAATCCTAACCACTCCTGAGGCTGAGATCTGAGGATCTCAGTCCAAAGCCAGCCTAGGCAACAAAGCTCAAAGACTCTTATCTGCAGTTAACCAGCAAAAAGTCAGAAGTGGGGATATGGGTCAAATAGTAGAGCATTAGTCTTGAGCAAAAAAAGCTAAGGGATAGTGTCCAGGCCCTGAGTTCAAGCCCCAGGACTGACAAACATACATACGCACAAAGTGTTACATGATGAAAGTCAATAAATATGTCAGTTAAGCCTGGTTCTGGTGGCTCATGCCCGTAATCCTAGCTACTCAGAAGGCTGAGATCAGAGGATCACCGTTCAAAGCCAGCCTGGGCAGAAAAGTCCGTGAGACTCATCTCCAATTAACCACCGGAAAATCAAAGTGGCGCTGTGGCTCAAAGTGAGCTAAAATTGAGCAAAAGAACTCAGGGACACGGGGCTGGGAAGGTAGCTCAGTGGTAGAGTGCTTGCCTTGCATGCATGAGGCCTTGGGTTCGATTCCTCAGCACCACATAAGCAAAAAGAAAAAAGCCGGAAGTAGAGCTGTGGCTCATGTGGTAGAGTGCTAGCCTTGAGCTGAAGAGCTGAGAGACAATGCCCAGGCCCTGAGTTCAGGCCCCATGCCCTGACCCCCCCCAAAAAAAACTCAGGGACAGTGCCCAGGCCCTGACTTCAAGCCCCACAAACAGAGGAGTGGGGGGACGGGGAGAATGTAAATTAAGGGCAGAAACGGTGCCTTGGAAAAGATGAATCATTTAGTTTCCAAACTCATCCAAGGCCAGGCCCATGCATCCTCCCTCCAGCGCCTGCACAGGGGAGGCGCGGCCCTCACGTCCTTCCTCTAGTACCTGTGCAGGTGAGGTACAGGGATTTGTCTGCTCAGAGCAAGGGAGGGAAACGTGGGGCTTGGAGCTAGACCAATGGCTCTCAGCCACAGAATGAGAGTTGACAGCTGTGTGGTAAAGAGTCACCAGCTAACCGCCAACACATTTAACTTCTTGTTTAGTTTTTAACGGTGTTATTAAAACAATAAAACACACTCACTGTCTTAAATAATTAATTCAGCTCATCTTGTTTTCTGAAATAGCCTCTTTCAGCAGCAAGTAAACACTCCCGCGAAATCCCAAACCAGCATCGCCATACAGCTGGAGGGTAGGTGTGCATATATCCACCGCACACACCTGAGCTTACACACATGCAGACCCGAGAACACACGCATGCACACACTTGAGCAGCTCCTTCCCGCATACCCCTCCCTCTACTTGCAGCTTGGCCACAGACTGGTGTCACTATTTCCAGCCAGTCTCTGATCTGGCCCCACAGCTGTGTGCCCACGCGACCCATGCACACCTGTTTCACGCCCTCCCCAGTTAGCACGTGAACACTAAAAATACACTTCCTCTGCCAGGGAGGCGCACGAAGGCTGGGAGAAAGCCCAGCCCAGGCGGCAAGTCAACATATTCCAGCAAGGAATCAACTCACTGGGTTACGGTGAGGATTTGAGCACATCCACTCCCAGGACAGACAAAGCCCCAGGGATGGCCAAGCCACTCCCCAGACTCCATGGTCTCCATCACCAAAGGAAGCGGAGTCAATGACCTCCACCCGTCTAGGACCAGGGGCCCAGCACTCTTGCCTGGATGGGGACGGTGGTCTGGGAGAGCTGGAGAGGGCAGGGCTACTCACCGGAGGTCCGTCGGCACCGGGCATGCCTGGGAGGCCTGGTTTGCCCAAAGGACCCTAGTGCAAACAGAGTCAAGAGGGAATGATGGTCTCTCCTCTCCCTGCACTGCGCTCCCCACAATTGTCATGGACTCCAGGCCCAGCCCCGCCCCGGAACAGCCAGGCAGACTCCAATGTCCTCAGAGCCCCCAGTACTGCTGCTGGTCCTGGCAGGTGCCTGGTGACACCGGCACACCCAGAACAAAAGAAAATCAGGAGCTGTGGGAGGCAAATGCTCCCTCCATGCTCCCCCTCACCCCTTCCCCAGGACATGGGGCTTCTGGAGGTGAACCTAGGGTGGCTGAGTTTAACAAAACTAAACCACGACCACAAAACCAGATGCCTAGTTCAATGTTAACTTCAGATAAAGAACACACATTAGAGTCTGCCTTCTAAGCACCCCCCATATACCTAAGCATGAATGAATGATGACGTGACTGGCTGAATGAGTGAGTGAATGAATGAATGAGCTCTCCCTCACGGCCAGCGGACCAAGTTCGGAGTGAACTGGGCTTACGCTACGTGCGCCAGGCCGGCAGCAGCCAGTGCACCTCCCCAGCCTGGGCAGTAAGTGCAGCTTACACACAGCTCGTGCCCACCTACCTTTTCTCCTGGAGGACCGATGGCACCCTGGGGCCCTGGCAAACCCTGGGGAAAGAAGGGCAGAGGAGGTGAGAATGACCCGGAACCTCTCCCCACCCCCTACCACCTTCCTGATGACGGGCTGCCTCATTACACACCGCTCTGGGTTCTGTTCCCTCAGGGCAGCGACTTTGAGGGTGCAGAGCTCAGAGCCCTGGATGAGACACCCTGCTTCCCAGGCCTACTGCCCCTGGGCAGCCTTGCTCAGGTCACTTACCTGGGCACCAGGATTACCCTGCTGTCCTGGGGGGCCGGGCTCACCCTGGGGACCCTACAGGAAACAAAGCAAAGGCCCTGAAAGGGGTTCTGAGCGTGGGGTCCCCTGCTCTGGGGACCTCGTCCCCTGATCCCAGCTGCCCACTCCCTCCATCTGCGCTTCATTGCCAGATCTGGTGCTGATGGCTGCACCAGGGGCCAGTGTGTGCTGACCACCCAGAGGGCAGCAGAGACGGCAGAGGCAGCACCAGTCCCAGGCCCGTGGGGCTCCCAACACTGATGCTCACAGCTACATCCATCATCCACCCAGACAGGCATGCACACAAAGCAGCTGGAGATGTTTCACACAGTGGAAAATTCCAGATTTCTCGTAATCTCCCAGAGCCGTGGAAACAGACGTATCTCCTAGTGGACATTTATGGCCAGCTCCTGGGCACAGGAAGCGAGCCGCCCCCCGACTGACCAGTTTGGAGCCTCAAGCACAGTGCTATGGCAGAGGGCTGCGGGCCAGCCTCGTGCCCCATCCCCAGCTGACACGAAGCAGGGATGGGCTTCCCCAGTCTGTAGAGGTGTGTGCATGGGCTGTCCCCATGCAGCTAGGATTTGGGACCCCTGGACTCACCACGTTTCCTTTGGGACCTGGTTGGCCATCCATTCCCGTCACTCCCTGCAGGAGATTTTGAAAATGAAAGTCAGACGCTGAATGCAGAGGACTGAGAAAGCTCAGAAGGAAAATCCTGCTCAACACAAAGCTGAGGCACATTGCAGTAATTCTCTGGGGCAAAAGGAAGGAGGTGATTTTTGATCCCTTCTCTGGGGTCCACTGATCAGACTCCAGAATCCCTCAGCTAGGGCAGGCTGAGCGGCCATGCCCAAAGCCCCGTAGGAAGGCTCTGACTCTTACAAAGGTAGGCAGAAGGGTGGAGGAGTGTGGCCGTAGTCAGGCCCACTAGGACAAAACCTTACGTAACCCAAGGGGCTCTGCTTCCTTCTAGAACCTTCACAGAAGTTTCTGGAGGCTCTGTCAAGCACAATGGAGACATAGCATTCTGGGACCATAGTATAACAGGAACAGCCAGAAAAAGAGGCAGAAACACAGGAGGAAGAGCCACTGGACCAGACCTCCTCCACCCCTCCAACCCCACTTGAAATCCCACATCTGCCCTCCTGGATCGTGTGTGTGTGTGTGTGTGTGTGTGTGTGTGTGTGTATGTGTGTGTGTGTGTGTGTGTGTGCGTGCACAACAGTCCTGTGGTTTAAACTCAGGGCCTTGGCACTATCCCTGAACTTTTTTGCTCAAGGCTGGTACTCTACCACTTGAGTCACAGCTCTACTTCCAGCTTTTTGGTGGTTAATTGGACTTAAGTCTCACAGATTTTTCTGCCTGGGTTGGCTTCAAACCTTGATCCTCAGCTCTCAGCCGCCTGAATAGTTAGGAGTACAGGCGTGAGACACAGCACTCCTCCACACTGGCTTTTCTGTACATGAGGATTAAGAACCCACAGCCCTACCCGCCCATAACAGGCTGGTGCATGCAGTGCTAGGTGTGGACACACTGTCTCCTGCCTGAGCCAGCAGAGGGTCTCAGGGGCTGTATGGGGACACACACATGCCAGCGGGTGACAATACTTACTGGAGGTCCAGGTGGCCCCGGGGGCCCCTTTGGCCCAAGCAGACCTCGTGGCCCCTACAAAAGCCAAGAACAAGAAAGGGTCAGACTCCACGCATGCCAGTGCTGCCTGTGCCCTGACCCCAGCACACACTGAGCCAGGTGACCTAGGCTCCCCAGGGAGCCTGAACTAAATGCCCTCCCAGGAGTTCTTCCACCCACCCCTCCGCTCCACACTGGCACTGAGAATCACAGTCAGGGGTGACTGGAAATGATTGGGACACACACAGGACACCCAGGGCACCTCCAAGAAAGGGGGAGCTTTCTCGTGTGTCACCTGCTCAGGACAGATGGGCACAAGGGCTCCCCTGCGGGAAAGCTGAAGCAGGGTCTCCAACAAGAACCCCAGGGCCTGGTGAGAATCGGCCACAAGTACCACAGAAAGGGCACAGAAGTGGGGCACCCCTGCCGTCTGGGGCTCTGTGCCAGGCTTCAAGGGGGGGTGTGTATGCACTGCCCTGCAGGATGGCTCCACCCCACCCAACCTGCCCTGAGGAAATCCAGCAGCCTGTCCCCGGGACTCACGGACCCAGAGGGCCTTGCATGTTAGCAGAACCTTTGCATATCCAGCCGGAGAAAAACCCTTTCTATGTGCACTGCTCCTTCAGCGCTTCCTTCGTTACTTTAATACCCAGTCCTATAAATGGTTTTTCAGAGCTAATAACCCAGAAGGCACTGCTTAGAGGAGTGTTAAGGAAAGTGGTGTGGGTAGCTCTTCCTGAGTGGCCCAATCAGATATGGAGGGTATAATTCAGCCCCAAATGAATCGCACGCGCACCGACCCCACACAGGCCTCTGGGCAGCAGCGTTTGCCTCTCTCTCATCCATTAACATTGCCAGATGCACACAGAACAGCTGCCCGACTTGGGTGAGGAGGAAAGAAGCCTTGGAGCAACCGTAGGTGGAGAGTAATTAATGTCCTTTTTTTTTCTTTCAGGAAAGTTATTGTGGACCTAAATATAAGCCCGAGCCCAGGGCACGGAGCCAGAGGGGTCTGCTTTGGGAAAGTGCAGTTGTCAGAACCTGGGGCAAACTCAGACTGATCTGGGCCTGCAACTACCCCCCAGTGCCTGCCACAGCTGGTGTTTTCCCCCAGATGCTTGCATGCTGCACATGGCTGCCCGGTGTGATCCCCTGAATGCCCACAGAGCTGTCCCCTGGGTGTTCACTACAAGGTCCCCTGGAAGTTTCCATGCTGCCCCTGGGACTCACCACCCAACCTCCAGAGACCCATTTCCTCCCACAAGGAAGGCTGGTTTGCACTCCCCGGAGTCACTGGCCCCCACTTTTCTTTCCTGGGGAAGCACTAGGGTTTGTCTGCTCTTGGGGACAAGTCACTTGTAATCTAAGCTGGGTGTCAATGCCAGTGCTGCTCCGGAAGCAGCCTCCCTGTGGAGCCCTCCCACACTGGTGAGGACCAGAATCCTGCCCGCCTGCCCGCGCGGGGACTTACCGGCTCCCCAGGCAGGCCCCTGGGCCCGACTTCTCCATCATCACCCTGTGCAGGAAAAAAAGACACAGGATTTTAGGGACAGGCTGTGAGATCTGGACGCCCAGAGACTATGTCCATCAGCCACACAGCAGGATTCTTTGGCTGGCCCACAGCAGATGCAGATTTTCTCGGCCTGTGCCAGGAGGAGGGGCTGCTGGGTGGCCCGGGAAGCTGCAGGCTTACAGATATCTCAGCTCCCCCGCCACGGCTGCAGTAAGGGGCAGGCAGGCAGGAAACCCACTCAATTCCAAGCCTTGCTTGGTCACCCTCAGGAGTGATAGAAACTGGGAAGGGAGGGCACAAGGAAGAAGCATGTGAGCCTCCGGGGAGCACCCTGAGAGCCCAGTGTCCGCCAGGGTTCCAAATAACCCATTACAGAGACAGGAGAGCTTCGTCCTCCTATTCCACCCAGGAATGCTTCCTGCTTACAGGATGTTGCAGCTGTGGCTGCTGGCCAGCACCTGCTCTTCACCTCAAGCATGTGTGCGCACACAGCCTGCCACATGCATGCTCATACCCTGCATGTATACACCACCCACAACTGCACGGCCATATACATACATGTGTGTGCATACATATTACAGAGTGTACACCGTATGCGTGTGTGCACATAACCTGTGAACATACTCCTTTACACAAAGGGCAAATCTACATACACAAACAGCCATGCACACAAGTATACGCATGTGCACCAGCACACACGTATTTCCTGAGAATCAAACATGGGAATCTGTCGAGGATCCATCTCTCCTTCCTGATCTCACAGCAGACTGGGCTGGGGCCTGCATAGAGGCTCCCTCAAAAGGTCGATGTGGAAGCTGGTGAGAAGAGAAAGGCCACTGGAGCCTGCTCCTTGGTTCCCTAAAACATCCCCAGTACCTAAAGAAAGTGACGGACACTGGTGACTCGCCTGTAACCGTGGCTGACACTCAGGAGGCTGAGATCTGAGAAGCTCAGTTTGAAGCCAGTCTGGGTAGAAAAGTCCATGAGACTCTTATCTCCAATGAGCCAACAAAAGGCTGAAGTGTAACTGTGGCTCAAGTGGTAAAACACCAGCCTTTAGTGAAAAAGTTAGGGCTAGTGTCCTGGCCGGGAGGTCAAGCCACAAAATCAGCATGAAGCTCAAAAGGAAAGTGATGGATGAACAGCGAAAGGGGTGCAGAGATCCAGTGACCCCCATCTTATCCACAGCACCGCCGTGCTGTGCCCGGAGGTGACCCTTGGCCTCCAGACCCCACAGAGATGTGTGGCGGTCACTGAGACTCTGGCTAAGCACCTCTCTCAGCCCTTACCCCAAGCTTGAGTATCGCTCAGCTCCCACGCTCTCGTCATGTGCTGAGTTGCTTTGTCCTCCGGCTCCCAAGGTGGAAGAAAATCACTTCCTATGTGCCTCCACCTCTCCACACTTCCCAGTATCCTCCCATGATGCATCCCTCACCGGTCTCCCCATGGGATGCCAGGGCCTCTGTGAGGCCTCCTGTGCCCGTCAGAGAAGCCCCTTCACAGACCTGGCATCCTGAAAAACATTCCCGGCGGTCCTCTCCTCTCGGCAGGAGAGATGAAACGAGCAGTAAATGCTTTTATCTCCAAGCCCGTGCTGCCTCCCAGAGTGAGGCCCTGACTCAGTCCTCCTCCCTCCCCACCAACCCCACTACAGCCTATAGAGGTCCCTGGGATACATACCCTTTCTCCATCATCTCCCGGAGGTCCTGGAGGACCGGAGGGGCCAGGGTCACCCTAGGAAGTCAATCAAGGTCAATGTTAGCCATTCCTGAGCAGGCCAAACACAAACTGTCCAAGCCCCCACCTCCCATTCTCTGACCTTGACCTTCTCAATATGGAGCTGGGGTGAGGGAAGGGCTAGTGGCTGGCCACAAACCAATCTGAATGGCCTAGGAGGAGTAGGGTCACCTGACTAGGCCAGACTAGGTCTCACACATTCACACTCTCACACACACACACACAGAAGTCTGGCCACTCTGTATGAGACAGGGCATCCTCAATCCCCACCACTCCCCTGGGCTAAAAGCCCATTGGAGGGGGGCTGGTCCCCCTTGTGCAGGCCTGCAGCTTCAGGCCTAGCACACAGATGGTGTTCAACATGTGCACATCGGTGAAAATGACAGGCGTTCACCAGGGACTGCTGGCAGCTGTGCGTTCCAGCTCTCTATTGATTATCAGAAACGATCAACACAACAGCTTTTCATAAACCCCGGCGTCCCCGCCCTAAGGCACACAGAGCAGTAGTACTGCTCACTAGCAGGTATGTGTGCTCTGTGTGCATGCCCCCGTGCGTGTGTCTGCGAAAGGGTGAGTACACACACGTGTGCCAGTGTGACCCAAATGTGCCAAAGTCTAAAAAAGGCACCAAAAAGTCTGCTTAGGAGGAAACCGGCCGGGAGAAAACATCTGATGAGCTGTGAGGACCCATCGTATCTGGCGCACCCCAAAACAGGGGAGAGGAGCCCCCCTGCAGCAGGCAGGCGGGCAGCACTGAGCACTGAGCCCCCGGCCTCCTTAACCGGAGCAGCCTCAAGATTGTCTCATCACCCCCAACTGCTGCTTTGACGTGCCCTGTGTCCTGGTTCGGACGCTTCTTGGATTTCTCAAGAATATGACTGGCTCCCTTGGCCAGAAACTGGGTTACAGGAGGAGGGCACAGCACCCACCTTGGCCAATTCAACAGCCTCAAGGGACAGCTCACCAGGCTCACTCCTGAGCAGGGGGTCAGAACTGGACTCTCCCTCAACACAAACCATCCCCGGGTTCCTTTCTCTAACCCATAAGGAACCCAAGGCCAGAGGGGGCCTCCAGGGACAAGACCCTCCTGACCTTCCACGGAAATACTCACCCTGTGGCCCTTTTCTCCTGGCAACCCCGCCAGGCCGTCAAAGCCACGGTCACCCTGTAAGAACAGCAGAGGGCTCTGTCAGACAACACGCACGGTGCCATCCTTGTGCCTAGACCCTGAGACAGACTCATGAGACACCCTTCTGTCACCCTGTCCACCAAAGGTCTCAGGATCATCAGCTCAGGGCTGAGGGAAGGGCCGTTCACAGTCCATGCAGGTTCTAGGGGACTCCACACTGGAGAAAGCTGGTGTTACCCCAGGGTCCTCTCCTAGGCCTGGGACCAGCCGCCCTGGGAGGTGGGAAGGAGGGCAGAGCAGCAGGGGGAGCTGGTGCGGACCAGGTCAAGGGGCAGGGGTATGAGCACGGAGCCATGGCACAGGGGAGGCACCAACAGGGGCAGGCCTTGCTCCGTCACAGCACATGCCTGTCCCTAGATGACACCTACCGGACCCACAGTGCCCGGAGCCCTGACACCCCTGGACTGGGCAGGCAGACACCCACCGGGGGCCTCGAGGTCTCCGGGCTCCCGCGTACGTCTCCTGGCTCCGTGCACACCGCCAGGCAGCTCTCATGTTGGGACGTCCCCCCTCCCCGCCCTCCCGTCACACAGCCCACTCGCAGGATGCACCGGCATCAGGAGGGGCGGGAGCAGCTACCTTGGGACCCGTCTGTCCAGGCATGCCTCTGGCTCCGTCACTCCCAGCACGACCCTGGAAGAGAGGAGACAAACTGTCGATAGGAAAGGACAGGTGGCTGCCCAGGACCTCCAAAAGTAGTGTCTACCAAACCAATTGGGACTTCCACCGCAGCGAGGCCTGCCACGGGCCACGTCCCCATGGGCCAAGCCCCCACCGGGCCACGCTCCCACTGGGCCAGGCTGTGCAGGAGACTCTGACCCACAGGCCTGGGGTGGGCCACACAGCCACTCAACTGAAAACGCGTGGTGGGTGTTGCCTCTGCCATCTGGGGAGGGTGACACGCTGTGCCAGACCCGCCCAGGCGCCCAGCCAGTTCATGACTCAGGTGGCACACGGCTGACATTCCAACATGGCACTGCTCCCATGCCACCACACAGAAAGGAAACCACAGAGCGTGGAGGGAAGAGGAAGGGACGCCTGCTCAGTCCATCCGACTGTGGAAGACAGGTCCTATTCAGACCACCCCACCAGCCACTCCACAGCCACAGATGCAGCCACGGACGAGCCCAGGATACCCACCCACCAGGCACGGACAGAGGACAGCATGGAGAACTCCAGACCCTGGAGCGGCCAGGGAGAACCCACCAGGACCCGGCCAAACCTCCGCTCCTTCACAAGGCTCAATGGCCGGCTCTTTCCTCTTCCTGTGGGCCCTTATCAAATGGGTCCATTGTCTGAGGACTCATGGCCAGGCAGAGAAAACATCTGGACAGTGGCAGCTTTGAATATCCACACGCAACAGGCAGTGGAGGCAGAGCCAGAGATGAGAGACGAGAAAGAAGAGAGGGACCCAAAAGGGCCACAAGGAGCTGGGCTACACACACACACACACACACACACACACACACACACACACGTGTACACATGCATACATGCACACACATGCATATGCACACATGCACATTCACATACACGTACACACATACACAAGCACATGCACACTCATATACACAATACATACACACATACACATGTACATGCACACTCATATACACACACGTGTACACATGCATACATGCACACACATGCATGTGCATGCACATTCACATACACATACACACATACACAAGCACATGCACACTCATATACACAATACATACACATGTACATGCACACTCATATACACACACATACACATGCACACCCACAGAGTTCTAGGGAAGGACAACAGGAAAGAGAGCCACAAACCAGGGACAAAAACTTCTCAGGAGAGCACAGGGCAGGATGCCAGTACTGAGGCCAGCAGGTGCATGGCCAACCAGGAGCTTCCCCTAAAATACCCAGGGGAAGCTCATCAGAAAAGTTCTTGGATTTTGCAGCATGATATCGCTTAAAGCTAGATGTCTGTGAGGGTCATGCCCCTCACAGGCTGAGCTAGCTCATATCTCCAGAGGTCGCTGGAGCCACTCAGCAGTGGCCACCAGCACAGAGCCCCTGTCCCGCCCCTCTCCCGCCACCCCGGCAGGGCCATCTCTTTGGGAGCACGCCGACTTCCTCCAAAGGAGGTATGTGGGTTCCCAGGCCGTTTCACTGTGACCTGGTCCCCTGCCTCCCCTCCTCAGTTTCTGCACAGCCCTGTCTGGGAACCCTCCAGGAATATCTGACAGCAGGCATCTGCACAGACACAAGAAGATCTCACAAGATAAAGTGATCTCCAGTAGGATCTAAGGTAACTTCCCAGTTGTCTACTGAGCACCACAGACGTGGAGTTAGTGACCCCGGGCATCGCGCCCAGCCCTCTCCTCGTGCCTGTGCAGATCTTCACACTTGCTCCTGGACGGGCCGTAAGAGGAAGTGTGGCCTTGCTGGTCCTTTTCACTTCCTACCCACAGTTCCCTTCCTGGTCAGGCCTGTGATTACCAGGGATCTCCCGTCTGCCCCAAAGGCTCAGAAATCGGGGCAGCCTGACACAGCAGAGCTCCACGCACTGCCCAATTCCCTGTGGCAGGAAAGCTGGGTGATGGGCAGGACGGGGTTCAGCAGGACCCCGGCTCCCCTGGAGGACACTGTGCTGTGGGGACACCCCACGGCTGTGGCCCTGAGGAAGCAAGCTTGCTCTGTCCAGGAACAAAACCCCAGGAGATAAGAAGAATGGTATATGGTGGGAAGGTATGAGCAGGTGCCTAGATAATTCTCCCAAACTGGGGACATTGCTGGGGCCACGAGGCACCCCAAAGACACCAGGCCGCCAACCCTGTTGTCTGCACAGCTCCTATCGCCTGGAAAATGACTCTCATTTGGTGTGGATCGATGACTGTGTTCAGTGCTGAGGCTCTCTGTCCTGGGACACTGCACATCCATCCTGAGAAGCAGCTCAGACACAGCCTTGGAGGCTGGGTGCCCTTCAGACAGAGGGACATGACCTCACTTCCACCGAGGTGGTACCGGGAGTCACCGAGCGGGGCAAGCCCATCCCAGGGCTCCACCAGAGACCATGCTCCTGTCCTCGCTCACGAGCACCGAGACCCGAACACTCACCCGTCTTCCGGGCTTCCCTGTTGGGCCAGGCGGACCTTGCACACCTCGGGGACCCTGTTGCGAATTCAGAGGACAAAGCATCAGTGGCATGTCCAACTAGGAGCAGAGCTTGGTTCCTGTGCTGGTTGGCACAGTCCTGGCTGCCAGACGCCTGCCCTGTGTGAGGGTGGGACTGCCCCCCCCTCCATGTCCACCCTGTCCGGTGAGAGGGCCAGGCCCCACCATGGCCACAGCAGTCAGTTATTTCTGATCCTGTTGCACCAAGCGGCAATCCCCACTGGTTTCCTTGAAGACACGTGGAATTTGAGCCCCCGCCACCCCAGCCTTCCTCACCACCAGTAACCTCCCCAGAGCAAAGACGAGGCCCCCACCTACCTGAGGCCCCATGTCTCCGGGCTCGCCCTTCAAACCTCCACTCCCAGGAGGACCCTAGGGAGACAGCTTTGGATTAGTGAGCGCTCAGAGAAGGACAGTGGGCAGGTGACCGTGGAAGGGGCTGGTGGAGCAGGCCGGGCCTGGCCACAGACTGGCTCATGGCTTCCAAGTGACCAGAGGGGAGAACGGTAATACCCAAGAGGCAGAGACCAGACCTCAGATCTCCTCCTGGGGTTGAATAAGTCCCAAGGGGTGGGGCTGGTCCTCGAGAGCCGTGAAGGCACAGAGAGGCTTCGCTCTGTGGGAAGAGCCTGACTGCGGGAGGCCAGCCCATGAGGGGACTGAGTCCAGAGACAGGGCTGCTCCGAAGAGGGAGACCCCACTTGGGACCCCATTCACGAGGCACAGCTGGTGCCGGTGCTGGTGCAGGCGCAGGTGTGGCAGGGCACCCCGCAGGCCCCATCCCTCCAGTGAGCCACCTTCACCCACGTGCCAAGAGTCCTGGGATGCAGAGGTGAGGGGGAGCTACAGAGTATAGATGCCAGCAGAGAACGTGGGAGGGGCCTCCCCGCCCTCCAGGACCCTCCCACTCATGACAGGGCCGGGGGCTGCTTCCCAGGAGCCTCCAGACGCCCCCGCAGCCTTGAGCCACAATCCCCCCCCCCCCCCATCCCTGCATAAAAGGCTGGAACAGCACCAAGAGACCACGGTCCCAGCTGGCTGGCTGGGAACAGAGACAACGGACAGCAAACATGCCAACCACTCACCATGGGGCCGGGTCTCCCTGTGAGCCCCATCGGGCCGGCTGGTCCTCTCAGCGCCAACTGCAAGGGAAGGGGAAACACACTAAGACAAGGCCAAGGGCAGCGCATCCCGGCTTGCTCCAGAGGTCTGACTCGACCTGCAGGGCACACTGGCTCCCCCACAGGAAGCAGGGGAGGGGAAGAGGGAGCAGAGGTACCCACTTTCTCCAGTGAACAGAGACCTTCCCTCCCCCTCCCTCTTCTATCCCCTCTTCTTCCCCATCCTTTTCTACATCATCCTCCCTGTCCTCCTCCCCGGTCCTGTGCCCAGCCCCTTTTCCCTTGGACTAATGAGAAACGCAGCATCCCCCACCGGCTGGGGCCGGGAGACTACGATTCCACACTGACTGTGGCTGAGTCACAAAACAGATATTTCCCACGGAAGGCCCGTCAAGCGCAGAGGCCTTTGGTGAGCAGGGAACCCACGCTGCCCGGAGCAATCCATCCTGCACTGTGGCGTCAACATCACCCTCCCCAAGAATGGCTCAGTGGCACAACTGTGAGCACGCTGCAATCAACTGTGCGCACACACACACACACACACACCAGCCAGCACACTCTTGGAAGATTCTTTCACATTACAAAATCATCTTCTAAGCCCATCATCCGCTCCGCTTCCATTAGAATACAGGTGGATTAACAGGCCAGGCAGGAGCAAGTCAATCAGGGAGAGGGCTTGTCAGGCACTGTACCCCATCATTTGAGCAATTTGTTCCACAGCAACTACTCAATACTTAAACCGGGCTGTAATTATCTGTGCGCTTGCTGGCTATTAATATCAGGGCTGCACTACAGCCGCATAAATACATCGCAAACGAGGGGCTATCGAGATGTCTCCTTGCACGGTCCAGTGTGGGGCTCCCCAGGCCACCCACCCTGCAGGAGGGGCAGCGTCATCCTTACCCCAGGGCCTTTGAAAGACACAGGTCACTAAGGAGCTTACTCCCCGCAGAGGCAAACCCACCTCTATGGCCCACTTCCCAGGACCCGGGCCAAGGGCTCCCTCTGAGAGCCACCGCCTCACACCCCAGTGGCCCCTTCTCCATCCCTGGATCCCCACGGGGTGGGCATTTGCCCATCCAGTGGGTGAGACAGTCTGGCGGGGCCTAGAGGCCTCTCGATGCTCAGTGTGCATGTGGAACCTCTGAGGAATCATCCCCGAAATGGCCCGACTCCCCTCGTGGACGCTGAGCCCCTGACAGGCAGGCACGGGGGGTCGGAGCACCCGGCCCTTCCCCACAGGGACCGGCACACTTACCCTGGCCTGCTGGAGGATGGCCTGGGCCTGTGACTCCTGAGCAGAAACCATGGGGCCCTTGGAGCCCGCATCGCCACCTCCTCCAAACCGGAACTGCGGGAACAAGAAGAGCGGTCACCCGGGGCCTCAGGTCAGCCACAGCGGCAGACCCCCCAACACACGGCTCTGCTCCCCAGTGGAAGCTGCCCTGTAAATGCCACCTGTGGGGACACCCTGGAGCCTTCAGGTCCACAATGCCCTGCAGGCCTCTGTACTTGTCTCCCCGAAAGCACACAGCCCCCGGATACTACACAGAACAGCAAGGCACACACATGGCTGTGTCCAGCAGTCTGGGAAGGGTACCCTGACCCCTCCCTGGGCCACGGCATGAATGACAGGTGTCCTGGGACTTCAGTGAGGACGAGGTCCTGCTATGTGGCTTCTGAAGCAGCCCTGCCCACAAGTGCCTCTGATTTCCCGGGATCCAGGGCCCCCACGCAGCAGCCCCTGCCCCAGGGGTGACCCACCCCAGGGAAGGGGTCCTGAGTTTTCCCATGAGGCTGAACTCGAGCGGGCCCTGCCTCCCAGGCTGAGGAATATTCCAGAACACCTGCCCCTCCCAAGACCCAGCGTCCACCCTACCCTCCCAGGGCCCAGCCCTCCATGTCCCTTTGGTGGGACCCTCACCGGCAGCATGAGCATGGTCCCAGGAGGGCCAGGCAGGCCGTCAGCCCCGGGAAGACCCGGACGTCCTGGGGGACCCTGCAGGCGAGGAGAGAACACAGCTCAGCGTGGAGCTAGGCCTCATGACAGCAACACCACCCACCCAGGAAATAGGCCGAGAAGCACAGAGAAAAGCAGGATCTCCTGGCAAGGAATGTGCCAGAAAGCCCAGAGAAAGGAGAGGCGGGAAAGTGAACTGAGGATCAGGAAGGGCTGAAGGGGATGGCGGAGGGTCTGAGTGGATTCCCAAGGCACGTGGAGAGGAAAGGGGAGATCAGAGAGGGGAGATTGTGTCCAGCTGGGGCTGGGGGCCGCGAGGGGCCAGAGGCCCCACGGGGCTCCCATGCTTGCACCCCTTTGGACTTCAGACGAAACAGGGCCTGAGACCCCCCAGGCTCCCAGGCCCAATTCTGAGGGAGGCCATCAGCGAGGTCCCATCCTCCACCCCACCAGCCCCGCGTGGGGTTCAGGGCTGCGAGAGGGCAGGCAGGGCACACACTCCCCTGCAGAGGCAGAGCAGGGGTGGCCAGGAGGGCGGGGCACAGCAACTGCAAACCAATTTGGTCAGGGGCCCGGGGCTGGCCAGATACCCTCAGCCACCGCCCTCTCTGGTGATCCTGGCCAGACTGGGCATCACAGGAGAGCAGAACCACTAGGGGACTTTATCTCCCCTGCCAATCTTGCCCATCACTCGGCTTTCTGGCCAGCACAAGCCGGCTCCTGTGGGCTGAGGCAGGAGGTTTGTTTGGCCCGGAAACGGTCTGACTCCCTGTGAGAATATCCCCGTCCACCTCAGTCTGGCCTCATGGTGGACACAGCCACATCTGCCAGCCACAGCTCCTTGGGGCGGCGATCCCTCAGCTCAACCAGAGGCTCCAAGCGGGAAACAGGAGGTGGGCTCCTGAATGGCAGCCCGGAGCTCTGCGTCCCCAGGGGCCCTGCAGAGCTATGAGAAGGGAGTGGAACAGCCTGAAAGTGAAGCGTGGCTGCCTTGCTGTGCAGCTACCGTTTGTGACACACACCCACTCGGTACTATACAGGAAGTAGCCACGGAGAGGCCTTCCCCCCGAGGAAGTGACCAGGGCCGAAGTCCCATAGGTACCCAGAGAAAGGGCTGAAAACACGCATGCACATGTACACACATATGCACATATGCACATACGTATGCACACACACACGTACTACCAGCACACCTGCGGCTCCACGGTGTGGCTTGTTAAGCTGTCTAACGGGATTGTCCTCAGAGAGCGTTGTGCCACTGGCTCTTGGTTGGCACCCTGGAGTGCAGCCTGTGCGGGGGGGGGGGGGGGGGGGCCTCCTCCGCCCCCATTCTCGTCATTGCCTATGTGAGTTTAACTCATCCTGAGCAGACACATATGGACATGGACACATGGTGCAGTCTGCTGAGGCCCAGACTCAGAGGAGGGGTGTCAGGGTGAGCGCCCAGCTTCCCAGTGCGCCGCATGAGGCCTTCCTGTAAGGCCCCGCTGCACGTCCCCAGGGACAGCAATGCTCTTCGATGTCCCCTGCAGCTCCGTGTTGCCGGCTGTGCAGAACGAGGCCTCTAGAAAAAGTGCACATTCCCAGCTGGGCACCAGTGGCTCACGCCTGTCATCCCAGCTAATCGGAAGGCTGAGATCTGAGGCCTGCAGTTCAAAGCCAGACCAGGCAGCAAAGTCCATGAGACTCTTGCCTCTAATAAAATCCAAAAGCGGAGCTGTGGCTCAGTGGTAGAGCAAAAAGAAGCTCAAGGGCCGCACGAAGGCCTTGAGTTCAAGCCCCACAACCAGCATTAAAAAAAAAAAAACAACACAAAAAACAAATCCCCAAGTTCCCTTTCTCAGAACTTGGGATTGTGACCTTACTGGATTGAAGTGGACAATGTGTCTTTTTAGATATAATTTAAGTAGCTTGAAGGGAGCTCATCCTGGGTTAAGATAAACCCCCAGTCTAGAGACAAGAATGCAGAAGAGAGGAGACAGGAAGACGAACACAGAGTCACAGAGGAGAGAGGCAGAGACAGAGCCACACAGTCACCTCCACGGAAGCCCAGGGCATTGGCACCCCGTAGAAGCTGGGGCCACATGGGAAGCGACCTGGACATCACAGGTCCAGCCCTGGCCTCTAGAACTCAGAGAGAATGAACTTCTATATTTTAAGCACCAAGGTAGTAGTGATTTGAGCAGAGGTCCCGAAAAATGGGTCCCGCCTTGGTTCCCTCAGTGAGCATTTCCTGAGCCCCTTCCGAGCCCTAGACCCTCCCTCCCACCCCCAGCTCCTTCCCAAAGGCCCATGGTGTGAAGTTGGGCCACCACAGGAGGCTTTCGGCCACACCGCCAGCCAGGACCAGCAGCCAGGAGGTCCACAGGCAGGTCTCCACCTGCAGACAGCCAAGGACAAAACCCTCTGAAGCCCCTGCAGACCTGGGCATGTGAGGATGACATAGGAGGTGCTCGGCCATTTCCATCTGCTAACGTGCAGAACATGCCACAGGCCACACAACCGACTGGCAGTGCCCGTGGCCCTGGCCCTGACCTGGAAGGTTCACTGTTTCTCTGCTCTAGATACAGTAGGAGTTCTCTCTCTTCCATCTCTCACCACAGATCGTTGAGTTTCCTCCCTTCCTCCTTCCTTTTCTTTTTCTCGTGGTACTGGGGTTTAAGCTCCAGCACCTGCACTTGCTAGAAAGGGGTTTCAACACTTGAACCAGGTCTCCAACCCCCTTTTGCTTTTAGTTAGTTATCAGGTAGAGTCTTCAGGTTGGGCCCAAGGTCAGTTTTTACATCCCATTTAATGGCCTTCTGCTTATCTGTAATTATAAGCATGAAATGTGGCCTCGTTTTTGTTTTTGTTTTCTTGTTTTGCCTGGTCTGGTCATAAACCATAACTCTTCAGATATTCACCTCCTGAGTAGCTGGGATTACAGGTGTAAGCTACCACACTCTGTGGGGTTTCTTTATATACCAAATTTGCACATTCAAATGGACTCTGATGTACACACAGGGGAAGTTTACCTGTTCTGAAAGAGCACCCAAAGCCAGACATGTCCCCCAGTGACCTCGAGGGACAGTTCTGATGATGAACGTGATGGAGACTAGCCCGCTGGGAAAGGTGACAGAGAAACCCAGTCTCTCTGCAGGTTCTACATGCTGGGACGAACCAAGATCATGTGCACGTGTGTGCGTGTATTATGTGTGTGCACGTGTGTGCGTGTGGTGTGTCTTTATACGCATGTGTGAGTTCACGTGAGGGTATGTCACCCTGGGGGCATGGCCCACACATCACAGGAGGCTGGGAGATGAACCCACATGCCCCCGTTCACTAACCCTACAGTGCTGGGCATCATCCCCACTCACAGACTTGTCTTCCATCAGGGGACAGCAATCTGGCCTGTGTCTGCACCCCTGCTAGACACAAGCCAGCAGACCAGGGACTGTGATGGCACCCAGCCTGCTGCCCTAGCTGGCACCCACAAGGCACCTGCTAATCACACATTCTAACTGCTCCTGCTTAGGGTGTGGCTTACCCAGTTTTGAGGGTACCAGGGTTTGAACTCAGGGCCTTGCATTTGTTAGGCGAGCATTTGAGCCAACCTTTTCAGCGTTGGCTATTTGGAGATAGGGCCTTGCTGTTGAGGCCAACCTGCCCATGATCGTCCCGTTTGCCTTCCCTAAACAGGTGCCCTAAACAGGTGCCCAGCCACTAAACAGGACAGGGTCTTGGGAATTTCTATTGCCCTGGCTGGCCTCAAACTGCAATCCCTTGATCTCTATCTCCCAAGTAACCAGGATTATACCCAAAGCCTGGCACCCAGCCACCTACAAGTATTTTTAATGCAAAAAAAAAGAATGTGCTCAAACCAAATCAAATAGGAAATCCTAGTCCTAGAAACAAATGAGAGGGACTAAGCCCTTGTTAATGTGCTCTCGCCCAGGTTAGACACCTGCTGGGCAGGGCAGGGCAGGACAGCCAGGCCCCTTCTGCCCTGGAGGGGTCCTGGGCAGGTGCAGACTTGGTCTGAGGGCACTCAGTGCAACCCAGTACTCAGAAAGAGAGGTGGCTGGTGCCCAGTGTGAAGAGACTGGGACATAAGCCTTCCTTCTGCTGTGGCCTGGCAGGATGAAAACCGCCATTTTAAACCCAGAGCTTTCCAGCGGCGAATCCAGACTCCGCAGAGGCTGCATTCCCACCTGCTCCCAGACCCATGAAAACAGATCAGCTTTAACCAAAACAAACAAATATGCTGCAAATGGAAAATCAGTGCAAAGAGTCCCTGGGGAGCCTGGGCAGCAGAGCCAGCCGGTGCCGGAGCAAGCTCTAGGAGTCAATTAAGTGGGAAGTAAGAGTGTGGAGTTCCGAGGGAAGGCTTCAACTCTCCAGCACGCTGAGCTGTGGGCGGATCTTGGCATCATATCCAGGGAAGTGCAATCCAATCTACACAGTAGCAGACTCATCCCTGGGGCTGCCTCAAAACATGAGAGCACAGAATCCAGATGCCCACAGGCCCAGAGACTCCAAAAGCCCAACGGCCTTGCCTCCTGTGCGTCCTTCCACAGAGCAAGCCCCAGCCACGAGGACCAACGCAAGGGAGACTCTGCCTGCCCGGCCCTGTCTTCCTCACTGCTCTCAGAAGGCACCCAGCCACAGAGAGCAGAGCCCCCAGTGCCAAGCTAGGGTCCACCCCAGCACTCCCTGCCCTGCCCAGCAGATTATCAGCCCACAGTGTGCCACAAAGACTGGTGCTGAGCCAGGTTCTGTGGTTCCTGTAATACCAGCCACTTTGGATGCAGAGATCGGGGGATTACAATTGGAGGTTGGCAATAGCGCACGTGCGCGCGCGCGTGTCACACACACACACACACACACACACACACACACACACACACACACACGGCAAAGCTCCATCTCAACCGATGGCAGTTGTATGCACCTGTTGTCCCAGCCATGGGGATGCGCAGATAGGAGGCTCATGGCTCACACTGTGCTAGACAAGTTGAGAGTCTATCTTGAAAATAAGCAATATAAGAGTGTCTGAAGGTATGCTTCAAATGGCACAGCGCTGACCTAGCAAGCACAAGGCCCTGAGTTCAATTTCAAAAACAAAAACAAAAAAACAAAAACCACCCACCTTGTTCCTTCCCTCCTTCTTATGCGGTCCATCCACAGGCACCACTGACTCCCTGGAACCCACCCCCGCCTCACCAAACACTACTCCAAACCACCATGACACCCCCAAAGACTCCCCCCAGAGCTGCCTCTGAAGACAGCCTCGCCACGGGCACTCTGACATTACAAGTCACTCTTCCACATGGCCAGACTGAGACAGACATACTCACTGTCTGGCTCTGGGAATAAACACTTGCCAGGCCCTTTGTTTCCCTCATCTGCAACTCAGCCAGAGACTTACTAGCTCCTAATCCAATTGCTTGCATAAGGATAGCCATTAGACCAGAGGAAAAGCAAAACAAAACCAAAAAAAAGACAAGGAAAACAGATCCAAATCTCCACAAGGCTGCAGTACTCCAAATCACCACCAGGTGTCAGAAGGAGCTAGCAGACACCGGCCTGTGACACACCCAGGACCAGCCTCTCCATCCTGGGGCTGGATTTCCAACAGGAGGGGCTGGAGGGGAGAAGGCAGGTCTCACATGGCTACACCCAGAGGTCTTATGTACCACCAACACAGCCATGGCTGACAGCAGCCATGGCTACTCTGGGCTCAGACCGGGCTTCACTGCCTGATCCTGCCAGAGCCCCCAGAACAAGGCTGAGCAAGAGTCAAGATGTGAAGGGGACAGTGGGGGGGAGGGGGAGGTCAGAGGAACCTGGGGACAGGGACAGAGGAATCGTGTCCCTGCTGACATCTCCACTTTGAAGAAAGCAGGAGCCAGAGCAGGAAGGATACACAGACAAGCTCAGCACGGAGCATGCACACACAGCCCCAGCGGAGCAGGTGCTCTCAGGAAACGGAGTCCACCTCTTACCCTTTCTCCTGGGTCACCCACTTGGCCAGTGGGACCTGTGGTTCCTGGAGGTCCCGGAAGGCCCTAGAATTTAAAACCAATAGAGAGTTAAGGACATGGCCACAAGTGGAGGGCTTTTTCCCCTACCCCTCAGCAAGGACTGACTGGCCCCAGGGGTCTGTAGAGGGGTCTTCTCCTCCCAGGGGACATGAAGGGAGTCATCCGAACACCACCACCCCGTCGTGGCAAAATAAAACCTGACACTCACAGCAGGGCCTTCCGGGCCGGGGGGCCCCTCGATGAGCATGCCCTGTAGGAAGAGAGAGTCAGCTGAGATCACAAGAACCAATGCCCAGACCCCTCGGGCCCCGCCCAGGCCCTGTAGGGAAGGGACAGTGACCGTCCTCCTCCAATTCCAAGGCACAAGACAGGCTTGGCCAGTGGTAAGGGACAAGCAGAGCTTCAAGAGAAGCCCCCCCAGAAGCCAGCACTAGAGGAAGATGACACCACCGCCCCCTCCCACCCTGCACACCACAGGTACCTCAAAGGGTAAGCGGACCCAGGCCCAGGGACCCAGGTTACTCCAGGGAGGACAAGGGGAAGGAGGTACCTGGACTGAGGTCCCCCAGGGCTTCTGCCCGCAGAGAACACTCAGGACTGGCACTGCCATCAGGGCCCATCCTCTGCAGATGGACAGTGTGCCTCTCCCAGCAGCTGCCCGGAGCAACGGGAAGTGTACCAAAGCTACCCGCTCCACAGCTGCCTTCCTCCCCCTTCCTCCCATGCCCCTCACCTCTCTGGGCCCAGGCCTGACCTGCTTCTAGCCCTTTAGGCCTTCTGCTCCTCTGGGATTGCCTGCGGGGGTGAGGGGGGAGCTTCCTGCTTGGGGATCCTCAATCTCCAGCATCCCCTTGCTATACTTCACCTCTGACCCAGAAACAGTACCTCAGCCCCTACACACCGCCCTGAATGTCCCTCCTCCCATGCCTGGTCCAGGGAATCGGGGACCAAGCCCCCCCACCATGAATAAGGGCTCTGCAGGTGTGGGCAGGGGTGCCCACAGCAAGTGCATGGTGGGGGCTTGTGCCAGAGAGCAGCAGGCAGACTTGTCACACCCGCCAGCCCCTCCCCAGGCAGCGAGCAGACATGATCTTCTTGCCGTCCATTTCTGAGGCCACAGAAACAGGGTTGAGAGGGCTGGAGGCCTTGGAGCTGGGGCAGATCCTCCACACTAAAGGAGGCCAGGAAAGAGGGTCCCCGCAAGGACAACCTCGGCCCCTGGGCCCTGGGCACGGCTTTGTCTTGGAAGGCGCATGCTCCTGGCAAGTGACAAGACCAGCCGGCCAGAGGTGTGGACAGAAGACAGACACACAGACAGGAGACTGCAGAGAGCCCTAAGCGCCCCCACCCCCATCCCACCCCCAGCTCCTCCGGCCCTCCCAGCGACCGGGAAGATGCACACTATGTTTATACAGATGTGTGCTTGGAGAACTATCTGTGTATGCAATGGACACAGAACTCATCCAAACAGCCTCAGCATCCGGCTTCCTCCTGCTTCCTCTCTGACAGGCAGCTGAGAGGGCTCAGCGACCGATCGGGGGGGGGTGAATGGAGGCTGGGGGGCGGGAGGGGGGGCAGCTGTCTTCCCAGACACACACACTGTTGTTCTAGGGAGCTGGGGCTGTGTGGGAGGCCGACCCCAGAGCATTCTGGGTCGGCAGGGAAAGGAAGCTAGGGTGGCAGCGAAGGAGACCATCACGGGAAGGCTCCAGTTTTCCCAGGCCCTGAGCGACGGCCCTCTTGAGACCTGCGGGCCCTGTCTACACCCCCTCCACCACCACCACCCGCAGATGGGGGTCAGGAAACTACAGGAGTCTCACTATTGCTAGTAACTAAGACTGTACTACCAATTTTCTATAGCTGATTTTAGGTAAATTTACTATACACAGAAGGAAGGGGGGGAGACGGAAGAAGGAAAAACAGAAAGAAGGGAGGGGGAGTGAGGGGAAAGCTGAGAAGGCAAAGGGGAAGAAAAAAAAAGAAAGGAAGGAAAGAGGCACAGGAGAGGAGGGAGGGGAGGGAAGAGGAGGAGAGTGTAATTAATTAACTTGACTGTAATAACTTCACTGTGTTTATATAGATCAAGATAAGCACATCAGAGCAACAGGATGGTGTGTCACTTTCAATATGTACTATTGAGCCAGGTGCCAGCAGCTCACACCTGTAGTCCCAGTGACTCAAGAGGCTGAGATGGAAGGATCACCATTTGAAGCCAGCAGGAGCAGTCAAATCTGAAAGACTCTTATCTCCAATTACCCAGGAAGAGGCTGGAAGTGGAGGTGTGGCTCAAGTAGCAGAGCAGCAGCCATGAGGGTTAAAAGTCAAGCAAAAGCTCAAAGCTCTGAGTTCAAACCTCAGTGTGGGTACAAAAAAAGAGAGAGAGAACAATTTAATAAAATGTGATAAAAGATGCTAGACCGCTGAACTTTGTTTCTCTTTTGAGATTCGGTCTTCCTATGTAGCTTAGGCTGGCTTCGAACTCCTGAATCTCCTGCCTCATCTGCCCACCTTCTCATCGTGGTAATGCAGCCTGCACCACCCACACCCGGCTGCGGAACAGCTTTTCATGGAGGCCCATCCCTCTGCTAACCAGCACATGAAACACTGTGATGGGCAGGAAGGGAGAGCCCGTGGTGTGGCGGTTCCGATGGAGGCCCACAACACTCAGTGGACATCAAGCCAGGACTCCCTGGGCCACAGGCCCAGAAGGGCTCAGAGCACCGGGACACTGGTGTGTCAGCGCCACAGCTAGCAGGATTCTCTCCTTTCAAGGAGCCCGTGGCTGCTGACAGATTTGGGGAGCTGGGACTGAGGGGGTGACAGCCACATTCCTTTCCTGGCTCTGATTTGATTTGCAGTGAACTCCCTAACCACGGTGATCATGCGGGGTGGGCATGCGAGGAGAGGGGACCTCAGCACCCCCTCTTCCCCTCCCCCTTTCCTCAGGATGCCCCGAGCAGCCTCCCTGGACCCAGCCATCAGCTCATGTGAGGCCAAGATTCTGAGGACATCTGGCGAGGCTCTGGCTGACAGCTCTGGCTGTTTACATGGTCTCTCCGGGGGAGCTGGCCGAAGGCCCCCGTGGACGCGCTGAAGGGGCTGGGAAGAAGCGAGCACCAGGCCAGGGGCGGGGCTTCCTTCCTTAACTGTCTCCAGATGGCTTGAAGAGGGGCTGGGTGTCTAGAGATGTGATGTTTGGGTTGGGTGGCAGCCCCCTCTCAGCCCACCTTCTGGCCCACCCTGTCCACCTTCTGCTTCTCTGGGGCCCTGCAGCACGGTCCTCACCCCGGCCTTCTCACTGCCCAGTCGGGGTACCAGCGGCCAGCCCACGTGTCAGCCCAGGCTAGCCCAGGGGACAAACCATAGAGTCCCCTGAGCCTGGGGTCCAAGTTCCTTCCCAGGCAAGACGTCCTTTTATATCAGTGTGAGGAAATTCCAAAGGAGCCCAAAGCCACCCTTGAGTCTGCTTGTGGCTGTTTCCATCTGGGAGCTGCTGTGGAAGGTCCCCCCCAGAAGAAGCCCACCAGCTTTGTGATCATCTCCACGCGCCCCAAGCAAACAATGTCCTAAGTGAAGGCTCAGGACAACCCATCCCACACACCCTGTGGCACCCACCCAAGGCCTCCTTCCACCACCCTGCAGCTGCAGGTTGAGAGTTCTTGTGGGGCCAAGCAAGGGACTTGTAGAGTTGGCACCCCCTCACACCTTCCTCCTTCCCCTGGCGTGACCTGACCTTTGAGCCTGATGAGCCGTCTGCCCCCGACATGCGGAGAGCTCTGGCGGGGAGGAAGTAGGTACCCAACATGCCCAGCCAGTAAGAACTGACAGGTCCCAGCCCACCGAGGCCTCGAGGGAAGGCAGAATCCCACAGAGCCATCCAGAGGCTCCCAGAGGCTGGCAGAGGGGCCAGAAAGCCTGAGAGCCCTGGGAGTCCCAACCTGCTCCCGGCCTTGGCTCTGCAGGGATTGGGGGAGGTAAGGGCCTACCAGGCACCACCGCCAGGGCTGCTCGGCCCTCCGACCCTGCAGAGGGTAGAGGGCCACAGACATGAGTTCTCCATCCCAGGGAGCCAGGGGGCAGTGTTCTGAGTTCAGCCCTCACGAGCTGGGTTTCAGCGGCAGAACTGACGGTCTGGCCCAGCCTCGTGACTGGCCATAGCACAAGACATGCGCCTCCTCCCTGGCTGCTCCCTGGCATGTGGTGACATAGCAGGGCTGGCCTTGGGGGCAGAGCTACTTCAGAGCCCACACTGCCCTCTTCCCCAAGTGAGGCTGCACAAATCCACCCAGCTCGACCAATCACACAGCTCCACCAATCACACAGCTCTACCAATCACATAGCTCTGCCCTCCTCAGCACAGCTGCAGGGTGCCAGCCAGCTCCACCAATAACATAGCTCTACCAGTCACACAGCTCCACCAATCACATAGCTCTGCCCTCCTCAGCACAGCTGCAGGGTGCCAGCCAGCTCCACCAATCACATAGCTCTACCAATCACACAGCTCCACCAATCACACAGCTCCACCAATCACACAGCTCCACCAATCACATAGCTCCACCAATCACACAGCTCCACCAATCACACAGCTCTGCCCTCCTGAGCACGGCTGCAGGGTGCCAGCTCTACCAGTCACACAGCTCCACCAATCGCACAGCTCTGCCCTCCAGGGTCAAGGCCATGACTTTGGCATATCTGAGGCCCCAGGAAGGGCCCTGGAGCTCCCAAACAGGCCCCATCCCCCCGAGGTGAGGTGCTCCCAGACTGGGGCACCCTCCAAGCCTAGCATCCCAGGAGAGGTATGGAGATGAGCCTCCTCTCCACACTCTAGGACATTCTCAACACACTAACCCAGGAACCCACCGCTCAGCCTACATTTCTGCAGAGCTCGTTTGCTCAATTTCACATAAACGCCTGGCCATGCCCACCAGATGCTGACCACAAGGTCCGCTGTGCCTGAGCATCCCCCAAAACACCGTTATCTTCCTCAAGGTGGGAGTCCTTTTGTCTCCAGGGATACAGAGAGATACACAAAGGGCTCAGATCTTCCACGGCCTTTCTAAGGGTCTTGATCCAGCACTTCCCAGGCCCTCGAGGAAGTTCTGGAATGTTCCCCCACGTCCCTGTGACACTGTGGTTGGTGACACTGTGGCCACAGTGGCTCTCCAGGCAGCCTGGTGCAGAAGTGCATGGAGCTGGGACTGGGCCACGCCCCATGGAATCTGCGTGTGCCAGAGCCGCAGACCCCCTGGTTACAGAGAAACAAGAAAAATGTCCTTACTGGCTCGATGATTGCCGGTTCTCCCTTTTGGCCTTTCTCACCTCGTGGTCCTCCAATCTAGGGGTTGTAGAAGGATGAGGGAGAGGACAGGGGAGAGAGAAAAGAGGACAGGAAGTTCCAGTTATACAAAGCCCACATGAACACGCAAAACAAGGGTGCTTCCGGCATCCGGGCATCTCCCCCAGATCCAGAAGGGAATGACCAGTCGGAGAGGAGGGGCGCCCCCAGGGCCCATCAGGTTCCGATGGAGGCACGGCTGGACTGACCGGAGGGGGTGCCCGTACCCAGGACAGGCATGCCACTGGGCACAATTGACCACAACCACCCGAGCACCTTTTCAAAAGTAAAGTTTTAGAGGTGGCTGCATCTCCTACCCTCTGCAGTGCTCTAGGAGAGTGGATCTGCTCTGATGCCACCTCCTCCCCCCCAACCCCTGCCAGGTTACCATGGCAGAACCAGCCCCAGCCTGGACCTCACCCCTTCGAAGATGGTGTCCTGGTTCGCTGGCATGCCCGGCCCGATCTCTGATGGGTTGGTGCTGGAGTCATGGTCAGGGTCATAGTAAGGGTCGTAGTAGTTCTCATCTAGATTCTTGATGGTTTCCTCGGTAAATTCGCCCTCCTGATCATCCTTCCCTTCCCCAGGAGGTGGGGCTGGCTGTGGAAGGAGGGGCAGAGGCAGCGTGGTCAGCCGAGGAGGGCAGCTTTGTGGACGCACCAGCTCTGTCCCACAGGCACGTGCCTGGCACTTCCAGGACTTTGCAGCCCAGAGCCCCTTGGATCTTCCCACCTTGTTCCCAATCCCCACGGAGAGCTGTGCCCTAAGCTGGCCGAGGAACTATAACAAACTAGGGCAGACCTAGAACACCAGCTGTGACGGCCTCCTGGGGGGTTCCGGGCTCAGCTGGGGGACACAGGCGTCTGGCCCCACTGGAACCTCACCCACAGTCATGAGTTCTGCACCACAGGGCTATTTTGAACACCTATTCTGGGCCATGTGCTGGATGGAAGTCTTTCCTAAGCTAAAATCCACAGCAAGCCCAAGAGGCTGCACTGCTAGTGCGGTACTGCAAAGGACAGCTGAGCTCGTGGGAAGGCAGGGCAGTTCTGAGACCGCAGGGAGAGATTTCAAGCCAGTCAGCTCTGCTGTATTAAATCAGTGCTGCCCAGTGCTGGGCTGATCTGTCCTCGTCTGGATCCCATTCCTTGCCCACAGAGAGGACTCTATCAACAGGGACCTCTTTATCCACCTGAACCCCAGCAGCCCTGAAGGGCTGGAGGCCATTCTACCCTTTTCACAGGTTTAGAAGTGACCACACAGGGACAGCTCAGTGAGTCGGAGACCGTAAGTCACACTAAGCAAAGGGGGACACAGCCCTGCAGAGCATGGGAGCTACCCAAGGCATCCAGAAGCAGAGAAAGAAGGGGGCCCAGGGGTCCTCAAACCTGGCCGTGGCCCTGATCCCATGACTGAACTGAGCCGTGAGGCCCTCAACCCCTCAGAGCCCTGGACAGAAGGACATTACGTTGGAGCCATTGGAGGCGACGGTGGTGCTGGTGGGGACCTCGGGCCCTGCGTCAGGGTCGAGGGGCCCCTCAGGGTTCTCCATGCCCTCGCCGTAGTTGAGGTCCTCATATGGGGAAGGGGTGTAGTAGTCGTCGATGGGCACGTAGTCATAATCCCCGATGCCGGGGTCTTCTTCCTTCCCAGCCCTGTTGCTCATCTCGGGCACAGTCGGGGCTTCCGTGGGGGGCTGGGTCAGCTCCTGGGGCCGTGGACAGAGGAAGGCAAGTCAGGGCCAGGGCTGGGAGTTCCAGCAGCTCTATGACACAGTCTGTGAGACAAGTCTGGGACACAGGGTTCCCCCGAGGACAGTGGCCTCGGGGTCCGGAGCCTTGGTCAATGGGAGGAAGGTAGAACAACGGGAGGAGAAAGGCAGTCCCTCCACCAAGGGCACTGTGCGCACGGAGGAGCCCCGGGGACACACTGGGCACTGGAGCTGGATGACACACGCCCGCCCATGAGTGCTGGCATAGAGCCCACCCTGTCTACTACTGGGAGGCTGCTTCTGAGGGTGCAGGGACCAGAAGCCAGTGCTAGGTTCCGTGGCACGCCCATCTCCAGGCCTCGCTCCTCGTGGTGGACAACCTTCACCCAGTACTCCAGCGAGCACACAGCACAGCCGGTGGTGGTCAAGGTCACAGTCAAGGTTACAGTCAGGGCTAGCCCCTCCCTGCCCAGGTGCCACCCCCGGCTTCACACCGGCCCTGGCTGCACCGTGGCCTTGAGGCACCAGGAGCCAGCCCAGCCCAGACCTCGGGAATCTCCGTAGTCTCCCTCGCGGCTTCCACTGGCTTCTTGGTGGGCGTGAGCTCCTTCCCCGGGTCTTCAGGGTCTTCATAGTAGGGGTATTCGTAGTAGTACGCCTCGCCGCCTTCACCCTCTCCTTCTGGGTACTGAAAGTCGACGGGAGGTACATGAGGACAGGGTACCATGCCCCACCCTCATCTGGCGGGGCAAGTGGACACATACCTTCCCAATGGCCCCAGACGGAGGGATTGGGGGACAGGTCCCCTTGAACAAGCCAGAGAAATCCAAACCTTAGCAAGTTAGTGACATCTGAGGTATAAGGCCAGTGCCAGGACCACCGGCCGTGGCTCAGGCATTAGTCACTGGCCAGCAAGCTCCCTGACTTTAGTCCCACCCCCCACCGAGCCCCAGAGACCCAACAGGAGTGACAGGAACAATTCTGTCCAGAGACACATCAGCACCGGGAGTCAGGAAGGGCCGGGCCCGGCCTCAGGAGCTCGGCTGGGAGCTCCGTCCAGCCCCACTCTCGGGAGTTGTGTGGCGTGGTCTTGGCCAGAGGACATTACAACTTCATAAAGCCTGCCTTCCCTCTCTGGCTGGTAGTAGAAGAAGGGAGGTCTGGGAAGAAATTCAAAGCAGGACGCAGCAGGACTTGAAAAAAGAAGTCAAGTTTGACCAGAGCTTGAAAGAGGATGGTGACAAAAGAATTACAGATAAAATACCCAAAGCACTGCTGGCACATGGAGGCGGGTCTGGGAGGCAGGCCGGCCCTGGACCAGAGTGCACCACGGTAAGAGGGAGGAAGGCCCGGGCACAACCCGGCACACGCTCTGAGTCGCTGACTCTCTAGGAATCATGGCCATTCTGCTCAGCACACACAGTCCTAAGCATGCCAGGCCCAGCGAGCTCCCGATGGCCCTGGCAAGCTCCCGATGGCCCCACCCATGGGCAGGGCCCAAAGTGCACCTGCACCCTCTACTCATAAAGCTCCTGGCCTGGGAAGGCTCCTGACCCTGGGAAGGTGCACCCGGCTCCATGCATCCAGGGTCGTGGTGAGAGGGGGGAGGGGGACAGTGCAGATGCCGCCCCCGCCGAGGCCCGTCGTCCTGGGAAGCACTGCTGGGTAAAGCCAGTCAGGCATCCCACAGCTCATCTCCTCACCCCACGGGTTCATTTAGTCCAGGGCTCCTGCCTCCCTCCACAGATGGAGGGTCTGCCCGTGCCCCTCACCCCCTGCCATGAGTCCCACCAGAGCCCACTCACGTAGTCATCTGGGTTGGGGTCCTGAGACTGAGGGGTGTCGGGGACAGCAGTGTCGCAGTCAGGGCTGTAGTGCTCGCAGTAGTCGTAAGCAGCCCGGTGGTCGGAGACGAACAGCAGCTGCTGGATGTCACCCTAGAAAAGGACAGAGGCTCGTGAAGAGCAGTGTGGACACTCACAGGCAGGCCCAGGAGACCTGAGAGACACAGACGGGAGCCTTGGCGCAGAGGACAGCCAGAGGAGCTGCTACCTCCCAGGATGCTGCTGTTCCTGAAAGCCACTCAGGCTGAGCTGCACATGTAGTCATCCGTCATCCATCTGTCCATCCATTCATCATGGTCACCCATCCACCCACCCATGTCTCCATCCATCCATCATCCATCCACTCATCTACCATCCAGCCAACCATCCGCCCATCCTCCATCCTCCCATTCACCCATCCACCATCTATCTATCCATCTACCACCCACCACCCATCCACCCACATATCTAGCCATCTCTACCAATCTAGCCATTTCTCCACCCATCCATCTATACTGCCTATCCACCTACTAGCTCTCCATCCACCCATCGCTCCACCAACCCATCCATCCATCCAACACCTACTGAGCATCTACCAGCTGCCAGCCCAATGCTCACAGCTATTGTGATTAAGAAGCTGTAACAGTCTTACAGACTTACATTTTGAAACATAGGTCCCCAGCTGGCAGCACTATTTGGGGAGGTTTTGGAAACTTTAGGAAGTGGGAGCTAGCTGGAAGAAGCAGGTTACCAGGGATGGGTCCTTGGGGATATCATGTTTCCAGCCCCTTCCTGTCGTACTCTGTGCTTCCTATCTGTCAAGAAGCGGAGGACAGGCTCTGCCAGAACCCCCACTACCATCATGTTCTGCCCAAGGGCACGGGGCCAAGCAGCCAGGGGCTGAACTCTCCAAAGGCGTGAGCAAAATAAGGCCTTCCTCCAGTAAGTTGTTCTGTCAGATTCTTGGTCACGATCATGGAAAAGTGACTAACACAAAACCAGTCAGAGAACACATCCACCCTAGCCTGAGGGCCGGGACACACTCCGCCTCCTTCCCCAGCACCCCAACCACAGGGCAATGCGCAGTCTTTCAACAAACCAAACACAGAATTACTATATGCCCTGACCATTCCAATGCTAGGAATTGAAAGAGAACACAAACCATTCGTGCACATCAGTTCACAGTACACACACACACACACCCACACACACACACACACACACACACACACACACACACACACACGAGTGAAAATAAGGACTCAGGTAAGGTACAAATGCCTTTGTAGCAAGATTCTGTGCGCCAATTGCCATGTGGAAGCAACCCAACATCCAGCCCCAGATGAATGTATTGGCAGGATGGGTGGGTATACCCACACAATGACAGGGCACACACACATACCCAATGAGGTGCCATTCAGCCAGACAAGGGAACAATGACTGATCCACATGGACGAACGCACGCTGCTTACCACGCTGCTCACCACAGGACTCCCTGGCTCACTGAGGCATACCTACTACCAGAGCCATGAGATCTAGCAGTTAAGGGTACGCACCCACCAGCTGCTGTAATCCTGGTTACTCAGGAGGCTGAGAACTGAAGATCAAGATTCAAAGACAGACCAGACAGGTAAATCCATGAGACGCTTATCTCCAAAAAAACTTCAAAAGGCCTGAAGTGGAGGTGTGGTTCCACTGGCATAGCACAGCCATGAGTGAAAAAGCCAAGTGAGAGTGTGAGGAGTTGAGCTCAAGCCCCAGTACTGGTGCGCGCGCGCTCTCTCCCTCTCTCTGTCTCTGTCTCTGTCTCTGTCTCTCTCTCTCTCTCTCTCTCTCTCTCTCACACACACCCCTGCATGCATGCATGCACGCAGAGTACCCAACCATACCTCATTTTCCTCTCACCCAGACACAGAGACAATTTATTAGGAATAGGAAGTGGGACAGATGAACTTATCTGCAGATACGCCGAGGTGCCAGACGCCATCCTAGTGACACGGAGTGAACAATCAGCCAGACACACGCTGACTCATCTAGCCAGGGCCTTGCTGGTGGCACTGACTGGGATTTGGAGAGGGTTTTCCACGGATTAGGCACACAGCAAAGAACCTGCACACAACTGCATGCGTGCCCTTCACAGACAAATCCTGTTTTATTAATCTCCGTTCCACGGAGAAGGAAGCAGAGGCTCTGCCGGTCGCCTGACCAGAGCCACACAGCAGGAAGCACGGGGACAGTGCAAGGTTCCCGCACCTCTCGGGCCTGGTAGGCTCAGGGGACGATAAAGAACATGACAGGTGAGACCAGCAGGTTGAGTGCAATCTGAAAGCACGTGGCAGGCAAGGGTGACCAGTTCTCTGGGCGGGGAGGTCAGCCTGCCATACCGCATTCCCACGGTGCACTGTTGGGAATACACCAGCGTGACAGTTACAGACAGGCCCTAAGTCTGCTGTGAAGCCTTTGCCTTGTGTGCTGCACAGCCAGGGACCAGGCCCCTCTGGTGAGCAGCACGCTAGCTGCTGTTTATTCTGAACAAGCTGTCACTCTACCCAGGCAGAGGCGCCCCTGTCCCAGCTACCAAAGCTCCTGTAGACCAGGACACCAGTAGTTCCAAAGTGTCCCTGTGCTGTGTACCTGTGACCCTGGCAAGTCACCCAGGGTGAGCACCCCAAGCCCCAGGTGGGAGTTTCCTTTCAAAGATCAGAGTAGAATGGGGCACACTGCCCAGACTCTGCTGCCATCTTAGAGCTGGAGCAGAGTGGGTAACTCAGCTCTGCCACTTCCAGGCTATCTGACCTGGGATAGGTGTGTTCACCTCTCTGAGTCCTGCTTCCCCTGGGTGAAAAATGGGCATAAAATAAGTAATAGCCATCTCAAGGGGTTGTGGAAGTTACAAGTCCTCCAGGTCAACTCTGCCTTCTGAGATCAATGAGAGAATGCGCTCCAGAATATTCCTGGAGGGGCGGTTGGGCATGGAGTTGCTGGGAGGCGGTGGAGGACCCAGGCAGGATGAGGAGCAGAAACTCGAGAGCAGGTAAATGAGTAGCGGGGAGGACCGCAGCAACCAGGACATTTCTGGAAGATGGGCAGAGAGCAGGCACACTTGCCACAGCCAGCAGAAAGCCTGGGACAGGGGCCCAGAGGAGACTCAACAGGAAATGGCTTAGTATCCGTGAAGGGGAGAAATGGGTGGACACGGTTCTGTGATTACTACGGGTGAAGCACTCAGCTCTTTCTCATCCATCTCCTCATCCATCCATCCATCCCTCCATTCACCCATCCATTCATCCATTCAACCATCCATCCATACATGCCATCCATCTGTCCATCTGCCATCCATCCATGCCTTCCACCTGTCTCTCCATCCATCCATGCATCCATCCATTCCTGCCACTCATACATACATACATACATGCCATCCATCTGTCCATCCATCTATCCATCCATCCATGCTGTCCATCTGTCTCATCGTCCATCCATGCATCCACCCACACTGTCCATCTACCTATTCAATCTTCCATCCATTTACATATGCCAACCATCTTCCCTCCTTCCAACCACCCACAGAAGCCAACCACTCATTTTTCTATTATCCACCCATGCCATCCACTCATCCATTCAACCATGCATGAACCCCCCCATCTGAGTAACCAGGATTACAGCATCTGGTGGGTGCGTACCCTTAACTGATAGATCTATGTACCCATTCCTCAAGCTCTGGAATACCTGGATTCTGGCTACCAAACCACACACCGGGTATTTGGCTAAGACTGAGAAGCATTGCTTTCCATGGCTCTTTTTCTCCCAGCACCATATACTTGCCTCGTGTGCACCCAATAGGAGCACACCCTCCCCAGACAACATATTCACAGCACTTCCACTGTGGCACTAGGATCCCGTTTCCCATGGCCCCAAGGACCAGGAACAAGCAGGGTCCTGAGGCTGCACATGGCCTAAAATTCCAGCTGTGTTCCAGCAAAAAGCATGGTGACCCCTTCCTGAAGAAGAGCAGGGCCATCAGTGGAGCCAAGGAACATGGCCTGCAAACTTGACCCAAGGAATACCACCTGCAAACTTGACCCAAGGAACATGGCCTATCAACTTGACCCAAGGAAAACCGCCTGTGAACTTGACCCAAGGAACATGGCCTATGAACTTGACCCAAGGAATGCTGCCTATAACTTGCGCAAGAAATGGCATGAGACAGGAGGTAGCGTTGCCCTGCCTTCCATCTCCTGAAATGAGAGCCTTCTCTACAGGACCCTGGGATAAGCCTGGAGGGCGGAGGGGCAGGAAGAGGCCAGATGTGGCCACTCGTCCGATGGGCCCCGCCAGGGCTGGAGGAATGTGCCACCCAAAGTCACTAAGTGGGATGGGTCCAAGGACTGACCCCCAGGGTCTGTAAAGCAGAGGCTTGGGCTGTGCCACTTTGGGGATAGGATCCTTCACCTCCTCAGCTTCCCAAGAGACTTTGTGGGAAGACTGGCCCAGAGCTGGGCTGAAGCGGAGGTAACACATGGACAGAAGCGGGGACGTTCTCAGAGTGCAGAAAAGGTAGCCCTTCCTCAGTCCCAAAGCTGGGTTCCACATACCTGGCCCCTAATTTGGATTTGAAAACCCCCAATGATGATCAAGAAGCTCAGAACACCCTCACACCCAAGCAATTCCAATTCTGTCTGAGCAGCTGTGTGGAGTCCTTGCTTAGTTTAACTTCAGTCCCAGGGCCAGGGTGCTCTGCCTCCAGTGGGAGGTGATGGGGGGCAGAGGGACCCCATCTCAATAGTACCACCGCACAGCACAGCTGCAGCCCCTCCGCTCCCAGCTGGGCCTTATGGAAATGGAGGGAGGGGGACACGACTTGCCAAGGTCGGCCTGGCGTCCAGGGCACACAAACCATGCTCCTGTGACTTTGTTGCCCGTCCCCCTCCACTTAGCAGATGAAATGTGCCACTGGTCGCAATCAATCGTGAGAACGCAGAGGGGACAGCCAGCAACTGCAGCCCATGAGCCAAGTGCCCGACAGACAGCTAACCCGTTTCCCCCAGAAGCACTGCCCTGAGGCACAAGGGGATAGATCAGCCCTGCCACCTCCCAGGGAGGAGGGGCTCAGGCTC